TCTACGGCATGAACCCGATTTCAACATCACACAAATAAAGACAATTGTGTACGATATAACTATTAAAAGACTACTCTACTTTATTTTGACTTTTAGACTTCCTTATATTTAATAGGAGGAATGAAATGTTCCATCGTTTTACCACTAATAATCTTAAATTAGGTTTTATGTTCAACAGTTGAATTCGCAGTCTTTGAGATGAATCTAGTCTAAGTAAAAATTTGTTTCTATATTACTGTAAGGTAGTTTACGGCAATACAGGCCCATGGGGCTCATACGCCAAATCATTTCGTAAAGTCAATTTTTGCGAAGCAACCCAACCACTGCACCGGAAGGCGATTCGCGGACCTCGAGCACAAGGCCCCCCAGTCACGCCCGGATATGACCACCACAGACAGTTTAATCATTCACAGCAATTTTTTATAAGTTCAAATAATGCAGCATTGGTGTAAGTTTTTAAATATTAAAAAATTAGACCACAAACGCTTTTCATTTTCTCAAAACTGTGGCTTTTCTCTGTGTTGCCTTTTTGCGCCAGTTTCAGAATAAATGTAGATGATGCTAGCTAAAGTTAGACTAAATTTGACTAAACAGACGTGAGTAACTGTTGCAAGCTTAGACAGAGCAATCAGGAAAATGCAATCCTATTTGGGGGAAAAAAGAAAGAAAAAAAAAAACATCATTTCATGCGACTACAGAGCGTTTGAAAAAAACGCTTAAAATAAGAAGATGATAATAGCTTTTTCTGTGCTTCAAATACGATTGTAAACGATAAACAACTAGGAATTGGTGAATCAGTCCAGTTGGAATCAATTTTAATTTGATCAGTAGAACTGAGCTTAGGTACAATGGGTCTTTCGGACTACCCATAAATCCTGAAAATGGAGGTACTGGATTTAAGGAGCTTGATAAAGTAGACTAAATGCATGATGAAGTATAGCAATATGAGTTCAAAAAGCTTCATAATGTTAGATAAGTACATGATAGCTATAGGAATAGCAATTGTTTTACAATCGTTTGTTGTTTCAGTATAGAGAACAACAAAGCAGTCATAAAAGATTCAATACAATAGCCAACATGCAAGGCGTTAAAAATCATTAACTTATTTGTTTGTTTACATAAAGTATATAACAAGAGATAAAATTAATTGCACAAAATATATAACTAGTAATAAAATGGAACGAATTTATTTATTCAATTCAAGTCTTATCTGAATAGTAGATTGATTGAAAAAACAAAAAAAAAAAGAATATTCGATTCTTTAGTATAATTGTAAATTATTGGGAGTAGTTAAGCTTATTTACTTAATCACATAGAATGAAATGTAGGTTAAATTGGATTAGATGAAAGCTTAATTCAATAGTTAATTTTAAAATCTTCAAAAATAATTAGCTTATTTACTAGTGAATTCAATTAGAAAGACTTATTGATTGATTCAGATACGTTAGAAACAATATTTCATGTATTTAGATGAAAATATTCTAGTTTCTTCCTTCGAATAAGAGCCATTAGAACTGAAATCTATTTTTTTTTTAAATGCACATTATTATTAAAAAATTTGTTTTTATTTATTAGCCTCAGATAATATTTTAAGTTGTTAGCTGCAATAATTGTGATGACTCATGATATACCTTTCTTTAGATTGCAACACAAAAGATCGGTAGCTACGAAAATCAAAATGTATGAAAAAATGGCTAATGATAGAATTTTTTCACTTAGTTTTCTGAAATCAGCAACCAAAATCAACATCGATTATTAGTTTCTTTAACACGTTTTTAGCCTGTGCAATTTATGAGGACACCACGTTTTACGATGCATGTGTGTATCATCTGACACCAATGCTTGTACCATTTATTATATTCATTTTGTTGGTAGGTTTTTACCGTTATGGTTTAACAATCGAATCGATACTTGAACTATAGAATTCTCGTTTTTCGACTAGAATGAAAAACTGTAAAAAATAATTTTATTTTTATCAGATCTAAAACGAATAAAGTTGGTGAGCATCGCTTTGAAAAGGTCAGATGGTGCTTAGAGGACTATTTCTTTTTCATGATTTAAAATTTAAAATACAGAAAAAGTGAGTACAGATAAGCCATAAATGAACCGTTAAAATTTCAAATGTTGAAATAAAATGTTTTCAAAATATCAAAACGCAAACAAATGATATTAGGATTACTTCTCTACAGCGTGATTCTAAGTAATCCTAAAATAGTACTTTTGCATAATAATACAATACTTCGAAGAAAGAAATCAGCATTTGAAACTTCGGGTTTATTCAACACCTCCTAGAAGTATGAAGGCCTCAGCACGGATCAATTTAGTAGTCCGATGTGACGAAGTTAACTGCGCAGTTGATGAAAAGTAAGAAAGATGTCATTACGTTCGGGGTACTAAGCTGCGCAGTGGTTGAAAATACGACATATGTCATTACGTTTGGACTACTAAAGGATATTTATGGTAACCCGTGCAGAGGCCTACTCTTTTCTAGGAGGTGTTGGTTTATTCTGGGTATAAATGAACTTATACACATATACATATTCCTCATCACTCCGAATCGGAGCACAGGGCTTCTATCACAGCTTTCCATCTCACTCTATTTGTGGCCAGTTGGCCAGATATAATTGTTTCTCTCCATGCCTTTCCTATAATGTTTTCAAACCGCTAACAATCGTCTTGCGCCAAGTATTTTTTAAATTTACTTATCCAGATAATGCAGAATTTGTCAATAAGTGCTTCTTCCACGCTGACGGCCATGCATTTTTTAAAATATTTTGTTCTTAATGATTAATATTTGGGCTTCTTTTTAGTTTCTTTTCTTTTTTCCTTTTCTTATCAGTCAGAAAGTGGCCAAAATTTCAATTCGCGATACAAGGATGCTAAATTTGCAGCTTTCTGGAAACAGTTGCATTGGCATCAAGCACAAAGCCTCCAGTTTATATTTTAGTATTGTGTAGTCAAGTGGCTAAAATTTCGATAGTTAATAAATTTCTTTTTCGTAATAAATTGTTATGATCAGGAATCGGTTAGAACTTGTATTTTCAACTAGCACTGAGCCCTAATTAAAATTGAATTACTCTAGGTGGTGGAACAGTGATTAAAATTTGGTGGACAATAGATTCTGAGTGTAGCAGTCAGAAAACGATTAAAACTTTCATCGGTACAGAGTTCCAGTAGAAGTTTCAGTGGACTCTAACTAGTCTTAAATTGATCGACATTTTGATTTCAAGATTCCACCCATACAGAAACAATATCAACTGAACAGTATTTTGTACATACCATCTTGCTGTAATGAATTATCTGTACTTTAGAACGGGCTAGTAACTTAAATATTTTAAAAAATGGAAAACTTTTTTGAAAAATGGCCCATCGATGAAAATTTTCAAAATCAATGAATAATTCTCCAATATTAATATATTTTATGAGCCCAGATAATGAAACGTTGAAGCAACTTTGAAAATAATTATAAAAAAATTAGTACACAAATGCTTTTCCTTTTTACAAAGCTATGACTTTTCTTCGTATGAACGTCCTTTTTCAGAATAAGCATAGAAAGCTCTGGCTAAAGATAGGCTAAACTTAACCTAACAGTCATGAATAACTATTGCAAACTAAAATCAGTTATAAAAATAGCACATTATTCGCAAATGAGCGTTATTTCGCATGATAACAGAGCCTTCAAAAAACGGCCTTCCTAAGAAACATGGTGAAATAAAAAATTTAGCAAAAATGTGCCTAGAAAAATATTTTTTTTTTATCTTTTTCGGACGAAATTATGTATAAGTGTCTCAATTATTTATTTAATAAAATTCTACTACTCCGTAATGATCTTTCTTAGAAAAACACTTTTTTTTTTTTAACTATAGTGTAAATTAAAAAATTTCTTTCAATATGTAGTTCTTCGGTAATATATTTATTTTAGAAACATTAATTACTTGTTTATAAAATGGTCGAGAAACCCTAAGGATCTTACCGTTATCTTTCTATTTTTCTTTTCATGTATGAATATCATCATTTTCTATTTTTCAATGTTTTAAATAACATACTTTGCCATTTACTTTCTTCTTTCAAGCAATACATTAGGAAAGGAATTTATACATACTCATCATATCTTTTTTTCTTTTTTTTTTCGATTTTGAAGAACTGCTTGAAACTAATCTCTGAAAAATCTATGCTAATTAAACACAGTTTTAAATATTATCAATAACATTTCGAACACTATTAACGTCTCGCTGATATCCAAAATTTATTTACATTGCAAAATTAGAAAAAAAAATGTGCAAAATCCATATTTTCTTAGTTCAATTAGATTTTTCCATTTCTTTAACGCAGTGAGTCATTAAAAAAATATAATTCTTTTATAATTAAACGGATGTGCTCCCCCATTAAGATTTCTACTGCACCATCAAAATTGCTGGAACGTGTTAGATCCTATTAACGGGCAAATCAGTTGCAAACTTTAAAAAAAAAAATGCCCAGTTAAAGTATATTAGAGTACAAAATAAAGCATCTTAAATTTGAATCAAAGCAACGGGCAACATTTGTTAAATAGCCTAAAAAATAATAAATAAATAAATTAAAATTCAACACTGAAACACATTCTTGGTGCTTTTTAACTGTTCCATAGCGCTGCAGCCTTAATAAAGCTTTCATTTGACCCATATTTTCTATCAAATTGAACCCCAGTATCGTGTCATTAAGTTCCAGAAGTTCCATGTGTTAGATAATAAGTTTCAATTTTGCGCCATACTAAACTTGCAGCAAATTTAAACGATAATGCGTCAACACAGTTTAAAATTTCTTACTGTGTATTCAGTGGCGTAACTAAAGTGCTTGATACCCCAATGCAAAATTTTAGAAACTCCCCTCCCCTCCTCGTCGTCTCAAGTTTGCGTAACTTAAAAATAAAATGAAAAATTATGCATATTTTTTGCACGTTGGATCAAAAACAGGTTGGAAACTACTCTTCTAAATAATGCAATTTGTCTTTTTCTTTTCAGATATCTGCAACAGATGCTGACTGTGGTGTGAATGCGAACGTGAATTACACATTGGGCAGCCTCTCTCAAGATTTCATACTTCAACCTATCAGCGGAGATTTATGCATAGCCAAACCCTTGGACCACGAAAGCAAAAGTTCCTACGAAATACCCGTCTTAGCCACTGACAGAGGTAATTTGTTCTTGCATATTACCTTTCATGATTTACAATATATACATTTATACAGTGATATACATAATAATCTATACAGTGAATCTGTGCATTGTATTACTATGACAGGGAATCTTTGTAATTTCGACTTGTTTAGGAACATTAAAAAAATTTAGCCAAATCTTTTCAGAAATTGCATTAGTTATACTATGCAACACTCGTACATTGTTCAGTTTGAGTAAGAACCACGATAGCACAGCTGTTAAAACACTGAGCTGCCATTTTTTTAAAAAAAAAACATGCTTCTGACCCAGATAGTGGCTTAAAATCCACCCAACTTTTAAGTCGATGGCTACCAGAATGCTTGGAACATATAGGAGATCACTGCAAAATGCTGATTCCATAATCAATACCATGAGTTTGGTTTCGAAACCATGGAATCTTAACCTCCATGACGCTCTTGGCTGGCAACTAGCTGTTACAAGAATATTTACTGTGCGGCTTTGAGGAGAACTCTTACAGACTTAAGATTTGGTGTTGTCTGCTGCTATGGTAAAATGCGTGAGCTCACCTCTAATGGGGGTGCAATGGAGGAAAGAAGGTGTCGATTGTTTTACTCAGATTGACGTATCCCAAGATAAAGACAAAATTATCCACTCCACATTCCTTCCAATTCAAAGTTACTTTTCCTCGTAACCATAGTACCCGCACGAAGCGAGACTGATGCTTGAAGGAGTTTTCCCGAAAGCTGAAAAATACCTGAACTTACAGAAGCAATTGGTTTCTTTTTTTTTAACAGCATAGACGAAAAAGTTTTTACTTTTATCATGTAATAAGCATCATTGCGAGTAAGGAGGCTTATATTCGACACAGCATGAAATAAGATCTCAGTGTTAAATAAAAGTTATAGAGCTTATCCGTAATTAAAAAAAATTTATACTTTCGTTATGCAGAAAATACTGAATATCTACCACACATTGCAGTTTATCGAAATTTTGAATTACCACAATTAGTGATAATGACCTTTCGTAATTTCTGAATATTTTGAAGTATCCTGTGAAATTGTAGAGAGTGGGAAAAGGCTTTTCTCTCAGAATGTAAATACTTATTAATTTTTATGTTTAAAATCAGTTTACTCTTGGCACCATTTCGTTGCAACGATATTTAGGAATCTTTTTTTTTCACATGGCTGACAGCAACCGGTCAAATTTACCAAAAATAATATTGTAAGTAGGAAGAAAAAATATTTTAAGTACATAAAGCAACGAATCGAGTGAATTCAATAAAATTGTTAATTTCGCGAGGAAAGACGATTGACATTTGTTCCTAAAAATTACTACAATAAAAAATTTTTATCATAGCAAATTTAATTTTCTTTATTTCAATGAAGAAAAGCTTCATTTTCAAATTGTTCTCCAAGAGAGTGTTTTTGTTGGGAAATACACCAATTTCCATTCTATTCTACCTTTATCTAGTAGGATCTCAGAAACACAAGACCACATCTTTGGAAAAAAATATGGGTATTGCCCTATAAGCCCTTTCATCAATAGAAAACTGGTAACTTTATAAATCATTAATACGTGGTTCCATTCTACACTATTTTTACCAAAAGTATTCGGATGCTCACCAAAATCACCAAAGTGGAGGGGGAGGTCATGGTTTAGCTTGGGAACCCTAAGTGATTAGAAACATGAAATCTGAGATATATAGGGACAGTCTTAATTCTGTGGCAACATCTTGGGAGATTACTTTTCCAGTAAGATAACTGCATCATTCGCAAATTGAGACTAGCGCAACCACAGTTTGACGAAATGGGTGTTCTAAAACAAACCTGATTTTCTCAGAGCCCCGATCTAGATTCTCTAAAACACCTTTGAGATGAATTAGAATGACTTAGCTATTATAGAAGTCAATTAAAATGGGTACCAATCATAAACTGGTGGAAAGATGTTCCGGATGTGTGCGAATTATCATCGATAAGAAAGGGAGACTAACATCATAATTGATATACATACTAGGACTCTCTGTGCTCGTACAACTGGGTTGCTGGATTCTTTTCTGTCAGATAGTTTATAAATAGTGTCCTAAGTTATGGATTAAATTTTGTTACTTTAATAAAATTTTGGTTCTCATAAGCGATTATAGCTGTTTCGGGAGCACCAGTCTCTCTATTTTGTTATTCGTGGCTCTCACCAGATATTAGTATTTTGATTATCTTAGGTCACTTATTTTTCAAAAAAAAGTGAAACTACTTACTCAACTTTTAACATTACACCATAGAAAAATAGAAAGCATAAAACTTTTACAGTTATAGGATTCAAACGTCAAAGGGAAGAAATAAAACGTTTAAACCATCAGCAAATCGATTGAACCAGAAATTATTTAACGAAAATAACATGCCATTTTATATCATGTTTTTCGGGTTAAGTTCCTTGTATAGAATAGGTTTTTTCTATTGAAAGATATTTTCTGAAAAATATTCAGTGTATTTCAAGAGAAAACAACGGATCAAAAGAGTGCATCGATTGTATGAAATTCTTTTTACTTAATGACGTTCTGGGATTGTGGAACTAATTCCCATGCCCATGCACAGAGAATAAACGGGGATTTTTTTTCTTTGCAATCATCAGTCTCCTCTCAATTCTAACTTCTGACCAAGCGAACAGGCATTTCAATTCTGGTATAGAAGATGATTAGACTAATACAGTCTTTCTTTGCAGGTGGTTTGAGCTGCACCGCAGTCGTCAAGGTCCAAGTGATCGACGTGAATGACAACAGACCTGTGTTCTACCCAGAAGAGTACAACGTGAGCTTGCCAGAGGGAGAACTCATTATCACGAGTGCTGTTATCGTAGTTGTGGCCACTGATAACGATTCCGGAAGGTTTGGACAGATATCTTACGAAATTATAGCTGGCAATGACGTCGGTCTCTTCCAAATAGATCATCAGTCAGGTAAGTATCCATTATGCGAAGTTCATACTCGATTCTTTATCTTGTAAATGAATTTCCAGTCATGACATATTTCTTTTATCACTGAGTTTAATCAAAACTTCGTTTCCAGGTGAAATATTTGTAATCAAAAGTCTGAGTGTCGAACGCTTGTACCACCTGATCGTGTCAGCTAAAGATGGCGGTGGTTTGACTGCAAACGTCAAGGCGAATGTTTATATTAGCGTCTTTAGCTCCAACCAGCGTCCCCCCGTCTTCAAGCAGGCACGGTACAATTTCTTCGTCCAGGAAGACTCCGCCCAAGAGTCCATTGTTGGCAAGGTTACTGCCATCAGTCGAGATCCAAGTAAGTAATTTATAAATAGTAAGATCGGCATCAAAGTTTTATCGTAGACTCTGTTCTGGAACATTCTTCGTGCATGCGACTCACATTTGCGATCGGACGTTGATGCGTATCGCAATGCACAAAAGCGAGCAGTTCGTCTTATACGTAGTTTCAAAACATTCGCAAGCGCGTCTAGGCAGTTGAATGCAGACTGAATGGCCCCTTAATGGGTTATTCATTGAGAATTATATTCATGCAAAGGTGATATTTTGAATTCATCGCATGTAAGATTTAAACTACTAACGCATGTGGGAATCGCATCGCGTATGAGAGTCGGAGGAAGTGAGAATGATTCCTTAGCATTACAACTCTTCGTTGAAATTGCCAATTTTATTTGACTGTATAAGTATATTTTTTCTAGGAGCTGGACCTATTCGCTATGCTATATACTCGGGAGATCCCGAAGGATTTTTCACTATAGACCCTGGATCTGGAACTATAAGAACAAAAAGAAGACTCGATCATGAAAAATATCATTTTCTGTTGTTAAATGTGCAAGCAGCTTGTGGAAGACCTCCCATATATGGTCACACTCAGGTTAGTAATCAAATTAGAATAAATGCAAATACAATCCCTAAGAAAAGTGCAGATTTAGAACAGTAAAATTTCACTCAATTCTAAAAGTGTACTCTCATTCATGTATGCCAGTGTTTTCATTCAACTATGTGAATGTTTTTTAACATTCCCTACAGCGTACAATTTTTTAAATAAAATATCCGTAAAACAAACCAAAAGAAGTAAGCAACTGACGAATGACCGAGTAAACAAAGTAAAAAATCAAGTTTCATTCCAATATCAAATAAATAATCCTACTTTTATTATTTCAGGTGAACGTAACCATTTGGGACGTCAATGATAATGCGCCACGATTTTCAAGCAACTCGTTGAAAATCAGCATTCCTGAAAATGCAGATCTGAGCATCCCGATCTATGTTGTGCATGCTGAAGACCCTGACAGCAACAGGAACGGTGAGGTGCACTATTATTTGTTGGGGGACAATCCCGACAACGTCTTTTTCGTAATCGGTGAGAGGTCAGGAAGCATTGTTCTGCAAAGATCGCTCGACTATGAAACCCGGCGCCATTACATCCTCAAGCTGAGTGCCACTGATCTGGGAAGTCCCCCGCTTTCTTCCAATGTCACGCTGATGGTGGAGGTGCAAGACGTAAACGATAACGCCCCTACATTTGAAAAGAACGATTTCAAAGTGAACGTAATAGAATCTCTATCGGTGAACACCCAATTCTTCCAAGTGACTGCTACAGACATGGACACGGGCAACAATGCTCGGCTCACGTACAAGCTGTCCTCCGAGGAAGGGGGCATCAGAAAGTTCGGAATATTCCCCAACAGTGGTTACTTGTACCTCAAAGAAGAGTTAGATCGTGAATCTGGTGACGAATATACCCTGACTGTGACCGCTGCAGACAATGGAATACCGCCTCTATCGTCCTCGACCCTTGTTTATGTGAGGGTACTCGATGCCAACGACAATGACCCTCAATTCGTAGAAGATACTTTTCAATTTGCTGTGGAAGAGAACCTAGAACCCGGCCAACATGTTGGGACTCTGTCTGCACATGACAAAGATTTGGGCAACAATGCTTCTCTCCGCTATGCCCTCCTCAATTCTAATGGAAGTTTTCAAATCAATCCAGTGACAGGTAATACTTTGTGTAAACTTCAGTTTACGATACTAGCTAATTTTTTATTGCTTATTTAGTCATGAGTTTTAGTTTTTATATAATTATCAATCACTTATATGCCGTTTTCCATAGTACGATAAATTTTATACTATGAAAATATATAAAATGTACTGTTATATGCTGTGACTATGACATATAAGATAAGATGAAGCTCTCGACGTCTAGTTTTTAGAATCCTTATATAAATTGAAGTAAGAAAAGAGTTGTAAGATGAAATTTACGCAGAAAAAAAAACATTAATAAATTCTAACAAAATACTGAGATGATGCAAGCTAAGATATCATTAAGATTTGTTGCTCAATAAGTTTAGAGTGCTCGCTTTTCAGATTCATCCTAAAACAGAATAGCTATAAATTACTTAAATTCCGTCTTTGATTTTGTTTATCTCCATAAGTATTGGTAGCAGTTTGGAAACGTTTTCATCTGTTTTCACTTAAATATTAAATGTTTTTCTTTTTAACTTTGCTTTTAACAAGATTGAAAAAATAGACAGTGTAAATGATTATTATGGATAACCCAGATCTGTATATTACATATCATTTATGGTATACATACCATTTATAGTTTTTCCACTATGCATTTGTAATAAGAAATTTCAATAGCTTTTTGTTTGTTTTTTCAAGGTGAAATTTTTACAAAAGTAGTTCTGGACAGAGAAAATTATCCCAAATACGAACTCACTGCAGAGGTAAAGGATCAGGGAACTCCATTTCGATCTGACCGAGCTTTGGTGGAAATCAAGATTCTCGATGTAAATGACAATGCGCCAGTATTTCTAGAACCTGCAGAGTCCATCATTGAAGTCCTAGAGAAGCAACCGCTGGGCACTGAGGTGGTGCAAGTCATAGCCGATGATGCCGATCAAGATGAGAATGGCTCCATAACTTACGAAATCGCGAAAGGTGATTTTTTCTAACTTCTTCTTTTTATAAACTTTTGCATGAACAAGTCCAGATGTCGTTTATTCTCATAGCCTAAATCGATACAGTCTCTGGTCTCATAACCTAGTGTAAAAGTGCCACGTAAATCGAAACCTGTAAAGCGTTACGATCAAACTCAATCTCCTTACAGTTAATTTTCTAAAAGAGTGCATAATGAATCGGTTCATTTCACGTCATGATTTTATGTCCAAAGTTACAAGATAACTGTCTCTTCTGTCGTTCAAAAGTTTGCTACAATCTCAATTTAATTTGGCTTACTGCGAAAAGAACTATAAGGAGTCCTTTTTGCTGTATTTTCAAAGCGAAAAATAACAATTTTCTATCACATTTTGAGCATATTTGTTTCGAAGGAGGCCTTATAATATTTAAAAACGTCTCAGTAATGATGAGCCCAACCAAAAAATTTTTTCCAATTTTTTATCTGTAATATCTTGATTTTTCCCTTTTCTTTTATTTTTTTAATTCAGTATCTTATCAATAGCAGCCCGACATTTAAGTTGTTTAAGATATAAATGCTTCTGATAATTGAGGTCCAAAGCTTTATTCAACTTGGAAAAACGTGTGGAGTAGACAGGGAATGTCTAGAAGTATAAACTTAAGTTCATACTTCAAGAAAATACAGGGTCATCCATTCATCTAAAATACAAGTAGAAACTGAATCTTAAAAACAGGATATTGATTAGAAAGTTCAATGAAGGAATATGCAGCATAAAAATATGTATTAATTCTAATGATATTTAAATATAACAATACCAAGATATCGGCGTCTCTTCATCAAATGTTTAAAATCACAAGCATTACGGTTGGAAATTTTTTTATACGCTATTGAAAATTTAAAGCTACGATTTCCAATTCCGATTTTAAACTGTTTCCATAATCTTGATTTATTTCTTTTTAAATTTAGGTTCTGAAAATATGGATGGTTTCAACGCATTTAGTATTGACTCTGCAACTGGCGTCGTTAAAACCAGGAAATTGTTGGATCACGAGAATGAAAAGCTGTACACTTTAACACTTCTAGCTCGAGATAAAGGCTCTCCCGCACTTAGGAGTGAGCTGAAACTCCAGATACAGATATTGGACTTGAACGACAACCACCCTGTCTTCCCTTCGACCAGCGTCTCTTTCAAAGTCAAAGAAGGTATCAGTGTTGGACAAGAGGTGGGAGTGGTTCAAATCGTAGACGAAGATAGGAGACAAAGTGGACGCATCATGTACTCGATTGTTGGTGGCAATCTGTTCGATACTTTTGACATCATTCACAGTACTGGAAGTCTGTATACGATTGCTGACGTTGACTTTGAGAAGGCGTCGGAGTATCATCTCCAAATCAAAGCGTACGACAACAGTGCGGTGAATCCTTATAGCAGGGTTATCAGTGTGAAGATTGAGGTGGAAGACATGAACGACTGCGCTCCGGTGTTCAAGAACGATCCCGTGCTATTTTCAATACCCGAGAACACGTCACAAGGAACGCTGGTCTGGAATTTCAGCGTCACGGACAGCGATGGTGGTATCAACGGGCAGGTGGCTTATCAGATTTCCCAGCAGTCCCCCACCTCTGCTTTTGAGGTTGACAAAAGAACCGGAGGACTCAGCCTAGTGGATGGACTCGACTACGAATCTATCCAGGAATATACCATCATAGTCACCGCCACTGACCAGGCCCGTGATGTGAAGCTACGAATGGCCACGAGTGTCACGTGCAAGATCCTCGTAGAGGACAAGAATGACAATTCCCCCATCTTCAAAACTCAGAACAAAGTAACAGTTGTAGAGAGCGAGCCTCTCAACTACCCTATTCTCCACGTCATAGCCACGGATAAAGATTCCAGAGACAACGGTAAGGTGACATACATTATATCGAACGGAAACAAGGGTGGCCACTTTGCATTGGACTATGACACGGGTAAGACATCACTTGTTATCTATGATTGTTCTTTTAATTATTATTTAGAATCTTTAACTGTTATTGTTCTATGTGTTTTGGAGATAATGCTGTGTATGGCGTATAATCTCCCCTTTATATTCAAAGTATATAAAGGAATTTGAAACCATAGCAATTGCATTTATTGATAACTGTAACAATGTGAAGTAAGAGTTGAGTTTCCAACACATTTTAATAGACAAGTTGAGGTGTATTTATCATATCCAGCCTACATGTTTCGTATTAAAATGTCATTGTCGAAAAATAAAGTAATAGTTTCTTAATTTTTTTTCTTGCGTGATAACTCGTCCTATCATACTAAACAAAAATGTCACTTTCATTTCTTAAACCAAATTGAGTTAATTTTAATCGACGCGATTTGTTATGATTAAAACTAAAATTTCTTCGTTAGGCTGGAAATTTAAATTTTAAAATCAAATGTAAAAATTAAAAAAATTAACGGTGTTGACTACGCCATGTTTAAATGCCTCATTCTGTTCTCAGTGGTTTAAAAACTACTTGTGTGCTAACATTATGAACCCCAAGATGTAATTCCTATTCTATAAAAAATATTACAGTAGAAATGTTCATAATGTAAACTGTTATCTCTGACAACCTAGCAAACTACTGCTATAATTTCTAATGTAATTACTAAATCCTATTTTATAATAAAACAACTTTAACAAGAAACTTTATTGTGTAAGTAAGTTTATATATTTAATTAACGCTCAAAAAGTAAAATCATTACAAAAATTTTCTTTGCGAACAAATCACAGCTTAACTTTTATTCAAAATCTTCAACGAACTTTAATGAATGTTGATTCTATAATAGACTTTGTACACTAAAAAAATAAATGCTAGCGACATGATAAATAAAGATTTTGATAAATAAGAATGCATAAGCTCTCATGTTCTCTATTTACAGGATTACTGACAGTCGCCAAGCAACTGGATCGCGAAATCATCGATTACTACGAATTAAACATCACGGCCAGTGATCACGGTCGACCCTCACGATCCAGTTTTCAAGTTCTCCACATTTACATCGAGGATGCAAATGATAATGCTCCCAAGTTCAAACAACGACTCTACCAAGCTAATGTTTCAGAAGCTGCCCCTAACGGAACATTCGTAACCAAAGTCCAAGCATCCGATGGAGATCTTGGTAAGGAAAAAAAAAACCTGCCGCCGTGTTGTTATTATTTTATATAAAAGTCGTAGCGTAAATGTGAACAACTCTGAAAGAATCTTACAGCAAGAAAGGGTGTAGTATCAAAAAGGGAATAATAAATGACTGCGAATTGCAGCTCATACATAGTGAATAAACTTTTATGCCTAGTGTGCTTGGCTCAATCCTTAATTCTCAAGTAGATAAACAAATAATAAAAATAGTACATATATGGAGAGAGTTAATTTCGATCTCCTTCCCTAATTTGTATTTCGGAATGATCTTAGGAGTAAATTATCTCGAAATACCTAAATAGTCTCCAGGTTTTTATTTTTCAAGTGATTGATCATCGGAAACTGTGTAATTAGACTATCAACAAGCTGCATATAATTGTAATTTTTTTTAGTCATGTAATTTCGTTAAAGTGACTGAAACTATTAATAAAATCGTACTTAAGATGAAATAATAGATTTTGAAACCGTTCGGGTTCCCCTTAGCGTTAACAGTAAGGATATTTGAACAGGAAAAAACAATCTGTTTAATTACGCAAAATCTCTTTAATTGCACAGCTTTGTGTCTACGCCACAACATGACCAGAATTGGACGACCTAGTAAAATCTTAGGTGATAATTAAAGTTAGCAGCAACAAAAAAAATTAAAAATTTATCTAGCGTATTATTTACTATTTGTTTTGATTTATAGGTGACAACGGAAAACTGACTTACTGGATACCAAAGGGAGTGGCGCAGAATAAGTTCTCCATCAATTCTCAGACGGGGGAGATACAAACAGCATCTTTGCTGGACAGAGAAGACCAATCCTCTTTTCTGGTGACAGTTTATGTGAAAGACGGAGCTTTGCCATCCAAGCACGACGTCACGACTGTCAAAGTAGAACTCCTAGATGTAAACGACCATGCACCCAAGTTTTCAAGCGATTCCTGCTACACTCTACGAGTTCCTGAGAACAGTGATTTTAGTGTGATTCATACCTTAGTTGCGACCGATAAGGATTTGAATTCCAACGCCGAAGTGACCTACAAAATAACAGGTAACCAATGTAACTAATAACCAATATCAATGAAATTAATTACATTTTGTGTACCAAGTAATATCGAAGTGATATTTAAAATGTCTATTTTTAATCTGTTTATAAATTAGTAGCATTTTTTACAGCATTTAGGACATGCATACTAGATGTTAAAATTTTTCAGAACAATGTTCTTTAAATTTACTAAAAATTGAAATATACCTTATGAATTTGAGGAAATGCTTCTGAGTTCTGAGGTAATTCTGCCAGTTTCTTAAGTTATGAATTCCAGTCTTCAGATAAGCTCAATTAGTTATCTTGAGCCACGATGGCTCAGGGGATAGAGCGTTCGCCTTCCAATGAGGCAAACAGGATTCGAATCCCAGTCGATACGAATTCCGCATCCGGTTTGCACCGACCACAGTGCTGACGTGAAATATCCTCAGTGGTAGACGGATCATGGATTAGAGTCCCCTTGCCGTCAGGCTAACCGTGGGAGGTTCTCGTGGTCTTCCTCTCTATGAAACGCAAATGTGGGTTAGCTCCATCAATAAGTCCTCCTCGAAGGCAAAATTTCTCTAATTCGATCCAAGAATTCCCTTGTCTTATGGATTGGGTTCAAAATTACAAGGCTACGGAGTTGAACATTAGTTGTCGTAAACCCATAAAATTGGATCGGCTGTTCAACGACTGTTACAAAATAAAATAAAATTAATTATCTTGTGTTACTGAATTCGCCCAAACACTAAAAATAATATTTTCAAAAACTGGCAGAGTTTAGAGTCCCATCTTATTTTCTTGCTGTACGAGTAAAATTAAGTTACAGGGAGAAACTGTAATACAAATATCTCCAAAAGCTAAGTTATGAGTATAAGTTTAAATCGATATTTTGCATTTTATAGAGGAGTGCTTGTGTTTTAATTGCTTACATGACTTTGAATTATTTTACTGCCACATTTCAAACCTGTATCGTATTTTAAAAATTGCCTACCACATATCTTTTTTCTAAAGATTTAAAACCAGATGATTGTCTAAAAAATACACACTAATTGCATGGAGATGAAAGTTTCGTACAGTAAAAATGTTAAACTTGGAGAGTGTTGCTAGCGTTACAACTCTCTTTTTATTTCTTAATTACAGATGGCAATACGGGCAACAAGTTCAGCATTGATCTTCATTCTGGTGAGTTAGCAAGTCGTAACCTGGATCGTGAACAAGTGGATCATTACAGGCTATTGATTTCTGCGCATGATCAAGGTGAACCTCCGCTAGCCGGCATGTGCAACATCACCGTCATTGTGCTGGATCAGAATGACAACGATCCGCAGTTCGAACAGAACGAGTATTCGGCCATCATAGCAGAAGACATAGCAGTCAACAGCACCGTCCTCATCGCCACAGCACATGACCCAGACACTGGAGTTAACGGCAAGATCACATATTCTCTTAGGAATGAAAGTCATTCTCTGTTCAGAATTGACAGTTTCACGGGAGCCATCACAACTGCTGGGTATAAAACATTCTTATAATAGTCGTACAGCGCGCGAAATAAAACACCTTGTTAAACTTTAATAAATTGAAACGCGTTTAAAACGTATTTTTTCGAACGTTAAGTATACAATTAGCAAATTCTCTCTCATTGGACGTTTTTTTTTTTTTATTGTTAGCAAAATAATTTGTGATTTTTTTTCTTACTTTTTCCTAATCACATTTTCAAACGTTTAATCTAATATGCATCAAGAATCTATTATACATATAAACTTGAAATTTAGATTTTAAAAAATAATAATTTTTCCTCTATTATTAAAACACAAACGATGAAAAGCTATTAATAAGATACATAATAAATATTAAAAAAAGGAAGAAAAAAAAGCTAAGCAGCGTTTTAAGAAGATTAAAACGTTTGTAGTGAAGATTCTGAAAGAATATTCGAAATCTCACTACTTTATCTTTTCAATAATTTAAAAAATAATACTTCTAATAGAGAATTTCTACCAAGTTCTTAGAATAATAAATTAGAAAGTATAGCAGTGAGATTTCGAATACTAAAAAATTAAAAACTTCAACACCTTTTTTTTCTTTTAATTTAATTTTTCCGAGATGCTCGTCAGCGTTGCAAATATGACGTAAAAATTGCAAATTCTCACTCACGACTTTGAGGAAAAATGATTTTTTACCATTCTGAGCTCTTCCTTTTTTGTGATGTCATTGTAACGTCATATCTGCCGAGAGTCTAACCGAGTTAGATAATTGTTTTGCCTTAAAAAAATCCTTATCGAGTTAAAAAAAATAATAATAACTAATCTAACTCAAATTGAAAAAAAAAAACTTATTTTAGCTTAAGATTTTAATTTTTAAAATGCAAATAAAATTAAAAATAATTGTGCTTATTTTTATGTTTTAAAATCCTCTAGAAATTTTATTTAAATTCTAACAAAAGGAAAGAAAAGTTATGAAAGAAATATAACTGCAATTTTCTCAATCAGCAACGAAAATCAAACTATGTTACGCTGTCATTATCAAGAAATTGATAGAAGATTTCAACCCTGTTAAGTTGGCTATTTCAAATTTTGTTTCATACAGATATTTTTTATCCTATACAAAGAATATTTAGTGATATAACAAAGAACAATATTAAAGGGCATTGTTAAACTAGTAGTTAAAGTCTTTTCTGTATTTGCAGTACATTCGATCGAGAAAAAAAGACGTCGTTTGTGTTTGAAGTGCAAGCTACTGATGGAGGACTGTACGATGCACGCTCTGCCAGGGCTACCATTCAGATCACCATTGCAGACGTCAATGACAACAGACCTATATTCACCGACTATCCCTTCTTGGCGTCTGTTTCTGCTCATGCGGCACCTGGAACTCAACTCATACAATTGGAGGCAGAAGACAGAGACGAAGGACCCAACGGAGAAGTGTTCTACAGGTATTCATAAACCTGCTCAATGATCCAATTATATAGTTTAGTCGAGTATTCGAGAGAATTAGCGTTCAAAATCAAACTACACTTACCTACTATTAAAATTTAATAGACTTGGCACTCACGCTTTTGTCCCAGATCTTAGAGTTTTGTGTCCCATCTTAAGATTTCAGGTCAGCAAAGTATTTTCTCTTTTTTTTTTTTTTTTTAATTACATAAGTGTGGGAATTGACGGATCCTTTTAATCCTTTTTAAAATTTTGGGAATGTTTGATAAGCATCCTCCGCCCCCCCCCCATTGTACTTTTAATAAAGAGCATATAGATCATGTTTCTAAGAGTGCGTCTTAATTCTTCCTAATATCGCTAATTTGAATAATATTTCAATTGTTTCTTTTCCGAAACCAAATTTTTTGTGCATGCTTTTTCTATGTTCGTATAAGCCTTAGGAAAACATGTCTATTTATTTCTATTATATCTAATTCTATTTATTAGATTAAAAAGAGTAGTCAAATTAATGTTTTTAGAAACATTAGAATTCTATGTAATTAGTTTATTTATATTAAACTTAAAATAGCATTCTTAAAATACCAGTTGTTTGGAATAGTTTTGCTTGAAACTGAGATTGATACAATTGTAAAAATTGAATGACTTTTTATAAATCGATTTTGAGTGAATCCAGAGAAATACAGCAATTATTGATGTATGCCAACAAGATCTGCAATATAAGCTTAGCTATTGACGCAGACAATTGTTCTTATAATCCCCCCCCCCCTTTGAAAAGTTTAAATTATGTATTTTTTCACCATATCACATTCTCATTATATTTTTAAGGTGGAAATACTTAACCTTATTTATATTTCAATAACAAATAACCTAGGTTCATTTCATCAGATTAAGGAATACTTCAAATAAGATAATATTTGTTTCTTTGTCTTCTCTCACACTGATCAAAGTAATAGTTTATTGTTGCATATAATTCAAAATTTTTTTATGAATTTTTATTGACCTTCTAGTCGTAGCAATTTGAGTTAATTTTAATAGGAATTCGATCGAATTAATAAAGTAATCTTTTAACAGCTCATCATAATATTTTTTTCAGTTTCACAAGTTCTTATTTGAGTGACCGGTTTCATCTTGACACCGATACTGGAATAGTGACAGTGGCTGGAAGTCTGTTGGCCGATGCTGGAAAAGTTTTCCATTGCGAAATCGAAGCCAGGGACAGGGGGCAAACTCCCAGAGTAGCCAGAGGTAAGTATCGATGCTGCTGATATCGATATTAATATAAACTACGTTAATATCGATTGTAAATGAGGTGTAAAATTTTCATTAAATTCTGGAAAAAAAATTAAATCAATTTTTTTGAAAGTAAATCGGTAAGTGAATCCATTAAATGTATGCATGTGTTTCCAGGAGTTCTGGAGATTCAGGTGGGAGACGTTACCTACAACAGCAGGCTTCACTTCCAGAATGAATCGTACAACGTCAGAATCTTTGAGAATGCACCATCTGGTAAACAAATCGTCCAAGTAAAGGCAGCGTCATCCTACGCTTCCATTTCTTATTCCATTAAGAGCGGCAACGAAGAAAACTCTCTCAACATTGACTCAAAGACGGGTATTTATTCATTTCATATTTCCCTTTCTCTGAATCATTCTCTGATTAGATTTCTAATTTATCTTAAAAGTATCGAATCATAAAATAAAATATATGCAAGGCATGGAAAATAAGTGTTGATCAAAACCGAAAAAATTTAAAGAAAAAAAAAATGCCCATTATAAGGAAATAATTCTATGATATTGAAATAACAAAGACAAGTTTGCTGTACTTAGTTGCATTGCTGCTTTATTATATTACATAAATGTGTATATTAACATCAATTCAATTAAAAAATAAGGCTAATTACATTGTAAAAACTGTGGTGTAATACCCATATGAATTTGGTGTTGAAAAACTTTTTTGGTGTGAATGATTATTATATCTCAAGTTAATATCAGCATTTTTACACACTTCAAAGGGTGTAGTTAAATTTTAGCAACAATAATTGATAAAGCTTATACCAATTCGCAACTCATTGGTAAAAAAGTTTGTGTTTTTTCGGAGCTCCTTAAATTTGATGAATAATTAGTGTATAATTAAACTATTTATCTAAATTCTCGTGTGAAATGATAGTAGGGCATGTTTTAAATGTATAACAAATGCTTTTGGACCGTTATTTGAAGTTTAAAGGGGAATAATTGTACATTTCAAGATCGAGACAAGATAGCTGTTTGCTTACATGAAGCGTACTGATTAAATATGTGAGATTTAATTAACAAGTATGTTTCAGTCCTCTTTACTGATTGATTAAATATATAGATTATGGTCGATTTTTTTCCAAAGTAATTTCAGTCTTCATGTTAAATTGATTTGACTAACTACTCGTATCAAGTGTTATAAAATGCATATTTTTAGAAAATTATGATTTGTATGCTTTGAAATGTAAGTATATTCATTTTCTCACAATTTTGAAACACACTCAGATCTTGATGATGAGAGAGAATTTTATTTATCTTTGTAGGTGTGATCACAATTGGAAACTCGGTTCATCTCGATTACGAAGCAACCCATCAAATCAGAATGCTGGTCATGGCCTACAGCGAGGGAAGAGTGCCACTTCATGGATATGCCACTTTAACCCTTCAGCTGAGGGATGAGAATGACAACTCTCCGTCCTTTCCTCAGGAACACTACGTTTCTTCAGTTTGGGAAGGAATCAACAAAGGAACATTTGTTACACAGGTATGAGCAACATTTCATCATTGCTGACAACTCAGTAAGTTGCAGTTAATATAATAATCTTTTATGCTTTATTTGAAACAGGTGACGGCATCTGATGAAGATCAAGATGGTCGGGGAACCATCATCTACCACATAATAGAGGGAAACCATGACAACGCCTTCATCATAGATCCTCCATTCAGTGGCACGGTAAAAACAAACATTGTTCTGGATCGTGAAATCAGGGACACTTATCACTTGACCATTGTAGCAGTGGATGATGGGTCACCACAATTGACTGGTACTTGCACTTTGCACGTTAACATCATTGACCTCAATGACAATCAGCCAGTTTTTCCCCCTCACAGTGTTGTCAGCATTAGCGAAGGTATGTACATAATTTGGCGTACTTACGCAATTCATTAACCACCCTTTCCTTTTCTTTGAAACGTAAGTTTAACACAAGATGTCTTATACTTAGTGGCAAAATTATTTTTTAAGGAACGCAATTTTGTTTTAAATTTTATAAGAGGATATATTTTAAAAATAGCTGAAAATCTATTTGATTATAATGTTTGTTTGATTCAAATCTCTGATTAGAATTAACTAATTCGAATGAGGCGTTGCAACTCGATTATAATCTTTCACAGCCGATCTAATATTTTAAGTTTTATCAACGCAATACAGCTCGATTACAATATGTGACAGCCGATCAAATAATTTAATTTTTATCATTAAAGCAGTACAGCGCGCTTACAATCTTAGTCCTCTTATGTCTTTTTAATGTTTTAGGTGATTAAAATCACTAATGTTTAAATCACTACGATTAGAACCACTGTTATTAGAATCAACTGATTTGAATTAGCGAGTGCAACTTGATTAGTTTTTGACAGCCGTTCAAATAATTTAATTTCGAAAATCAAAACAATACAACTTCGATAACAATCTATGACAACCGATCGAATAATTTAATTTTTATCATCAAAACAGTGCAACTGCATTACAATCTGAGTCCTCTTATGTCTTCTTAGTGTTTTCGGTGATAAAAATTACTAATGTTAAAATCCTTACGATTAGAATTACTGTAAATGGAATCAACTGATTTGAATTAGCCAGTGCAACTGGATTTGTTTTTGATTTAATTTCGAAAATCACAACTCGATAACAATCTATTGCAACCGATCCAATAATTTAAATTTAAAAAACTTAAGCAGTACAATTCGATTACAATATTTGAGGACCGATTGAACAATTTTGAAAATCAAAGCAGTGCAAATTGATTATATTTTTAGGCCTCTAATGCTTTTAAATTAATTTATGTGATTCAAATCACTGAATTCGTAACGGCGATTCGAATCAGGCAGTGCAAGTCTGTTTTATTCTTTGTGAGCCAATCAAAAAATTTAAATTTTAAAATCAAAGCCTTGTAACTGGATTAGAATTTTTGACAGCCGATTGAATAATTTAAATTCAGTGATTCGAATCCATTGTGATTCGAATCAGTTGGTTTTACCGGAATAGATTTAAATTATAATGATTTATTGTTTTTTTTTTAAATTTAAATTATTTTTATTTCTCAGTTATGATATGTCATATGGAATTAAAAAACTTTTCGTATAAATTCACATTTCTCATAAAGAAATTAAAATTTCCCATTCGTAGGGTTGCTAAATTCACAAATAATGATACAAAAATAGTAATTATTTTTTTCTAGTTTTCTAAATATTACTATTTGAAGTATTTTTTTACCATTTAACATTAATTTACTATTATTTATTTGTGGAAATTCTAATGTTTTAATACATTTTTTCTTTATCAACAGTTGGTGTAGAGAAAGAGAATTAATTAACTTGAAATGAAATTAGAATCTTAGTTGATTAGTGTTTTGAATCATTTATTCGAATCACTGATCTGAATCATTAATTCGAATCAAGTGAGTCAAATCACCATTCGAAACAAGTGATTCAGATCAGTAATTGGGATCACTTATTCAAATAACATGACTTAACGAGTCAAAGGTGAATCAAGAGATATAATTCAAATGATTCAAAACACTATATCAATCACTTTACTAACTGTCAGTAGAGAAAAAAGGTGTTACAACGTAAGAATTCGTTCAAATAAATTCACTTATACAAATAAATACTACTTATTATACTTTCGAACAGTTATTCTCTCTCTCTCTCTCTCTCTCTCTCTTTCNTATTAATTCTTTATGTGTGAATGTATAATGAATGTGTGATGTGTCAGGAATACTCTACGGTTTCACAAAAAAATTTTAACTTTATATGACATAGTGAAATAAAAGTAATTGAAATTTAAGAAACGATAATTCATTTTAATTAAAATCTATTACCATAAAATCTACTGATTAGAATCCCAATTCGAATTGAACTTAAATTATTCGATCAGCTATCGAAAATTGTAATCCACTTGTATTGCTTTCGTTTTCAAATATAAGTTAATTAATCGGTTCTCAAACATAATAATTGAGCTACACTGCTTTGATATTCCAATTATTTGATTGGCTATCATGGATTGTAATCGAGTTTTAATTTTCTAATTCGAATCAGTTGTATCAGTAATTACAGTGATTTTAATCCTAGTGATTATGATCACATACACTGAAAAGCCATAAAAGGCCTAAGATTTTAATCAAGTTGCACTGCTTTGTTCAAAATTAAATTATTTGTTAAAGAGCATAATCGAGTTGCAGTGCCTGATTGGAATCTATTGTTTCGAATCAGTTGCAGCTGCTTGGTGATGACATAATATAGCTTGTTTACATAATATTAAAATAAATGTTACAAAAATTATACTAAAAAAAATTGCAGACGATAGACTTTGAACTATTAAGAAATGCAAATGAATAAATATTATAAAGATTGACGTTGCTGCAGACGACTCCGCCCTCTGGCATAAGGTCGTGAAGTTACCCTGAAAGGTAAACAAAAATATTCCTTTTTTGTGAAAAATGCCTTATTTGGCGGGAGACAATGACGTCAGTAGTTTTCGGGAACTTTGTGTATGGAACATAAAGCACTTTTTTTTTTTGTAACTCATCGTTGCTCTTTATAATTCCATGACTATTTTAATCGCATGAAAAAATATTTGAGTCGTGTGCTTTTTTATAGCACAAGCTGGTTTTAGCAGATTTTTCGTCAAGTTTGTAGTTTTGCTGAAACATAAAAACAATAAAATTCGATAAAAACCAACGCACTGATGAGAACTCCAATTTTTTATATAAAGCGTTTTTTTACACAAATCAATTAGTACCCACTGTTCGAAAAGTGCATTTTAAGCTCACTAGAATTAAATTTTGATCAAAATTTATGACGTTATGTTGAATAATCTTGTCGCTTAGTTAAGTAAGATCATTACGATAAGTAATTTTTGGAAACTTTATCAACAGCATCACGTATTTGGTTTACTAGGTAGCCATTTTTATTGTCAAAAACTTAAGCAATTTTTCACAATGTCAAGAAGAAGAACGCTAGTTTTTATTTTAAAAAAAATATTTGTGTTGTTATAGTAAGTAAAATTATCTGAATACTTTTTTTTTCTTGGAACATCATATAATTTAATAATAAAAATTTTACTTTGCTTTTTTTTCCCTTTAAAAATCTAAAAATTTTGGTAATTTCCCAGTTGATCGTCAATTATAAATGCACAACATATTAATGAAAAATTGCAACTTAAACAAGCGTCGTACGCTTAATATTAATATTTTTTTATTCGCGTCAATATAGTAATGTACCTGTTTGAAAAAGTGATTGCGTGATAATCATCAATTTCTACCTATGTTCGAGCCTGCAGACTTTAATTCACTCATTTCGCTTTGTCTACAGGTGCCGAGGTCGGGACGGTCATTACTACTATCACAGCTAATGATGTGGACACGAATCCTGCTCTCATATACAATTTTGCTGACGGTGGCAACCCAAACAACTTGTTCAGTATCGATAGGTTCAGCGGTCGCATTACCCTGGCTCAGCCATTGGATCACGAGAAGAACACACAGTACCTGATACAGATTTACGCTTCAGATTCCTCACACGTGGCTGAAACTTCTCTGACTGTGCACGTGACTGACGTCAACGACAATCCACCCATCTTCCACCAGCAGCCTTACCAGGTATCCTCCATCTCTCATTCACAAGATTCGAATAAATTACATCATATTTTAAATTAAATACATGGTGTCCTTAGGATATTTTAATTTTTTTTTTCAAAAAAGAAAAACTACCGTCAGTAGAAATCACATATTCTACGGAGAAAGAATAAAAACATTTCTCAAACTTAGTCTAATCACTACGGCGGTCATGAAAGCAAAGGAGAGATTAAAATCATTTGAGACCAGCTGTTTTAAAAGGAAGGTCAAAGGCAGTTCCTATCTAATAAAGAATGCATTTTAGTCTCAGCATTACAAAAAATCTTTTTTTGATAAAAAAAGTGAATCATTTAATCGAAATCACACATTAGACTACTAAAAATTACTTTTATTTTTATTTTCACCCTTTAATTCCTTACTGCTTTGTGTCCTTTTTTTTTTTTTTTAGAAACAGTTTAAAAAATAAATTATATTTAATTCGCAAATTATTTTTAATAAATTATTTCTTTTCGATTTTATCTTTAACACAACAAAGCAATCTTTTGATTGCACTTTTTACATGCATTTTCGAGACTAATTTAAATAAAAAAAAATAATAAAAAAATTTGATTTATTAATTTATTTGCGGTTAAAAAATATTTCATAATTTTAGGAAGTGATATTTTTCATAGTCTCTAAATTTTTCAAATGTTCTTTTGCATAAAAAGAATGATTTTACAACATTAGTGATAAATTCCGACTTGAAATTAAACAGAGTTAAGACTCTGACTTGTTAACTTTGTATAGTGTAAAATTTTTTTTAAAATTCAAGACCTTTCGCTCTAAAAATATAACTGTAGTTATTTTATGACCAATAAAGATTTTAACAGGAAAATTTGAACGAATCTTCTAAACATGAGATTTTATAGACTCACTATTTGATTTTTCCGAAAGCGTGTATCACGAGGCTACTGGAAGAACTGACTACTGGAAGAATACAAGGTTCCATCCGCAGAAGGCCGGCGATAACTTTATTTTTTATAACTTCAGTCACGATCACTTAAATATACTTGAAATTAGGAAATATAATGAAGTGCGTAAAATTCATGACGAACTACAAAAAGTAACTTAAAAGCTTAGGCACGATGAAGGCAAGACAATCAAAGGGTACAAACAATGATACGAACAGAAATCAGCACTCAGCATAGACGTACGAGTGACAGTAGTGACAGATTTGGTTTACATAAGATAAACGCCAACACAGTTATTTATAAGAAAACTATTTTATTTATATCTGATTTAAAAATGAATGCAAATCCATGGCATAAAAAAACACGGTTAAAATCTTATTAAATTCATCTCATTAGGTCTCAGTTCCTGAGCTGGTGGATCCTGGATATAGGGTGATATCTCTCAATGCTACAGACAGTGATTCAGGTGTGAACTCAGAGCTTTTCTATAACCTCACTCCTTCAGTAACATCCGGTTTCTTCATTGATCAAAACAGCGGTAAATCTTTAGAAATAATAAAAAAAAATCTGTCCCGTTCCTAAATATTTTAATATAATAAAATGCAAATATCTTTTTTATGTGGCAGGTACTATGTTCACCAACAAGTCTCTGACTTTCGATCCCAAACAACACAGTGTCCAGGTCATCGTTTCGGCCACGGATAAAGGACTTCCGCCGAGGACGGCTGTCTCTGTTGTCCACATCCAAGTGGTGGATGTCAACAATAATGCTCCCAAGTTTGCCAACAACACATACAGGTGAGTAAGGAAAACGATGGCATGCCACGTGTTTTAATGCCTTTAATTTTTATGTACTTAGAGCTGATCAAAAAGTAATAAGATGAAAATTATTACTCAACACATATATAGCTGGTCACAGACATTGTTGTTTTTCGAAGAAAGCATTTTAATCCCCCACTATTCACCCTCATATTGCAACTTAGATGATAAAGGTCGAGGGCAAAGACTGTGATTTTCAATCTTCATTAGATATCAGTGTATTACAAGAAAAATAAACTTGAATTTCAGACCAAAAGTAAACTCATGAACTCTTTCCTAACGTTAACAAAACACATCTTTAAAACGATGAAGATCTAACAAATATTTGGGGTTTTCATTAATTTCAGCTGTAAACCTAAATAAAACCTGTTTGGTTGCTAAAATACGAGCTAGAAAGAAATTGTAACAAGATTTCTACAATTAAACTGGTTTTAATACATTTAATTCAGACTTTCACAATAGTAAATGCGCTACATTTCGATAAAGTTTTCAGTTTTCCTCACTTAAATACATCTCCCAATATGTGAACTTTTTGGGGTTTATTTTTTACGAAAATTCAAAAACTGTTTCTATATGTATTTATGGCAGTGATTGTAGGACATCCTGTTATACTTTCTCACTGAACAAAAATTTCCTGTATTTGCTACTGTAAATGAACCTTGCCCTAAAATTTTATTCCTGAAATTATTAATTTTATTTTCTAAAATTATTATGTTTCATTTCAACTTCATTAAATTAAAAAATAAACTGAATAATATTTTAACTTAATTGCATTTGATTTCAGGACTCACATTTCGGAGAGAGCCAACAGGGGTTCTACCCTATTGAAAGTATCTGCATCCGATAAGGATAAGTCTTATGCAAACCATAAAATTGATTTTAGCATCTCGGGTGGCAACGTTGGAAACGTATTTGCAATTAACGGATTGAGTGGTGACGTCATCCTGATGAGATCTTTAGATCGAGAAGTGAATGCCAATTATACCCTCAAGGCAAGTGATTTAAAAATATTAAATGACTGTATGTCAAATATTCTACAGAATCTTTTATTTTTTCTTATATTTAAAGACAGATGTATGCTAAAATAACGGAATTTCATTTTCCAATGTGCTATAACATCACCCCTTTCAATGTGATATGGTTCTATAAAATGTGATGTGTACAGTGCGCAAAATAAAAAACGGACTATCCTGAATAACTTATCTAATAATCGGATTTTCACGTTCTAGGACTCAATCTTAAAAGTTCAAAGGAGTACTACAAATATGCTAATCAGTTAATGCAGACGATATTTTAAGTTACGAAATCAGACACAAAAGCATATTTTCTCTGAATAAATATACCTTTTTTTCGTGGGAGGCGGATTTCTTAGATCCAAAATATAGAGAGTTAGTCGGGATAATAGTTTAGTCAGGAGTGCTGCCTAAAGTTTGAACCCCTAAATGTTAATTTTAGTTTTTGCGCATTTCATCATATCTTGAGAACTTTTTAAGCGAATTGAAAAAATTTTGTGTATAAAATTCGTTTTTCAAAAGTTAATTTTTTACAAAATATTAACTTTTTGTAAATATTTAATGTTATTTTACATAATAATATTCACAAAACTTTATAAGGTATACAATTTTTTGTATCATTTTAAGGAATGCAATTTTAAATGGCAAAATAAAAAAATAGAGAGAAATTGGTCTAATAGTTTCTGAGAAATCAAATTTTAAAAAAATCTTTAAAAACTTAATAGCACAAAAAAATTAACACCTTAAATAATGTTTGATCTAACGTTCAAGTTTTCAAGTAGTAGGACTCAATGTGTTTCAGGGGCCTAATCTTAAACATGATGATTAATTAATGGAAACGACATTTCAAGCGACAAATTTAGACACAAAAAGTTCTTTCTCTGAATAAACATACTTTTTTTTCTCCAGATTCTTGACCCTCAAACTATGGGAGGTACCCACAATTACCGGAAATAGGTTTAAATTTAGGAGAGTCGGTTAGTTAAGAAAAAAAAAAAAAAGCAGCAGACGAAAATTTGACCAATTCTATGTTCATTTAAATTTTCACATATTTCGCCATATCTCTAGAACTTTTTTAAGAGAATCAAAAATATTACACATACAAGTTACATTTATTCAAAGATAATTCGACGGAAAAAATATTTTTTGGTAATTATTCTTAATTACTTTATTTAACAACACACGAAAACATTTTTAATTGTCTGGCATACATATTTTTTACATCATTTTAAAATTGACAACTTTAAATGACCAAATACAAAATTATAGCGAAATTGGTCGTACAGTTTCTATATGCATATTAAAATTGATCTAAACTTGTGTTTTTAAGAAACAATTCTTTGCATCGTAGGTGACAGCATCTGACAGAGGGAGTCCTTCCTTGAACTCAACGGTGGACGTCTACATCAACGTCGATGATGAAAACGACAATCCTCCCATCTTCAATCAAACAATGTACCAGGCCTACATATCTGAATTTGCTACCGCCGACAGCCAAGTCTTGCAAATTTACGCAGAAGATAGAGATGCCGGCTCGAAAATCGTCTATGACATCACGTCAGGGAACGAAGAAGGAAGGTTCAACTTGCATTCCAAAACGGGAATCATCACGGTAAAGGAGAGGCTAGACTACGAGACTGAATCCGAATACAAATTCATCGTTAGGGCAACTGACAGTGACCCACAGAGGCCGTTGTCAGCTTTGGCCATCGTTATGGTGAAGATAATTGACGAAAACGACAACGCACCTCGGTTTCCTGTCACGATGTACAGAGAGGCAATCGAAGAAAATTCGCCAACCGGAAGTCCGATATTCATGGCTCATGCAATTGATGCTGACCGAGGACCGTTTGGAAAACTTAACTACTCAGTGACCGAAGGCGAGGGGAAAGAGAAATTTAAAGTGGATCCTGAAACAGGCTTGATTAGTTCTCTGGTGGTGTTTGACTATGAATCAAAGAATCGGTACTTTTTCACTTTGATGGCTGTTGATTCTGGAGGAAAATACACTACTGTTCAAGTGCAGGTGGATGTAGAAAGCAAAGATGAATATCCTCCAGAATTTTCCCAGAATTCCTATTACTACACAATACCTGGTGACGCCTCTGTCGGGTATCTGGTTGGTAATGTCCATGCGACAGATTTGGATGAAGGTATAGATGGTAGAATAATATTTCAGCTGCGCAATTCACCTCCTAATTTTGCAATCAACAGTACAACGGGGATTATAACTGTCAAGTCAATATTTCACAGAGAAGGTTCTGTCAGAGTTAAGAGAGATCTGAGGAATCAACTGTCACTTTATGTTTTCGCGAGCAGCGGTCGTCCTAACTCTTTGAGCAGCTCTGTTGTGGTAGATGTCCTGATTGATTATTCTCTGAACTCTTCTCGTTTAAGTGCGACTGAACAGAAATTAGAAAATAGTTTACCTGCTTGGGGAATTGCTCTGGTGATTGTTCTCTCCTTACTCGCTGCTGTCTTATTGGGGATGATTTTTTTTCTTCGCAAGCGCACGAAGCAAGGTATACCAAATACTGTGCAGAGCTTTGACAACTCCTTTGACACAATTGATATTCATCACCCACCATCAAGTACACCTGGAATATCGCAATATCCACCTCGCTACAGTGACATCTCCCACTTTGATCCGCCTGATAATGCCCAACAGATGACGGGTGCCACGTCCGAGGTTTCAGACCAATCACACTCTGCATCGAGTGGCCGAGGCTCTGCTTTTGAAGGAGAAGATGTCGAGGATGAAGAGATTCGCATGATCAATGAAGGACCTCTTCTGCAGCAACAAAAGCTGCAGAGGTTGGGTCTCTCAGATTCTGGCTTCCACAAAGACGACGATAATGTGTCAGAAATTTCTGTCCACAACACTCAAGAATATCTTGCAAGGCTTGGCATAAATACTTCGCAATCGGACGATAAAAGTGTACAAGACTACAGTAAAATATCAAGCACAAGAAGTGTTGAAAGCATGCACATGTTCGACGAGGAAGAGGAAGAAGACGATGATGTGAACATCGGTAATTTGATTTACCCCAAGTTGCATGATGTGGAAACCGAGGACACTGAGGCTATTGTGGATGATACGAGGAGCTTCGGATTTGGTGAAAAAGGAGAACCTTCTATGACCTGCTCACTCAGTTCTATCGTTCACAGTGAGGAGGAATTGACCGGAAGTTACAACTGGGACTATTTGCTTGATTGGGGTCCACAGTACCAGCCACTAGCGCACGTGTTTGCCGAGATAGCTAGATTAAAAGACGATAGTGTGCTATCTTTCTATGCATCCAGTGCCCCAAAGACATTGAACCCCCAAGTAAAAACAGTTCCACCGCCCTTAATCACTAATGTGGCTCCTCGTTCCATAGCACCAGTTGCTTTGAACACTGGACATCCTAGTCAGGTAGCTTCTCTCCCCACTTTACCTCATTCTCCTATCGGCCACGATAGTACTTTTTCATCGTCTGCCATGTCACCGAATTTCTCCCCCGCCCTCTCACCATTAGCGACCAGAAGTCCTTCCATATCACCTTTGGTGTCACCTGTCACAAGCCAGATATTGGGACCAAATGCGTCAAATCTGGCGCGGACTCAGCGTTCCACTCTTGCTTCTTCTGGATCAGAAGCAGAACTTAAACTATGAATTTTATGAACTGTGAACTATTTATTCTAATTCATTTTGTTCGGTTTCATGTGAAACGAAACTTCGATCCATTCCATCATTTACATTCTTGAAGCAAAAACTTGATAATAGATTTATTATTTAAGCAAAACAAATTATTCGAAATCGTGGAATTGATCAGAAAGGGTACACTCGAAATCGACTTTACTTCGAATGCTAGTGTAAAGATGTCTGCAAAGTTACAAAAGTTTTGGTTCGAAATCCGGTAGCAGGAGATAACTATCGAAAGTTAGAAGTGAATGATGTTTCTTGAAGATTAGTTAGCGTCATTCGCATCTCACTTTATTGCCGTCGAAATGAAACACTTTACTACGTGAATTAGATCATCAGATTATTTAGAAAGAGGAGACGATTTGCATGAGAAACTTAAAATTAGCAATCGTTTATCGAATTATTGTAAATAAACAGCGCTTCTGACCTATTTTTTTGTTATAACAGTTATGAATATACAGACAGCGTGCGCTCACTTACGTTGACTACGTTTTATTTCATTACGTTTTAATTATTCAAATATTGACTTCATTCTGTTTCATAAGATTCAATCATCTGCTTCATTCTAATTAAAAAAATTCAATTCAACATGTACTTAACATATTCATTAAATTGATACTTTCTAATAATACTAGTAGAAAGTGACGCCTATGTTTTTATTTTTAATTGTTCTCCTTTGAAAATTTTACTAAAATTAGTTTCGACATTTACTTTCTCATTTCACTTCAAAAATATGTTAGAACTAGATAAAAAATAAAATTAGAATCGCAGTTTTAATGAGTAAATTCGTTGCGATTTTAAAATTATTTGAGCTTCGTTGAGACATCTCTGAAAAAGTCATAAATTGTTTTTAATAAGAATGGATTGAAGTTTGAAAACATTTAATGGAAGTTTCGTAATGGACGTCTCACGTGTATTTTTAGAATCCATTTTCAAACATATTGGAAGCCACAGATAAAATATTTAAGCAAAGTAGAAGAAAAGCGCTATTCCAGTGAGAAAGGTGGATGGAAAAAACATGAAAAATAGTTTCATTGCCTAGTATAACTTGGAGGTGTTTCTGATGATCACCTATCCACTCCCTTCTGTGTTTTATAACAATAAAAGAGGTTTTGCTGTTTGCATCCTGCCTTCACCAATAATGATTCGTTAGACTTTGATAGTTTTTCTGTTCTTTTCTCTGCTTAAATATTAATTGGCGGTCCGTAATTTGCCTAAATGTTTGGCAAAGATTCCTAAAAATATAATTTAGTGGCGGTCCATACGGAATACCCTATTATAAATATAAGATTTTTTTTTGTTATGATTCTTAAGTGTGAATGTGAGTTATATTGACAGAGATGACGAAAGAATGCGTTGATTAAGAAGCATAACTGTGAAATAACTCACTGCCAGGCCTTTCTTGTTTTGCTACAAATAAGTCTGAAAGGGAACAATTAGTTTATGTGTAACTGTAATGAAACATTTTGATACAAAAAAAGTAATTCTTTTTAAGGAACGTATGATTTTTCATTTCATTCCATTTAGATTCAAAAAAAAAAAATTTTTTTTTTTTAAAAAAAACTCTGACTGCTAGAGTAGAAAGCATAATCAATTATTCGTTTTACATAAGAATACTCATTTTTTGCTGTCTTAAGAAACTATTCTAAGTAAGGCGTTTTAAGTCGTTCATGTGTAAAAACTAAAATGTGGTGCAGGGGCTTGACCTCGAATTTTTAAAATAAATCTTAATTTAAAACAGGCATGTGATTTTTTCGCTAATTCGAGGAATTCCCCGAATCTCAAAACCGTTGACTCGCAGACTTCTGCGAATTAATAATTTATATTCCGACAAAATTTTCTCGGAGCTCTGGTAATATAAAATTTTATTTTTATTCTTACGCTAAATTTTGTTAATGAGGCATTCATTTCACCCTTACCTTCACTCTCTTTTTTTTCGAAGTTCTCATTCACAAGTAATAACGCTATTTTTAGTCCGATTTGTTAGAGGAAAAAGCAACTTCGCATAAACTTCGAGAAAAATTAGTACTTAAAAGAAAACTACACATCGAGAAAAAATTTCTGATAATTTCTTTTTTTCAGCAATCGCATGTCAATTATAAGTTTGCCTTTTAAGGTAATTACGTATTTATAAATTTTAGGCTGTGAAATAAGGAATTTGTAATGATTGCATCGATAAAGAGATTATAATAATTGTTTCAATCCCATTTAATGTTTTTGATGTCATTTAATGACAATTAAATATTTTTTTACTTATACAATTCTTTTAAATGTTTTAGGTTTAATGATGTATATATTTGATTTATTATGTTTCCATATTTTAGTTCCTATCCTAAATTATGTTTTTGCTAGTTCTAATTTATATTATTTTTAAGTTTCATTTAATTTCTTTTTAAATATGACGAAATTCGAGTTTGTAAATAAATGTAAATGGCGAGCGCATGAGGTAGAATGACGAAAAAAGATGTAAATAGTATTTGTAACTACTTTGTGATGTCTTTTTCCCCCTGCAATGTATAAATTGTTCATTTTTGTATGTAATATAAGTTTTTGTTTGTAAATGACACATACCTGTATGTACTTGTACGCATTTGTAAAGTCAGAGAGAGGCCAAATTTCCAAAGATTTTCTCTTTCTTTTTATGAATAATAAATGTTTTTTTGAAACAATACTTGTATTCATTAAAATTACGAAGAACATTCAAAATGCTTTAAAAAACAATCCATCTTTTTCTCAGTTTGTTCAGAATTAGAGACCCAGTTTCCAGAAAAATAATATTTATTTAACCTAATTAGACAGAAGGAAATTCTTTAGATGATATAATTCAAACTTCTTCACTTTATTATCTCACATAATGTCACATGTGTCACATTTACTGCACTTCTCACACTTGCCTGAATTTGTCAACTTCAAAAACAGTTCCAAAAATGTCGTCTGCTTTTTAATTCGATCTCGTAGTACTGACTTTTTATTAATGCTTAGGTTAGCCCTTATTTTTTATGACTCGACCCTTATTAACAAATTATCCTATAATTTCCCAATGTGTACAGCTTTCATTAAAGTTGATTTTCCTAAAGTTGTAAGTAAAGTCTTACTTAGAGAGTTATGGCAATGGTTACAAGAATGACCAAACAGCCGGGTTGCGAAAGAGTAAGATAGTGGAATGGTTACCACACTTGGCGACGCTTCTCCACAATCTCTTTTCCTTAATCCATGTTAGAAACTTTTAGTTTTCACTGTGATTTTTATCGGTATTTTTATTTTTAGTAACATGTAATGTTTAAGTCAAAGATATGTTAAAAATGAAACTAAAATGAATACCATTTTAAGTAAAAGAGTAAATTATTGATAACTTTACAAAAATGAAATTGTTAATTTTTTTATCAATATATTTTTTAACACTGAAATAAATATTTTGATCTTAATATAAATATCCCTTTTTTGTTAACTTAATTTGTAATTTTGATGTCCTTGCGATTGAATCTCAATAGATGAATATTTGTGTCGATGGAATCTTGCAGCCAACATTTAGATCACTTTCCGACTAGCTCCGTGCCCGATGTCAATGCAAGATTAATCATTTTTTGGTCAATACCAACAGAACTTATTACGATATTACTGTCAAACGGAATTTTCCGTCAATCAAAATTTTCTGACCACTTTAAGACTGGCTAGAGAACTCAAATTTAAACTGAATCTCTATGCTGAATTACAATACTATTTGCAATCATTTCACGACCGTTACCAGCAGAATTCATCACTAAATTATTGCTAAAGTAAACTTATGACCTGTCGAATTTCCGACCAATTTCTGTTTAACTAGAGTGCTTACATTTCGAGATCCCCTCTGCTTTTTACGGCAATGTAAGTTTCAAACCTTTCCTAAGCAAACAGAATTAATCCCCATATTATTACAAGGTTAACTGATTGCTGATGAAAATTTTATCCATTTTTCGAAAAACTAAAAGTGTTTAAACCTGATCAAGAGATCCGAGCCTGTTGTCAAATTAAATAATTATATCGTGGTAACTTTGTCACAAGCAAAATTTATTGTCATACTATTTCTACAATAAATTTATAGTCGATCGAAATTTCAACTACAGTCCAATTAGCTAGAGGGCCTACATTTTAAAAGTAGCTCAGTATAGCATGACATTTCAAGCTTTCATTGTTTCCTGATCACTGCATGCAGATTTTAGAATCATATCACTAAAACAAATTTGTCTTAAATCTGAATTTCAACTACTTTTTAGACTTCTAGTTAAGTGTTCTTAAATGAATTAAAGACTGTTAAAAGGAAATGGTTGTTTCAATTATTTCTTGACCTATCTGAGCATAATTTAGAAGTGAAATTTATCAGCAATCTCTATTTCGTCAACTTAGCTAGACTAGCTTAGTTAGGACTAGCTTGAGTGCTTAAATTTCTACAGGTGCTCCGCGTCTGATGATAGTAAGCAATCATTCCTTTAATAATTCAAGCTTAATTTATTTGCAAACAAAAAACTTTTTATACAGTCCGACATTATCTAAAAGGCGCAAAACTAAAATGAAGAAAATAATAAAATAAAGTAAAAGCTTTGAAAACTATGTTTTTCAAGTGGATGAAAAATTGAAAAAATAATTCAATTTTCGTCATACAAAAAAAGCAAAGAGCATAGTTTTCGTAATAAACTTCTATCACCACCGAAAAATCACCTTACTTTTTTCATTCATTCTGGTTTGCTAAAAATCAAATTATTTTCACATTTTTTCATCCACTTGAAACGCTTCATTTCATTTTCTTATGACTAATCATTATATCCCAATTTCCATTTCAAATTGTGACCAACTTTTATGGAGATTACATTCTTTTTTTGTAATTGAATATTTTAATTAAATAATTCTGTCATTAAATCCCGAAAATAAAATTTAAGGGAAAAGAAAATAAATAGTAACAACATTTTATGTTTTTGCAAAACAATAATAAAAAAAAATACGCTTTGGAAAAAAATCTAAAAACAGCACTCAATAAAATTCATAGGTGATATGATTTTTCACCATTTAATGTAGTCACATTTTATTTTTCGAATAACAAAAATGAAAAATAAAACACTATGATAGTAATTCTAAAAACAACACTCAATAAAATATGAAGTGATTTAAAAGATCTCTATATCTTTACTTCATGGAATATATATTTACTAAATCCAGATATTTATTTTCAATATAAACTCAAATTAAAAGATTGCGCTTTTTTAATTAAACGCATGAGTAACTTTTTATTTAACTTTTTTTTAAAAATTATTAATGCATGGCATATTTGTGTTCAAACACAAAATAAATGGGTATTAAAATCAGGCATTGTATATAATATATTTAAAAAAAACAACTTGCATTCCTGTAGAAATATACAATAACTGATAAAAATTAATATTTAAGCAATTAAAAAATCTAAACTTAAAGAATATAACAAGATATTGATAAATAAAAACCATAAACAAAAACAATTACAAATCGCTACAATGAATTATAATTGGAAAATGAACAAACAGCAACAATTTCAGAATTGTTGTTATGGTATCAATATTTAGTTACATTACGATTCGATTTTCTTTTCCCAATCAAGATAGAAGAAAATACGCCTAAGTACAGCAGATTGTTGATGTACAAATTGAGCTCTTTAAACATGAAAATATAATTTATTTTTAATTTTTTCTCGAAATACTTTCTTGGGAAGAAAACTAACATTCTCTCAAAGAATAATTCGGCGTATAATTACATACATAACTTGATAAAAGTAACAAGGCGAAAGTCGAGCTATAATAATTTTAATAATCAAATTATTTTACAAAAAAAAAATTTTTTTTTTCAACATAATGTTTGTGAATAGAAGATACTTTGAACAGTTTAGATTAGTTTTAAAAGGAAAGGAGGAATATGTACCTGAAATTATGGGATTTCGCTAGATAAAAATAACTTGTCGATCACTCCACGTTAAGTCTAAGAGAAAAAGTTTCGTTTTGTTTCGGTAAATTTTGGCTCTCGACGAAGCAGAGAATGTCAGACGTATGTCGTAACTCTCTAACGAAATTACATAGAAGTAACTCTAGTTGTACCAAAGAATATACATACGAGAAGAAGGTCAGCTTCTATAGATGAAATGTAAACCGAAGGGTTGGTATGGACCCGGTGTATTAAGAAAAAAGCAACATTTAGGGGGCATAGCAGCACCCCATCAACTGTTGAAGAGGAGAAGGAATAGTTTCTTTTGATTTAAAATTTTCTGTTGCTCTATTTTCGCACTATTTATTAACACTACTATACACTATCATTGGAATATTTCCTTGAGAATTCATTTATATAATTAGTTCATATTAATTATATCTGCTAAACACATTTTGAAATGGAATGAAAGAATTTAATGGTTGAGGCAGTGTACCCAATCAACAACTAGTTCAGGTGACGAACCCTTGGACTGTCACTTTGATCTTTATACGCATGCACTAGCACACATAAGCTGATCTGATGCAGCGAAATCTGAGTGTGTTATTCCAACACCCTGTAAGTTGTTTTTATGGTATAGCATACTGTATTGTGCATTTCCCTGGGTTCATTAAGTATATGGAGAGCTGGACTTCTTTTCATTTCCTAAACAGAAAGAAATAATTCAAATAACCCAGAAAGTTTGTGAAATAAAAATTTTACGTTTGTCTATTTATCTTATTTTTTTCCCATAAACAAATTCTATGAAGAAGAAAAATTAAGTAGATTGATTTAAGGTACAGAACGCAAAAAAGTAAACGAACCACCCTGAATAACTTTCGATCTAATGATCGGATCTTCACGTTCTAGGACCCAATCTTAATGGTTCGAGAGAGTGATCCCAAATACGATAATTAATTATCGCAGACGATATTTTTAGTTACGTAACCATACACAAAACCATGCTTTCTCTGTATAAACATACCTTTTTTTTCCTACGGATTCGGATTTATAAGCCCCAATATATATGGGGTAGCTGAAATCTGAGAAATATGGTCCCAAAATCCCCATAGTTTGGTCAAGAGAGCTGTCCAAAGTTTGGACTCCTAAATGTTTATCTTACTTTTAGCGTATTTCGTTGGATTTTGAAAATTTTCAAGTAAATTGAAAAAATTTTGCCACAATTATGAAATTCGTTTATCCAAAGATAATTCCATGCAAAATAACTTTCAATAAATATTTATTATTTTTTATTATTTTATTTAATAATAGTCGAAAAAATTTTGAATAGTGCGCTATACAATTTTTACATTATTGAAAAGAATATAATTTTGCTTGACGAAATATAAAATTTGAGCGAAATCGGTCAAATAGCTTCTAATCGGTCGCAAAGCAAACTACCAAAGTTATTTTTATTCCAAAAAAGAGATAACGTGAGACTCCAAATAAACCCATTATTTTCATGCATCGGTAAAGTCTTGGACAACATGATGGCTAAAAGTTTTATGGTTTATTGAAAAAGCCAATTAGTATTCAGAAGAGGGAAGAGCGCAATAAGAGTTAGTTGCCTGTTTAAGAATGCAAAAAGTTCTAAAAATATTCTTTGGTTTGGTGTAAAAGCGTCTTTGAATGACGCTAATGAGTCCATACTTTTAAATGATGAACCATATCATCATGAACCCTGTTTCCAAAACTCCACATAATAGAATGATGATAGAGAACATTAAAAAAGGATAGGTATATTTTGTGCAACATAGACTACAGCAAAAAGGTAAAAGACATAATATCAACATGAATGATGAACTTTTATTTAGGCTTTATTTACGTTTTTTTTTTTTCTTCTTTAATTTATGGTAACGAACTTTTTTGCGAACAAAAAATTTGTTTTTACTGACCAACCAACAGATACTATATGATGCAGGGGGCCACAGGGCTATTCTTAATTTTAAAGACATTTTCAAAGTCACCCTCTGAGTGGATGCGAAGCTCATTCTATTCTTTTGCAGATGATGTCATATTTCCGAAACTGCTTTCCGGCACTACGATGTGGTAATAGCGAAACTTTTTCACAAATAAAAGGTTAAGGCGTCATATGCTTGGTACTAATAAAGAAAAAACAATTAGGATTGCTTCTAGGGAAAATCGATTTCAAGAGATCTGCATATAAATTTAAGACGTATAACTTCAAAATAATACAAGATTGAACTACTTGAGTGTTGCAATCAAAATCAATTTAAACATTACTGGAAGAAATTCGAAACAAAGTTCAAAAACTCCTCTCAAACTTACAAGGTTTTCATTAGTAAAGCAAATTCGGGATTGAACAAATATTCATATAAAAGATTTTACTTGATGGCTAAAAAAATACGCTGTCTTTGAAGTGTGGTTGAAATCCAACGATACTTAACGATATCCATTCAACCAATTCCACTCTTTAATATAATCAAGTTATACAAAACGGTTTGAACGGAAAGGTTTTAGTTAGAGTTATACCGTTCAGCCTAAATCGAGTCTTTGGGGTAAATCTCGATAGTAATGACTTTGCGGAAATTTTGGAACTACTCCCAGACAGTATCAAGCCTTCTAGATAACCATGGCCTAAATTCCATTAGTCTAGATAGCAAATCCGTTTTCTCATAAAGAAGTATGATTTTAAATGGTAGAAACATCCGAATCCTTCATTGTGTGGTCAAATAAGAGAAGGGAACAAGAAAGGACTCTTTAAGATTATCTGATAGAAACACACTGTCATATTGAGAACATTATTTTGATATAAAGCTTTGCGTAGCTTTTACTCACTCGCGAGATTGTACTTGAAAACCCAACTTGTCAGTTAAAAACTTAATCCTAAGATAAGTAACCCATATAGGGGCAAAGATGTAAAAAAATTAAATAATGTTTAAAAGAAAGTTTTTTGATTGTAGATGGTCACTTTTAAAGCAATGTAAATAATACGAATAAGTGACAGGAATCTCCGTTTTTCATAACTCAATACGACGTAGCAAGATTGGAAAATTGGAATAACAATTCATTCATTCAGTTTCCAGCTTTAATGAAGGAAAACTCAAGGGAAAACAAATACGTTTTTAAAAAAACTATTCATTAAATTTCTAGCTTCCATTAGTTGGAAGAGACGAAAATAGGTTTTTGGAATAAACTATTTATTCAGTTTAGAGTGTCCTTTCATACGAAGGGGGAAATTATGCTTCTGTAGAAACTTATTTATTGAGTTCCTATTAGAAGCTTCCATTAGAAGAGGGGGAAATATGTTTTTGAAATAAATTATTCATTCAGTGTCCAGCGTCATTAATTGGAGGGGGGAATTGTTTTCGGAATAAACTATTTATTGAGTTTTTAGTTTCCATAAATAGGGAGAGGGAAAAATTATGTGTTAGAAATAAAATATTTATTGCATTTCTAGCGTTCATTAACCGGAATGGAAAAAACATATATTTTCGGAATAAACTATTCATTCAGTTCCTAGCATCCATTATTAAAAGGGAATCAAAAAGAAGAAGAAAATACAAACGCATTTTCTTCTTCTTTTTTATTCGTTTTGGTATTAGGAATTCATTCAGTTTGCAGCGTACATTAATAAGAAGAAGGAACGGAATCAGAACTGAAAAAAAAATTACGTTAGATAAACAAAGAGTAAGAGAGATATTGAAATGTTATCTGTTAAAAAAGATCGATAAAAAACGATTATATTCCAATTTGGAACATGCGTTTCAAATAATAAATAGTATCTGATTCATGGTGTTTAAAGGGCATCTTGACGATGTCGAGGCGCGTGAAACAGAAGAGCACAACAAATGGTTTGAGATATTTTCAGTCATTGGCCAATGTAGCCGTTCCGGGCACTCTGGAAGAAGTGCCCGAAGAAATCGAGAAAAAAGCAGAGCAGATATTTGGAAACGATGATTGGAAAAGGTAAATATCTGTTTTCTTATTAGATTAACAATTTCGTAGAAAAAAAATATTTTCAGAGATATTTAGTGATAAAAGCTTTAAGAAATGTATTTATCTTTTGATTCAAAATGCGTAAGGCATGGCTGTCGTTGTCGCCAGTGGCATAGTGGGTGCATATTTTAAAAAGTGCAAGTCCCTTCAAGAATTAGAAATCTCAAAAATCCTCCCCCTGATATTTCAAATAAACTTAAGAATAATATTCACGTTAAATTTAGCTAAATTAAAAACAAACGAAATTTTTCTTTTAAAAATCATAATTTTACCAATAAAATTTTTTTTCCGAACGGAAATATTAGAGACTTGTTATAATTGTGTATTTTATTACACTCCCTTCAAATATTAGATGCTTGAAACGCCAGTGGTACAAGGGGTGTAATTTTTGGAAGCAGTTATGATCTTGGTTCCTTTCTAAAAATAGCAGTAAAAACTATCGGGTTATAAACATTTCTGCATAGTTGAGTCTACATTTGATATTTAATAAACTTTGTCTTCTGTTTTTAATTAAAATAATTACTTTCATGTAACTTATTCTTCATGTTAATTATATTCATGTAAATCGAATTTTCATAACATTTGTTATTGAAAAAGATTCTAAATATAGTTTGAAATATTTTCCTATGCTTTAACTTCTACACAAATTACTGTCTTGCAATTTTTACCTAGAAAAAATTATTAATAATTCTAATTCTTCATTCGTTGGAGTTCTACAGGAATTAAAGAAAGGTTTTGAAAGAGTTGGAATCGTGAAAATTGTCTTGATTTTAGTTCGTTAAATGTTAAGTTTTACAGGAAAAAGAAAAGAAAGAAAAAGAACAGACGTTTTTGATCTTAGGAAAATTATTTAGACAAATATATATAATTATGGGGGGAAATATTACTTACGAAAATTGAGATAATTATTTTAATTACAGCTTAGTAGAAATTTAATTTATCACAAGTTTTTTAGCCTGTGTTTGTTTGAACTATTGAAAAATCCATATTAAAAAATTGAATTATTAATCAAGCCATCAAAAAGTCATCAATTTATTAAGCTAGTGTGAAAAGGTAATTAAAATTCGATGCAAATTAATTTACTGCATCATTTGTAATAGTTTCTCAGTTCATGAATATTCACTAAAAAATTTCTTGTAATAAGGTGCTTAGATGAGTGCGTGTAATTTACTGATATCCAGACTTATAATGAATTTGCATAGTTTCAATATTTTGTACAACATATTTTATAAAAAAAAAATTTTTCAACTCTTAAATTACGGTATAAAATGTAATTTTAAATAAAATATCTCCCCTAACATTACTTTAAATATAAATAAAAATAATAGAAATAAATAATTTGAAATATATATTAATATTATTAATAATATGAACATTTTTTTAAAATTCGGTGGGATTTTTGAGAAAGTATAAATTAAAGTCACTGTTTAACTCACAGAAAAAAAGGAGCCTTTCTGTAGTTCTTACTAAATAGTTGCAAGTCACGGCATGAAATAAAGCTTTTTTGCGAATAATATACTATTTTTACAACTGCTTCGAGTTTGAAATCGTCATTTATGACTGTCAAGTCGTCGCTTTGAAACTAAACCGTAGTAACTCAAAAAAATCGAAAAATGAGATATGTGGGTCATTTTGTGTAAAAAAATTTACCCTTTTAGAGAAACAACGTGTTATCTTCATAGTTCCATAAAATTAATTTAGAGAGCAGATAAATCGTTATCGCATTGGCGCGATTCGCCCTCTTGGTTTTAGGGAATAGTGTGGCAGTGTGCCAGTTGCAACAAAACCTTGGAGGAGATAACGTCGCTTTGAAGCTAAACCATAGTAACTCAAAAAAGCAAGTTTTTCAGGAGAGGGATTTTTTTCCTACACTGTTGTATGTCAAAATCTGAAATGAAATGTATAATATTCGGGAGGATATTTTGAAGAACATCGTAGTATTTTGAAATAACTCTACACTTTTAATAAAAGTTTTAGAGAAAAGTGTTGCAACTCAAAGTATCTTAACTTATTTCGAAATTACTACAAAATTAGAAATGCTACAAGAATCAGGCCTGGTTCATTGAAAAATGTAAAGAAACAGGGTTTTTTTAATGTAAACTATTTTGCAATAGTCGCGATAGCTTCGAGTCAACCTGCGGTGAAAGTTCCTGAAAAGTTAGAAATTGCTCTCCTGAGAAACTTGCTTTTTTGAGTTACCACGGTTTATTAGTTTCAAAGCGACGAAGTGTAGCCCATATTTAGCCAGAACCTTCTATGCTCATTCTGAAAATGATGCAAAACAACACTACGAAGAAGAAACAATAATCTAAAAAGGAGAAGTGTCTTTGATTTGAATTTTTAATAATTGAAAAGTGACTCTCACTCTGCATTATCTAGGCTCACAAAAATTTGCAAAAATTGAGAATTATTCATTTATTTTGATAATTTTCATCCAGTGGAAATATTTTACAATGTGAGCTTTTTTTTACATGATTTAATAACTTTTAAAGTATTATTTGTTCGTTCGAAAACCCAGATAATTTTTTACGGGCAAGATTACATTACAAATTTAAAATGATAGCTTTGCTTGAAGTGTAAGGCGCTTAAACTGGGGCTTTTTTTATATGTTATTTAGTGAAAGAACGTCGATTAACACGGTTACATCGTTCAACTAAAAATATTCGAACAACATTTCGTTAGCAAGCTTAGTTTAGTTGCCCAAAACTTTTTTTTTCTTTCCGAAAGAGGTGCCTTAGTTGATATGTCGCCTACCTTAATGCCTTTTTTTCCTGAAGGCTTTTTTCTTAATTTTAAAATTGAAAAATTAGAGAGAGTTTTAATGTTAAAAAGTATAAAGAACTAGATATGAGAAATTTTCTCCTTCTTCTACAGTGTTGAGAATGCCATTGGCGACATATTCAAGAATGATTCATGGCTCGAAGAAAGTGGAATCCTTTTTAAACTTCATCAAAACATAAAGTAAGTTAACTCATGATGAATATCAAAAATTCTCACTTAACCATACCAGAAATGTAAGTTTTTTAATGTTTTTTGTTCCGTAAATAGTTATATAATTCATGATCTTCCCAAGAGGAGTTAATAAGTCAATTGGATTTAATATCCGTACCCAAACAAATGCATCCAGAAATTTCTTTTATTCCTAGAATTTTTCTAAAAGGTGAAACAATTTTCAATTAGGAAGATTTATTATTTTAACGAGAAAAAAAGATATTTAATAACGATTGATCATTTTACATAGCAAACCACCTCTTAAGTAATTAAATGCCGAAATAATTTGGGGAAAGCTGGGAATTGCTTTAAAAGTAGTGGTTGATACATATGAAAACCCAGCCAGAAAAGAGGTAAACTTCAGCCGTTATTTGGAATTTACAGAAGAGGTGGACAGAAGAAACTTATATCAAAGATATTGCTATCTAGACAAATGAGGTTCTTTTCTGAATAGATTGAAACCAAATAAAATCGATGAAATGGTTGCGAATTTATGTTAGGCTTTACGGTAAATATGTCTATTTTAAGAAGAATTACTTAAAAACTATTAATTATATTATTAAAATGATTATTGAAAAGAATGCTTATGTTAAAACTCTTCATACACANATATATTCAAATCTTACTAACAATCTAACAAGAAAATTCTTTTACTATTCTTCATTATTTTTTCAAATTCGTGAAAAAAATAAATGAAGATTATTAAAAATTTATGGAATATTTTGTATTCATGCTATGTTTCTAATTTCAGAAATATACTGCGATCGAGAACTGGAACTTTCTTAAACGATTGTTATAAAGTAAGGACAGGCTTTGGATACAAATGGCAGTTTAGAGAATGTCCTTTATGTATTCAAAGAATGTCATTTCAATTGGATCCTCTTTTTTTAGGAGTGGTTGATCAAAGAATTGAATAAAGAGGTCTTAAACCTTAAAGGACTCAAAGGTAATAGGCAATTTGTTTTTATGAAAATGAATTAGTGAAGGTAGACAATTGTATTTAAATCTAAAAAGAAAAATATCAAAGAATTATCGATAACTCACTCGAGTTTCAAACATTTGTTTTCAATGGCTCTTCAACTGTATTTGTGAAAATACAATTGAATACAGTGTGTAAATTAAACACTTTATAAATGATTTTTATTTTCGATAAAAGTGTCTGATATCTTATTAACGGAAGAGGTGGGATGGTTCAAGAAATAAAGAGTCGTTGAAGAGGTTACCCAAGTTCGAATCCTGGCGATGACTAACCCAATCGTGTTCGTTTCTTGGGATCCTTTTTAACAGGCTAACCGTATGAAGTATTCGTGCGTTTTTTCTTCAGGTTAACCTTAATACTTGATCCAGGAGTTTTCTTCTCGTTAGGTGGATGTCAGAACAACAAAGCTACTGAGTGGATTATGATTTCGGAGCATAAATCGGCTGTTTAATGCTGTTAATAAAATTGAATAAAAAGCATTAAAATGGTAAAATTAAGTAAAATAAGCTTTTGATGAGGTGACCCAAGTTCGAATCCCGGCGATGACTGACCCAATCGTATACGTTTCTTGGGATCCTTTTTAACAGACTAGCCGTATGAAGTATTCGTGTATTTCTTCTTCACGTTAACCTCAATACTTGATCCAGGAGTTTTCTTTGCTTTAGGTGGATTATGATTTCGGAGCATAAATCGGTTGTTTAATGCTGTTAATTAAATTGAATAAAAAGCAGTAAAATGCTAAAATTAAGTAAAGTCAGCTTAGGCAAGTAAAGTCAGTAGGCATTTTACTTAAAAAAAAGTTGCAAAAGGTCAATGTGGTGCCATTTTTTTTTTTTTTTGATCGTCCTTTAAACCTACTATAGATTTTTGATCTTTACACTCATAACATCAAGTTCAACCACCAAATTCTATTTAGTAACTGAAATATGTCACTTTCCAAAGTTGCACTTTAAAAAAATAATAATAATAATAACATATTCTTATTAGGTGTTGAGCTTCTGCAGAGATTAAAAGAAAAATGGACCACATTTTACTCCAACACTGTACCAATGTTGGAAGTCGTTTTCTATCTCTTGAAAGTAAGTCAATCACTCTTCTATCTTTTACTTTAGGAAGTTTTTAATGAAATGGAAAAACACGAGTCTTTCTTCACAGCACTGATCAAAAAAGCCACTTTATGTAGTTTAAAGTTCTACGTTTTACAATGGCATTCAAATTAAAACATCCAATGTCATACGCAGTAAGTCACAAAAGTTGTCAGGGCTTATACGTGCATTGTATTTCTAAGAAAAGAGCAATTTCGCACCACAATTTTCACATGAGTTATTCGTTTATTTGTGGAGCCAGAAGGGCTTTACCACATCATGAATTTGGTCTAAAAGAACAGAATCCTTTGTTCGATATTTTTAAAAACTAGATTGAGATTTATATATATATAATCCTATGTCTCCTTAAGATAGAAGAAAATATTATCATGAGTCTCATCACCAATCAGTATGGATAATGAAGGATAATGGCAATACTAATTAGCATTGTTTTTAAATATGTGACACTGTGTTGGAATGTGTTTAACTGTTAACTGCTCATTAAAGCTCTAGAAATCTGGTATAGGATCGCCAAGTAGAAAATGCGTTATTCATGTACGACCAAAGCACAAATCATTCAGTATAACTTCATATTTCCTCGGTAGGACGAGTTACCCTTGAAAATGGTTGTGTTTTTGATTTATGACTGCGTAAATTTATTATTTGCCTCACTTTTTTGCCATTCTGATTATAGTTCAAGATTAATTGTGGTTTTAACATATAGAAAAGATAACAATGTATTAGTGAGACCAACTAGATACCATTACTGAGCAACCATAATTTTGTATAAATTCATAAGCATGAACGATATTATTTATGAATGATAGAATGGATTTTATGAGTGATATTCATTAATTATAAACTGCCTAACAGCTTTTATAATCTGCGTAGATTTTCCTTTTTTTATGTGTTTTGTCTGGGATAAATTGCAAAACAAGAAAAATAGTGTGAGCTTCGCATGTAAAAACTGGACATGTTGGATGAAGTTTCTCATTGACGATCTCATCCAATATGGCCACAACAGTTACTTTTCGAAGAATATTTTAAAAGGCATGGATCTAATTTCTCAATTAGTTAATTATGAGTCTTTGGCGTAAAAAATGCTATACCACACCTAACGTTTGGTTTATATTAAGAGTCTATCTCAAATTTTTTGGAAGTATCTGGAATCTTTAAGATAGTGAATAAGATTTCGAAGAGGGATGTCACAAATTTAACCTGATAGATCAGGATAATCACTATTAAAATAATGACGTTTCTTTATTACTAAATTTGTATATTGTATTGAAATATATTTGATTGTAAGCTGTTCTCTGTAACTGGAGCAAGAAAACGCTGGTTTTTTCAGAAAAAGGTGTTTATATGTTAATCTTGTAATATGTGATACGCACAGGGCCGGATTAACCTATAGGCACACTAGGCACGTGCCTAGGGCCTACGAAATTCAGGGGCCTACGAAAAACTCGGGAGAAAAATTTTTTTTGACAAAAATAGTTTAGCTTTAAAAACAACAAGTGTATTTTGCACAAAATTATGAAGATACAAATAAAAATATAATATTTTACGGTAATAAATTATTTTGCAGAATCTTATGATCTAATATATTACTTTTTTGCGATTTTTGGATTCAACGAAATCTTGTATTATGCTGTCGAATTCCAAACTACGCAAAATGTCGGATTGAATAGACATAAGTGCGAGCGATGCCAAACGATCTTGATTCATTGTTGAAAGCAAATAATTTTTTATCAATTTTAATCTGGAGAAAGATCTTTCTCCTTCTGCATTTGATCCAAGAATCGACAAATATATTCTTAATGCAATGTGAAAATATATATGGCGTAATAGGTTTCCATACGAAGAAAATTTTAGCATATATTTTGAAAAGAGGGTAGGAGTGGGGGAAGGAGGGGAGGGCCCATAAACGGCTGTGCCTAGGGCCTACGAAAGGTATAAAACGGCTCTGGATACGCAATATATGTATTTACATAATATGTGAGTAAAAATTTCAGTTTTTTTCCGGAACCTCTTATAGTTTTAAAAGGAACTATTAACGATTTTATTCCGGTTTTAAAAGGTACTATTAAAGGTTTTATTTCGAGTAATTTTTTGTTGATTCCTGTATTCCCTTCTGAAGGCCAATGGGTATTTAAAGTCTTTGTTATTGCTGTTAAAATATCAAGTTGCAAAACAGGATGTTAGAAAGGTTTTTTAGGGGTTTTTATATACTAAAATCAGTTATCTCGTTTCTTAGGATTTCAACTGGTCCTAGGATCTAAGAGAGCAGTATCCCAAGCATTCATCACTAATGTTTAGTAGCAATTTTACCATACGAAATATAATGGAATGCAGTTGAATATTAAGATTTTACAAAGCCTCTAGACAGCTTTTGGAATCGGTTTAAGTGAAGCTTTTTAGTAATGATTGGTGATACATTCAAGAGCTAAATATGTAGAAAGACTTTCAGAAGTGAATATAAAACTGGCAGGGCGAACTTTCTCAGAATAAATCTTATTACAGTTTTATTTTTAAGTAAAGCATGTAAGAATTATAACATGGATGTTGGAATACAAACTGCTACAGAAGTTGGAATCATCACTTTCAAAAATATTTTCATCTACGTTGAGTAATTTATGTAAATGTGACTGCACAAGTTTTGAAAGCTCTGACCACAAATTACTTAACTATTTTGAAACATAAAGTTTTCTCAAGAAGCTGTGTTTCCCTTCTTATATTTATTACAATGCAGGTGCGGCACGTATACTGTCTGATTACAGATGAAGTATGAAACAAAATAAAAACTATGTGATTTTCGAGAGTTGCAGCAATCATAATACCTTATGCACAATATTCTGGAGCAAAAGGAAAATCCTCTCTTAAAATCAAATTTATACAATGATATACAAATTGCATCTTGTTTTTTTTCTTCTTTTAAATAATAAAACAGATAGTGTCGTGGTGAATTAGGGGATAGAGCGTTCGCCTTCCAATGAGATGAATCTGGTTCGAAACCCAGCGATGGCTGGTAGATACGGATTCCGCACCTGGCTCGCACCGACCACAGTACTGACGTAAAATATCCTCAGAGGTAGACGGATCATATGTTCGAGTCCCATTGCCACAAGTCTAACTGTGGGAGGTTTTCATGGTTTCCCTCTCCATGTAACACAAATGCGGGTTAGTTCCATCAAACATTTTTCCACGAAAAGGCACATTTCACCGAATACTTGAACCAGGAGTTCCCTTGTCTTCTGGATTGAATTCAAAATTACAAGGCTACGGACTTGAACATTAGTAGTCATTAGCCCAAAAATTAGGTTGGCTGTTCAACGATGGTTATAAAATAAAATAAAACAGATGACTATCGCTAAATACATCTAATTTTGTGCCCTTTCACTTTTAATGTTTAAATTTATTCAGAATAATACTGTCAATTAACAATAAATTGAACTAAAAAACAGTCCAAGATAATCCTTGGGCTATTTTTTTTTCATGACATTAATTAGAAAACAGAGCAATAAAACCTCATTCATAGGCTGCACATGTCGGCATTTCAAAATAAAGTTCAATGAAAGGCCATGCCGATAAGAACATCTTATCAGTGTTCTTTCTTTCTTTTTTTTTTCTTCTTTAAAGTAAAATAGTGGCTTCAGAACGAAATCAATGAAACAAAATGTAACAACATTTTTACTGATCAATGAAAAGTAGAAAAAAAAGTGAACTTGCTGAATAATTTTTGATTTGATGATGCAATTTTCACGTAGCGATCTTATGGTTCAAATTTATTGTTCTTAAATGTGCTACTTTATGAAAGCAGACGAAATATCACGTGCAAAAAAGTATTTTTTTCTTCCTCAATGCATTCAGGTGTTAAAGCCTGGGTATGGGCGTTAGTTGCTATCAGAAAAGGATGGTTCCATTATATTATTTAGGAAATCAGCCGAAATTTTTTGATAGTTAAATTAACTATTTGAGTACTTTGCCTAATTAATGTATTCTAAAAATTATTTCTTTAATAATCATAGAAAAGTGTTTAAATAGCTAGGACTTCGAATTTTTACGTTTTTTAAAACTATGTCATTTTAAATGAAAAAATATTTAAAATTTGAACAGATATGAAACTTAATTTCTTGTCCCATTACTTCCTAGATCCTCAAAATAGTATTAGTGGAGAAATGAACAAATAAGATACCTTAATTTTAAAGATAATTTAAACGCTATTCTTATATTTTTGTACATTGTATGTCATTTTGTAAGAAACCATTTCTTTATATGTTAAAGCCAAAAGGAAGAATGTCTGTACGGAGCACAACATTAGTGACATTCAGAGATGTTGTTTTCTTTTCGGACAATGTTGAAGGTACGTACTTATTGTTTTACCCTTACACTGACCCTCGTTAGTAAGTAATCTGATACAACGTGTTCATTTTTTTTATAGTAATTCTTTTAAAATATGTTTCTATGAAATTAAATAATTTAAAATCAGCAGTAACTGGGTACTAGCACTTCAAGAAGTAGAAGATCTCGGATACCCACACATGTGACCTATGACGTCAGGGCCAGCTGATTGTTATAAGCAAAGTGGCGTGTTAAAGTTGAGCTAAGTTCGAATGCTAATCAACGTTAAAATAATTAAATGCAGTGCTGTATCGCAACTCGAATTTGTTGAAATACAATTCTCTCTTACTTAAACGTCTTTTACTTAGATTTATTATTTGGTTCATGTATTTTATTGTAACTGTAAATTATTTTTGTTCTGTGTTTCTGTGTACCTAACAACTTCGATGCATAATTAGTTTGTTTATGTTCTTCTTGGCTTCATTTCTGTCTTTGTGCTAAATTAGAAATACATAGTGAAAGAATTGAAATCTTTGTGAAAGAATATAGATAATATCACTTAAGAGAATCGATACTTGACTGGCTTGACATACTCGAAATAGAATGGCGAGAACAGTTGTTAATGTGAACAAATACCACTTTTCAACAACCAATCAGGATCAAGATATCCACACAACGTCACTTGCACGTATCCCATTGAAATTTTTAAGAAATAAGTATGTATTCAAAGGCAAAATTAATGGATAAGTGGAACTAATATGTTTTAAGAGAAATGTAAAAAATCGCCATATTATTATTATTGACGCCAATGCTTAATTTAGGTAGTATATGCATATGGAAATAAAAGAACTATTTTATTACCGAACTATTTTATTACCGATTTATTAGAAGAAGATACTTACTAATAATTCTACGTCTTTCTTTTATTTACCAAATAAAAATCATGCAAGCATACTAAAAGTAATATGCATTATACATTTTAAGATTAAGGTGAAAGCAAAAATAAGTTTGTTACTTCAACCATTCTCATATTGATGCAGCCACTGATTCATAAATACCCCTCACAATGTCACTTACTTGGTTCTTCCATTAAACTCTTCAATTTTGTCGGTATATGCCTTTCAGTTTTGTGCATGATTTCGCAGTATTGTTCAGTACAGTTTATTTTTCTTTATTCACCCCCCGTACTAAGAACGGATATTCAGCTAGTTTGTAATAAGTACCAGTAACCAAAAAATTTGAATACGGAATTTTTTTTAAATATATTTTCAAAGTAAAAAAGATCTTTTATCAAGGGACTTGGTCAGAAAACTCTCATTTTAAAATCAAATCTGACGATTCTGATATTGTGAAGGGCAGAATAAAAAAACCCCTTTCCATTCAAATTAAATAAATGAAAAAAGATCCACAGGAATGGCAAGAATGTGGCAAAAGCATATTTACGCATAGAGCAGGAGATAAAAACGTTTAATGATGAGTTGCGTCAGAATGAGTTTTTAGGGACGTAACGCTCAATGAATCTGTTAAGAATTGCAGGTGTGCGTCGTCATTGCGGCGCGATTCGCCTCTAAAACTAATATCGCTGGGGCAAAGAATGAACATGTATAATTCACTTCTTTTTCCATTGAGTGTTATTTAACATGGTCTATTTTTTTTTTATACAGTATCCATCAGAACAGAAAAAGAATACGCTTCTTCGGAGTTACAACACATGATACTAGTTCTTTATGTAAGTATAATACTTTTCTCCACTAAACAGTAAGGAAGATAACGATCTCCATTGTTAAGCAAATTTTTGTAATATAGAAAAAAAAAAAAAAACTTGCATGAAGCATAAGTATGAAAGAAAATACGAGATAGGTAATTTTGATCAGTTGAATCTATAAAAGCCCTTAAAAAAAACTGCAGCTTTAAAATCTTAAGGATTGTTTGATAATTCAATGAAAAAAAATTGGAACACTTACTTTATAATCAGCGGGAACTGAATTATACTGATTCACTGAGTGGAAATAAACATGAAGGTTTACTGTTTGTTGCCAATACTACCTACTACATCTATCGGTTCTTGGCTGAAACAACGGTTCACTTCTTACTTATACCATTGATCAGATGAGCGCTACTTGTCATAATTTTGGCGTTAATCAGCCAAAGGTAATGCCAAGTATCCTATGGCTTTGTTTACTTTTACTATGAGCTCTCGCTGAACAGAGTACAGTCAGAAAGTTTCACATAATAATTGAAAATAATTAAATAAAAACGAACATGCAACATTTGCAAATGAATTATAAATTAATTAGGGAGCTACACATGTTCTCTGGAGGGTTGTCTCACGTGATCATTGTCAATGTTTTGTAAGTGTAGTAGTAGTACTGAGGTAAGAAGAAATAGAATTTCTTTTTTACTTGATTTCATTTTTTTTTTGGGGGGGGGGGAATAGGAAGATAAACTATAAAAGAATTCGTTCGCCTGTTTCAAAGAGTTATTTACCTACGTGGAGTTTTTCTTAATTTTTACCATTTCATATAAAATTAATGCGTAATTTCTTTCATGCATTCATTAAGTGATTCATATTTAATTTCGTATATAACTAAATACTATTTAATAAATGAGCATGAAATCACGAGTTCAGGTTCCGGGTAGCAGGAGGGGGAGAACTCCACAGTTGACTTATTTACAGCAAGCTGGATAGCCTCATAACGAAACATTACCTATTCGATTTCTCAGAAACTATTCAACCGATCGATTTCGCTCAAATTTTGCATTTTGCCATGTAAAATTACATATTTTAAAATAATGTAAAAAATTGAATACCTTACACTCAAAAAAAATTTTCGACCATCATTTGATAAAATAATAAAAAAGAATAAATATTTGCAAAAATTTATTTTTTGTATGGAATTATCTTTTGATAAACTATTTTTATAATGGTGCTCGAAAATTTTGTTAGAAATGCGAATTCGTAAAAAAAAAAAAAAAAAAAAANAAAAAAAAAAAAAAAAAAAAAAAAAAAAAAAAAAAAAAAAAAAAAAAAAAATAGTCAGAGGAAGTACGTTTTTGAAGTCTGATTTCGCAATTTGAAATATCATCTGCACTAATGAATTAGCATATTTGAGGTCTCCACCTCGAACCATTAAGATTGGTTATAAAATGGATCATTAATCATTCGATCAAAAGTAATTCAGGGTGGTTCTATTGTGGTGCACTCACATTACAAGATTTGTCGAGTCGGATCCGGAACTAACAATATTGAAATCTATCTAAACCAAAATCTCAACATAAAATATCCAAAAATATGTCAGAATTTCGGCAAAAAAGGGATTTTAGCATTATCTACATTTGGAATTATTACACCTGTGTGTGTTACTCTTGGAAGAAGACGTGAGTCGGAAGACGTACATGGCACACATGCCGAGTCGGATCTTAGACAAAATCCTGATAAAGGCGAAATTCTAACAATGTTAAAATCCTTTGTCAGTGGCATAAATCTCGATACATTTAAATTATCTGACAGCGTCGGGATTTCGTTTGAGTCAGAATTCTAGCTTGTCAATAATTTGGCAGGCTATCTTTCCTTGGATTGGAATTATTATAGATTGGTAGCGTTCCGAGAAGGACATCAATCAGAAAACACACATCGTACGAAAAGGTTTACAGAGTCTAATGTGGGGCGGAATTGCAACTTGGATAAAATCCCAAAATCGCTGAAATTCATCTAAACCAAAATCTTAATATATTTGAAATATCCGACAGCGTTGGGATTTCAGCTTGTCAGTAATTTGGTCGGTCGTTTGCCTTGAAATTATCACAGCTCTTTAACATTTGGAGAAGGACACTAATCGGAAAACACACACATCGTGCACCAAAATTTGCTGAGTCGGGCTTGGGAAGAAATTGTGAGTTGTATGAATTCGAAGTGTCTGGAAATTGATGCAATTCATCCAAACCGAAATCTCAACACGAATCAAACATTTGCATCATTTGAAACAAATCAACAGCAACTTGTCGGTATTTTGCTTACTTGGGATTTCACGGGAGTCAGGACTTCGGATGTGTTGGAATTATGGCCTTGTGCGAATTTTTAAGACTTTGGCTGTGTAATCTGGAGCAATTTGTTGCACATACTAATACTGGGGCGGGGGGGGGAGTGAGACATCTTAGTCACTTACTCTTTGACGACGAACGACGAGTCTGGTTTAAAGACGCAATTTTTGTTCACACTGTAATATTCATCAGGGTTAATCTGTATAAATCTTAATTTAATCTCCAGTAAACTCAAACTTTTTACTAAAAAATTTCTTAACTATTGACATCTATGCATTATCCAGTTAATCTCTTGTTAAAAGAAAAACAATCATTATGAACTCAAAATCTTTTCTGATAAAAACTTAAAAGCCACATTTCGTCTCATTTAGTTTGTATTACAAAAAACTGTCATATCATCTCAATTTAATTTTTTTGTTCTTCTCAATATTTATTTTTTGTATTCAGAGCGTAACAGACACTTACCCACCATCCAAGAACAGGCTGAGGTTAGAAGCTGTGGCAGCTTCACTCTGTTCCACATTCATGGGTTACTATGGAATGTACAAGAATGGAGAGTTGGTAATCCCTTCCAATGAACCTGCAGCAGCTTCTAGGAGGAGACCCAGTGGTAAGATTCCCCCCCCCCCGCATCTACAGAAAATGTGTAGAACAACTTGCATAGAGTGTTCAGAAATACCTACTTTTTTAAAAATGAAGCAATTAAAAAAACACGTTAAGAATCGCAAAAGTAAGTTTGAAACCGAATACAGTCAGCTCATCAAAATGGACGATATTGATTTTCATGGATGATATTCACAATAGAGGTAAAAGAAAAAAAAAGCGGCTGAAATCGGTACGATTGACAGGTGAAACAGAAACGCGATTATTATTATTATTCGAAATACCTTTCAATTTCATTGGATAATAATTTAAAAAAATCTTCATTCTTTAAAATTGCAAATGATTTAGATTTGTATAATATTTTTGTTCTCGTTCAGAGGTATAGTGGAGATAGTACGTGGGGAAACGGCATCATACTCTATCGGCTATTTGATAAAATTCCATTTTCTTCGATTTCGCAGTTTTTTTTATATATAATTAGTCTTTTTTTAAATTTATTGTAAAACTTGTGCAATGAATGTGCAATTGTGTCAACAAAAAAAAAACAAAAAAAAAAAATACGGACCACCCTGAATAATCTTTAATCTAATGATTGGATCTTTACGTTCTAGGACTCAATCTTAATGGCTCGAGGGGTTGACCGCAACTATGCTAAGATCTCCAAAATATTGGGAACAGTCGCAATCTCACAAATATGGTCCCTATAGTTTGTTTAAAAAAAGCGTTGCAAAATTTGCACTCCCTAATCTTAACTTTACATTTTGCGTATTTCGCTATATCTCGAGAATTTTTTAACCGAATTTAAAATTTTCGCACACCATTATAAAATTCGTTTATCCATCCATTCGTTAACTATCCCTAGACATTAAGATTGAGTCCAAGAACGTGAAAATCCGATCATTAGATCAAACGTTATTCAGTGTTGCCCGCCCCCTCACTGTACATTAAAAGTTTTAATTGCAGTGTAACATATTTTGTTGCTGCAGCCGCAGGCCTATTTGACACAAAATACCAAAACCATCCAGCAAGTATCCACATAAAAAAAAAATTATAGCTTAAAGTTTTTATATTATAATTAATGAATTTTTCAGCCGTATACAATAAAGGCAAAAATTTCTGAAAACATTTTCTCGTGTTATTTTCAAATGTAAAAAAAGTGAATAAAAAGTCGGAATTTTGAGCATTTTCTCACTTAAATATTTGAAACTACTGTTCTTGTCCCATTGAAATACGAATTGGTAATCCCCTCATGCATATTTTTCTTTTCTTTTCTTTTTTTGGTATGCTATATCACACAATGTGGAACATTTTTATAATTTAACTAATGAAATATTGCTAAATTAATGACAAAAAATGTTTTGATATTTCAGAAGTGGGACCCCGACGAATTTCTCGTCCTTTCAGTGTTCAACCACAACAGATGGAAACACTTAATCAACTATTCAAGAACGCCGTTAGAAACAAACAGCACCCTAGAGGTGGAGGGCGATTCCAGAAAAACTGGAAACTGGTTTGAAGACAAGACATTATCAAAAAGTCTACTGTTCACATCAATTCAAAAAAGTACACAGCAAAAATGTTCTGGTTATCAATTTTTAGCTATATTTCTATAATTATCGAATTGTGAATTAAATGTATTTTAAACTTCTCTGCCTATAGGGGTATCCAGTTGTATACAGTTTTTTATTTTATTTATAGCAGTTCTTTCTTTTAAGCAAATTTTAATTTTACTTAAAAAAAAAAAAAGATCAGTGTAAGGGATATTGGGTAATTTCCCACACCTGATTAATCCACTCTCTAAACTTTTGTCGCATCGCGTTCATAGCACTAAATTTATGAAATGCTTGAAATTTAAATGTTTTCTTTTAATGGCAGCTCGGAAGATTTTGGAAGCGTTACTCATTTAACAATACCCGGTGGACAATTGTAAGCCTAAGTCACAGAGACGAGCAACATTACCCCCGCAACACTGTCACAGTTGCCAGTTCATAGGATGGGCCACATTTATACATCAGAAGACAACACCATACTCAGAGAGTAATTCGAACCTGTAACCATTGGCTTCAGTCACGCATGCTAACCTTTAGCAAAATTTTTGTTGTAGTCATTTTTAGGTTAAATTCAGGAATTTTTGGAAGAAATAAAAAGATGCAATAAATTCATTACTTTTTATATTAAAACAACAGTTTCAATATGTTCCTATAAGACATCTTTATAATGTAAGATTATATATTTTCGAATTTAGAAAAATATATTTTTCTAAATTCGAAATATTAAAAGGAAATATATATAATAAGGGGCCGTTCTAATATTATGTAAGTGCGATTTTAGCACGTTTGGATTCCATTACCCCCTTGGGAGCAAACACAAGCAAATCATAGATCAGGGGAGATTGTGAGCCCAAGTCAAAATTTCAGAAAATTTCTTGAGTTAAAAAAAAAAGTTTAAATTGAAAAATTAGAAAAAAATTTAAACAAGGTTTTTTTTTTCCTTTTTCTCAATATTTCTTAGTTTACTTAAAATATTTTTAAAAATTTACACATAGCTATACCATTTACACATACCTATGATGACCTGGAGAAGTAAATCAAAATTTACAAATATGTCTTCCTTTTTTGAGTTTATGATTATAACAACTGTTTACTGATAAAAAATGAATATTAATCATGAATATAAGCTTATAAAGTATATCTCTGGCTCTCCTTTACAAACAAATAAAATAAACTGTGTTTTTAAGTTCCACCTTTGAAAATTTGATTTCCGGAAACTTCTGTGATCAATGATTTTTTTAAACGTCTGGACCTTCGATCTCCGGAAACTGTTAGCAAAAAGTCCGGAAAACCGGATTTTTTCCGGAGCACAATCAGCCCTGCAAATCCCCTGCCATGCTTATGTAAGAAAGCTCATATACTCCCCCCCCCTGCTTTCCACTTAACTTAAACATTTATTATAGTAATCCAATTTTAGGATTAAATTCAAATAAAAGGTTTTGAATGATTGAAGATTTGAGAATTTTTGAAGAAAAAAAATTTGCACAAAACTAAATTCACATTTTCATTCATTTTATAATAGTGTTTCGGGATCTTAAATGTTTTCCTTCTGTGGTCAAATCTCTAGACAGCTGAAGAAATGTTTCCAATTCTTTCTTTTCTCAAATTTAATACCAAATTTGAAAATTTTTCAATTTTCAATTTTTTTGCAACACTTTTCATTTGTAATAAAAAATAACTAATAGTAAATTATTTTAATGTCTTACCTAAGCATCGCTCATATCCCTCCCCCACCCCAGTCCTCAAAAATAAGCAAATCATAAACTCTTTCTCTTAGGTGCTTGCATAACATTTAAACTGCCCTTACTACACAGATTTTTAAATATACTAACAGAAAACTAATCTTAGTCAATAGCCATCAGAACAATTAATTTTAAAGCAACTGGAAAATTGAACTAATGAAGTCACTTCTCAAACCTTTGCAAAATAATCCAGTTTTATTAAAATATTTTGTATGTAAAAAAATTCTTTAAAAAGAAACAATTTGTATTACAAAAATATTACAAAGTCACTTCAACAAAATTTTTCTAAACAAAAGAATACATTTTACTTCTTTAAGTTCGCTTAAAAATCCATAATCCATTTAAAATCAGTTTTACAATTATAAATTATCTACCACCACGAATTGTATACAAATATATTAACAGCAACATTTTTATTAATATATTATCTAGTGAATTGGATATATGAAAATCTTGAATCACGTTTAATAAAACTGAGGCATTTATTAAAATTTGATCGTTTAATTCCAAAACAATTTGTTGGGATATTATTAAAATAATAATAACAATAGAAGTTATTCTTTGGACAAAAGAGATATACTCAAAAATGTCTTTAATTTCCTAATTACTTTTAGAGACATTCAAAAAGATGCAAAAAGCAAAGTTAACTTTAGGAAGCTATTTTCTTTGATTATAGTTCTATGAACCATATTTCCCAAATTAAGGCTTATTTTGAGAAGGAGTATCTTAAATATGATAACAAAATTTGTAGAAAAAATATTGCATCGTGATACAGGGAAATTAGATCAAAAGTTAATCTTGGTCTTCATTTTCTGTGCACTATATACCTTAAGAGTACTTATAAAAAATTGTAAATCATACTTAAGAAAAAAAATTTATAACCCAGGATAAAAATGAAAGAGAGGTATACCATGAACAAGATGGCTAGATAATGTGGGAAAGTATCTGAGAGGTGAGGGAGAAAATAGTTAGAGAGCAGGAGGATTTGTCATATTGAGATAAATAAAGTTGCCTGATCCAGCCATGACTTTGAATAAGCTGTAGTGCTGGTAGAAAAAGAAGAAAGTTAAAATATTCATTAAATGGGTTAATTCATTAATAAAGGTAAAATAGCTAGTCATTGTCCTCAATAAAGTCACATAAATATTTATATTTTGGAATTTTTAAAAAGGAATACAAATGCTATTTATCAAAATGTTCAAATTTTGATTCGCTGTCACCGCTTTAAATAGTTTACAAATTAAATATTTTTACTTACAAAAAGTACAAATACAAAAATAAGGATGTGTACATACTAAACTTTTGAAAATCTCAACATTATTTGACTTTAAATAGAGATCATTTCTTCTTCCCTTTTAGATTTTCGATATACTTTTCCAAAACTGCTTGAATGGAGTCTTGGGAAATGAATTTAACAATCGACTCCTGCTCTTCTTTCTCATATGATATCAACTCATCCACAAAAGGTTTACGCAGGCTGTTTTTGGTCATCTTAAAAGCAATTTCTACAAAAAAAAAAACATGGTTTAAAATATAAATATAGGCCACATACAAATATTGTTATACTTGGAGGAAACTTGTAAAATTGTGGCAATTTAAGACGAGGAGGGAAAGCCAAACATGAAATACAGGGATTGGAGAAAATTATGGAAACTCTTCTATACTAACACATTTCTCAAGAAATACTTAAGAGAATTAATTTATAACTTCAGAAGTGCTTAGATCATGTGATTTTTTATGCATATCAATGAAGTTCAAAGCTTTCAGAAGTTTGATGGATGGGTAATGAATTACGAACAAAAAAGAAAGTTCTTGAACATTAATATAAAAAAATATAGCAATAAGCTTATAGCTTGTATAAATTATTTCAGTAATAATACGCAATAACTGCACGAAATTTTGTAACCTCTGCTCAAAACATTTAAGGAGATACGAGATACGGACATTTTTATAAAAAAACTAATATTTTTGCTTTGTGATTTTTTTTTACTGTAACTACAGAAATATTCATTAAAATTTAAAGAAAATTTTTAAAGCAAATTTTATTAATATTTTCAGAAAAAAAAACATTGAAAATTGCGCAGCATAAATGTATTTTAAGAAATTCTTTCACACATCGCATGCATGGAAAACATTAAAACAATTTTATTTACTAATTTTGTTCTGAATCGTATTTGGTAACTCATTAAAAAAATCCGATTTGAATATCTTGAAACTTTAAAAAGTATAATATATAGTCAAATTTTTAAAATTCGATTTCTCAAATATTATTTGACGCATTTTGCTCAAATTTTGTATTTTGTCATATAAAATTATATTTTTTAAAATTATGTAAAAAAATTGCATAACAAATAATTTAATAAGTTTTGGACTATTATTAAATAAAATAATAAATATTTACTAAAAGTCATATTTTACATGGAATTACCTTTGGATAAACAAATTTTATAATGGTGTCCAAAAATGTTTCAATTAGCTTCAAAAGTTCTCGAGGTATGGCGAAGTGTGTAAGAAGTAAAATTAACATTAAGGGGTCCAAGCTTTGAACCACTCTCATGAACAAACCAGTGGGACATTATTTCCCAGATTGCAACTACCCCCTATATTTTGGTGATATCATTGGGTCCTTGAACTTGAAGATCTGATCATTAGATGAAAAGTTATTTAGGATAGTCCATTTATCTTTTTTGCATTGTTCATTTTCTCCTTAGTAATGGTTAAATATTTTATTAATAAACAAAAGTGATCCTAACTCTTAGTGAATTTATGGTTACTACCAACAGATTTATAAAATAGTTTAAAAAAGAAATACGTATAATAATAGCAATATGACTCAATTCAAGGATCAATATGACTCAAATCAAGGTTAATTCAAGGATTAGTACAGTCTAAACTTAAAAGGAGCCAAACGAACGAAGAGTACAGGTGACATTTCAGAATTTTTTTTTAAAATTTATTGTGGAAAATTATTTTTTCAGTCTTATTCAAATATACAACATTCATTTATTTTATCAAGCCTTTTTCATTCTGAATCCATCTTAGTGGGTGAGCGATGAAAAGTATAAACTGAGCGCTTTTGGAATGGAAAAACAATCAAAGTTCATTTGGGAAGAAACAATTGATGAGTAACCTTAAGAAACCTGCTTTTTGGCAGCAAATTAAAATGATAAGTATACAAATACTATGACACAAACAGCTTAAATGTAGTTAGTTAGAGATTTCTAGATTACAGCAATTAGAAGTTAACAGGCAAGAAACAAGGGCAAGGCATAGTCTTCAATTCTTATTGTGAGGATCACTAATTCAAATTTGCAAAATGTCACCAAGAACATTAATCCCTTAAGCTCTTCTTCATACATTATTTAACATACCAGGAATTTTTAAGAATTGCTCCATCTGTTCCTCAGCTTTTTCCTGTAATTGAGCAGGAGAATCTACAACTTCGTGAATCATGTTCAATTTCAGAGCTTCTTCTGCAGTAAACAATGTTCCCCATTTCAGAGCATTTTCAGCATTACGAAAACCAATAGTGTTGACAAATACACTCTCAAACCTTAAAATATACAATGTTTAAATTATTCAATGTTTAAATGTTGTTCATCCATAACTTTAAATCATCTGAGAATTTTATAAGGAGACCATAAAAAATTATCTGATAAAGTAGTATTCCTTTTTAATATATTACTATATTTCTTTAACAAAAATCAATCAAGTAAAGCTTGGCGTAAAAAAAAGACAATATTTCTTCAAAAGTGCTCATTTTCAGGGCAGATTTTGTTAGTATTTTTTATTACAGAACTATACCTGACTTATTAGTACTATACCTTATTTTCAAAAGTCGAGATATTACAAAATTTTAATTAAATGTATTTTATTAATTTAATGTCTTTCACTCAGTTAAGCCGTCATTTATCTTTAAATGGAAGATATTGAAAGTATAACCAGCCACATTTCATTTATCTGAATCTGTTCTTCAGTTACATTTCAGCCAATGTGAAAAAAATAATATGGAATATGTTACATTTCAACCAAGAAACAAATATCTTGCAAATGTTTCAAATCTGACAGATCTATGGGAAAGAGTCAATTAAAGAAAATAAATAATAAAAACAAACAAACAAGTAAGCAAAAAAATATTTACATCTGTTACTGTGGTAACAAATATTGTTTTATATCATATTAGACATAGCATTTCAAGGGCTGCTAGTAAATTTGGACCTTAAAAGTTGGTACTTATATCACAATACAGGGCTCATTTTATATATCTATTAATTTTTAAAAATACATTTTAAAAAAATATTTTCCAAATTAAAATACTAAAGAAAATAATGCAATTGTTGAATTGAACAACAATTATTGTTCAATATTGTTTCTGAATATATATAAATTAAAAATTTAAGATTTTTTAAGTTTTATTATGCACACAAGATGCACATACATAGAACCCATAATATAAGAAAAAACAGAAAAAAATAAGAGGAAAAAAGAATTTCAAAAGAAAGGGAAAAATTATGAAAATAATTAAAAATTTAAATTGAAATAATTTAATAAAAATTTAAAATTTGGTAATCCTGCAACTTAGTTACGAAAATATTTTTAAATCATTTTTGCAAGTCATTCTGTAAGTACACAGCATTTTTTTTCCTTCTCGCTTTGCATGTTATTGCTTGTTTTTTATTTGTTATTTTTAATATTTTTTTTTAATTTCTGTGATATTTTTACATGAGAAATTTGTGTTCACGAATCAATATCTTTTTTTTTCTGTGGTGCTCCTCTCACCATTGTATTGATTTATTTAACTTCGGCTTTATTTACACAATATTAAAAAGCACTATTTTTGCAAATATAATCATGTTGTAGAAAATACAAAATTATTTATTCAATGATATTATAAATAAATTTTAGACTTTATTAGTTATTTTTCAAAATGAGCTATGATAATATTGTAAAACAATTTATATCAAATTTAAGCAATCGAAAGATATGTCAAACAATAGGTGTGGTGTATATATACCCGTATATTCAGAAATATATATATATGCACACATACATACTTACTCAGAAACAACAATGAACAATAAATGATATAATGATATTCGATTCAGCAATTGTATTATTTAGTATTTTAAATGAAAATTGCAATTTCAAAAATTAAAAGATAAACAAAATAAATCATGTGTAGTAAATAAAAAATCATTCTCACTACATATAATTACTTATTGAGTATTGCCACAAATAAATAAATTTTTAGCATTTATCATTACTGATTTTTCAAAACAAACTATGCTCGTTTATTTGTTTTTATTAAAATCTATACCTATCCAGGTTGCAACAAAAATGCGACAGTCACAGACTCATTTGTGAAGACACGTGTGACTCTCGAGACACTGATACTCCCCCAGAGGTCTACATGAGATTACAATGAAACATTTAATTTTTGACCCTGAGATGAAAATATGACATATTCACATCTCAAGTTAGTCACACTGTGACCTTATTGAGAGATGAATAAGACACAGTTCCATCAGACTGTGACCCTGTTGAAACATGAATACGTCAAACGGTAACCCTTTTGAAACATTATTATGTTACATCTTCATCACACGTCACTGCAACAATTAAATGTCTTATTGTGGTCTCGTATAATAGAGTCTCCATGACTGTCCCACTATAGTAACAATCTGATAACGGCGCTATCAGGTTACTATCTACATTGACTTAAATATTATATAATTAAATATAATATAAACATAATAAAAACAACAACTCACCATTTAGGAGCAAATATTCCCTGTAAAGTAATAAAAAGGTATATTAAAAATAAGAACATTTCAAAAAATTCACACAGTACATTAAAAAAAAAAAAAAATCAAGAACCAACTATCAAAAATAAGCACTGTTTAAGAGCACTGTTCATATTAAAATTTTTTTTAAGGATTTTAAGAACCTATATGTACTATGTAGTCATGTTTTATTTTAAGCTAAAATATGTGAATTAATAAAATTCAACCAGATTATTTTGAAGTATAAGAAAAATTTCGCACCAGTCGAGTTTCGTTGAGGCCAATTGTAGTTCTAGGTTTCACCATGATACTATGATCACAACTAAGTGTGAGAATACAACCACCAGCTATAGCATGTCCCTAAGTAAAAGAAAGTATTTAAGTGTCATTCTATATAAATTGTTCTATAACTACCACTAATAACTCAGTGAGAAGTCTTATATTTGGAATCATCATTACTTTCACAAATACAGCAAATAGATTTTTCTGAATAATGGATCATTAAGGTAAGCAAACATCAAAACATGCATTATCCAATAAAAAAATAACAAATCAATGATAGTTGACATCAACTTTACACAACGTTTTCAAGTGGGTTGAATGACATTTAATTAACTAAAGAATGTTTAACATAATAATATAAATAAAAGTCAGCAGATGACAATCTAAATTTCCTCTTTCATGAATAAAAAATGTTTTTTTTTTCACTTTTTACCATTTGACCAAAAAAAATAAGCAGCATAAATAATCTGATAAAAACAACATTAATAACGAGTCTATTATATTGATAAATTAACAATTTAATTTTAAAAAAAATTAATATAAAATAGGGAATAGAATTGAGTTCAAAACATTTATAAATTGAAAGGAAGCAAAATTTGTCTGCTGGTGTATTTTTTTTTCAAACACTATAAATATTATTAATATAAAAACTTAATAAAGACTATTAATATTAAAACTATTAATATCAGGCACTTCATTAATATTCATAGTTTATTCTTCTCCCTGTTTTTTTTCCCCCTGTACTGCTCTTGTCTTTCAATAAGTCTTTTAGTGTGCTTATTGTAGAAGAATAAGTGTTTAGCTATTGGAAAAGAAGCAGGAAAAAATAAAAAATATTATTTTACTGATAATTTTTTTAAACACATCACGTGCGTAAAAAACAAAGGATTCTTTTTTTTAAAAAAAGAAAAGATATTTTTTATTTTAAATGCTAGAAAGTGTCCGGAAAATAGACATTTTATATTAAGGGTTGTGATTACATGATATCCTGTTTAATTTTTAATACTAATGTAGGGAAATTTATGGGTCAGAATTTAATTACAATGATACATATAATTAAACTCCTTTATGAACAGTTGGAACAAAAAATGTTATCAAAATTACTCATAAAAATAAAAATTTACAAGTATAATTAAAACTGAAAATTGTTTCCACAATAATACTAATAAATTAAAAATTTACATTAACAGCTGCAACAGTTATGAGTGGTGTTACATATAGTGTCTTCCACATATTTTGGAGAGCTGTCCAGAACTGTTTCAGTCGTTCTTTCTCAGGCTTGTACATTTCATTTATGTCCAATCCAGCAGAAAATATAGTAGGAGAACTCTAAAAATTTTAAAATAATTTATTTAAATACAATACTTATTCGATAATATTAACTTTATTTCCTTTAATAGAGATTTTTTTTTAATAAACTATCTAAAACTATTATATTTATTTATTAGTTCTAAAACTATTTTTGTAGCCATAAAATTACAGTGCATACAATACTTAGAGGCAGTAATAAAACTATTCCTATTTATTATACTCAGGATTACTATTACTTAAAAACTTATTTTACAAATTTAAATCTGTTCTTATTTTGTAATCTACACATTAAAAAAATAATAATAAAAATGTATATAAAAAAATATAAAATTTTAGTTGTTTAAAATTTCATAAAAACCATCATCAATCAAAATTCTATTGCTTCATCTATAACTTTACTCCTGGTGAAATACCAACTTGAATATTAAATATTTTTTTATTACACAAAGTTATATTAGGTTTATTTTTTCGATAATTCAAAGACATTTTTGCTCTACTAGCATTAAAGTTCAATGATATGTCAATTTTTACTTATTTTTTATATAAAGTTTGATAAATCTTTAGCAATTTCAAAAAGATATCCAATGAACAGCATAGGAATTGAAAAAAAAAAAAAACAACTTTCAGAGGTGGTGAAAATATGACAATAAAAAGGAAGAAAGTTTATCTTAATTTCTCTTCATTTCATAACTGTTTAGACAAAATCACTGAATAAGTACTAAAGCAGCCACATTTTGAAGATAAGAAACCTAAAATGATTCTCTTTCTTCATTTTTGGTACTTCTTCAATAGCATTGAGTGATTAATTCCCTTCTTACTCACTATACTTCTTCAGATGGTACTGTTATTACGGTCTGCAGTTCCTCAGGGTGCTAATTTGAAATGGTTGATGAAAATTTAAACTCTTTTGTTTTGGAAATGTGAGATGTTTGATGAAAGTCAGGACATAAAAAGATTTCATATTAAAAAAAATGAATATGTCAATATGTATCTTTCAAATGTATGTTTCAATTTTGTGGAAGTTGCAGCTCTAATAAAATAGCTATTTGCTAGCCTCTGATAAAGGTATTTTGAATGAAGGCATGTATCTAACATTAGATGATTTCAAACATAACTAAAGCTTTAAAACAAGGAAAAAACAGAGTTCTCAAAAGTTTAAGTGTCAATAATAAATCTAAACCTATTTATTAAATAGAAAAGAGTAACAGAAAGATGTATATCACTACTCATTTTCTCCAAACACTCTTTTAATAGTTTCGAGGGGGGGGGGAGAAGAAAAAGAAAATGGCAAGAATGATAATTATATTTTATTCAGTTTCAGATTAGAAGAATATTCAATCCCTTGAAGCATGTTTTGGCTCCAGATGATGCTTTAAATTATCAAAGTTTAATTGTATTCATAAATTGTGCCTCGTCGTATCATATTTTTCAACACTCATTTAATTTCAGAATAGTCATAGAAAAATTATTACATCGCTTTTGCTTCTTCAGAGGTAAAGTCAGTGAAGAAAAATGGAAAATAGAAATAAAATATAACATAGGAAACATAGAAATAAGACAAAGGAAACTTAATTTATTTGATTAAATATAATTAAAAAAAAATTTCAGTTTTATAAAAAATAGTTTAATTTCAAACCAAACATTTACAGCAATCACTTTGAATTTTTTCTAGTTTTTATGACTTTCATGATAAATTAGAATATAAATAAATTGGGTACATAAATGAAATAAATTAGAAGCCAATTAAAAGAGAAAAGAAAAATTCCCATTGTGAGTAAACAGTGGAAAAATAATTTTGAGTGTCCTGTATCCACATATGATTAACAGTGTAATTAGAATATATTATTTATTATTAAGGTTTTCACTGACTTAAGAGTACTTGTTCTATATATTGACTTAAGAGTACTTGTGGAAAAAATATTAGATAGTATCTTATTAACCCTTTAACAGTAATCAAGCTAAAATTAACAAGTCATATTACTTTAAATTACAAAAAGTGCAAGAATTTGCAATCAATGTTCAACAAATACAGAGTTATTGCATCATAGAATAGAATACCCATTTTACATTTGTAAATATTATTTTAGAAATGAAAATGTTCTTAAATAAATATACCATGATTACAGTTAAAAGAATAAATGCTAAAAATATTTTTTTTCTTCATATTATTAAATTAAAGAGTTAATGCTCTTGGATATCATAATCAGGTTTCACTTCGGATGCAGTATATCTTGCTGAACTCTACACAATTTTCAAAACTGTCATAGTTTTTGGTTTATTTGAAATATAAATGAGAGTGTAAAAATAATATATATAGCGGTAATTTAAAGTGTTCTTACTGTTTATAGCAAACATGTATTTTTATTCAATTTAGTCATTTCAAGAAAATTGTTTTGTTTTCCATAAAAAATTGCCATATAAAGACAGAAACTTGCTTGAAAGCGCATTCATCATTATGCTATTTTTGTAATTTTTTTAATTCTATAATACACTGGTTATCATAAATTAAGGAAAATTCACAAAAATCGCGATAACTCTTTAAATTACACATGGAATTTTATGAAACTTACCCACAATATACAACACATAGTAAGGTATTAAACAACATAAAAAGAAATTATCAGACATTAATAGTAGTATAGAAATTAGCACATGTATAAAATAAACAAATTGGAAGTATCGGTTTGCAATAGAAAAAGTACCTTTAATATGGAATATGATTGCCTCTAGAAGCAATACAGCACAAACAGCGATGTGTGATGCTTTCAATTATGCGGTCTATCAGTTCAATAGGAAGTGAGAGCCATTGCTCTTGTAAAGCAGTTGCAAGCGTGGCAAGGGTCTGAGGGGGCGGATTGATGGCAGATACACGCCTCCCTAGAGCATCCCAAACGTGCTCGATAGGATTCAAGTCCGGGGATCGAGCTGGCCACTCCATGCGAGTAATTGTTTCCTGTTGAAGATAATCATCAACAATGCGAGCTCTGTGTGGTCTTGCATTATCGTCCTGTAACAGGAAGCAATCACCAATTGCCCCGGCATATGGGCGCACATAAGCATCAAGGATGTTGTCTCGATAAACCTGAGCATTCACGGTTCCCCTTGGAAAGACATGGAGGTATGTGCGCCCTCCTAAGGATATGCCTCCCCAAACACAGACACTGCCTCTTCCGTATGCATCTCTTTCACGGATGTTTGATGGATGATAACGGGTCCCAGGTTCTCTCCATATCAAATAACGTCTACTGTCACTTTCTAGACTAAACCTGGACTCATCCGTAAAGAGAACAGGCCTCCATTGATCTGACGTCCAGTGGACATGTTGTCGGGCCCACTGCAAACGGTCTCTCCTATGGCGTGATGTGAGCGGCACGCAAATGGCTGGTCGTCTCGCATACAGACCACCTTCGTGGAGCCTTCTGCGCACAGTTGACGTTGACACCAACCTTCCGGTGGCTGCAGCAAGAGAGGATCTAAGATGTGTCGGAGTAGCGGTTCTATTCCTGCGTGCACTTAATGTCAAATATCGGTCATCGGCACTGGTCGTAACAGTTGGCCGTCCTTGACTGAACCTCCTAGATGCCGAATCTGTGGTTTGAAATTGCCTCCAAAGTCTATGAACCACAGATGGACTCACATTTAGCCATCTGGCCACTTCTGATTGACTCTGCCCTGCCTCTAGTCTCCCGATGGCTCTCCATCGTAGTTCTTCAGGCAAATGATGCCTAGAGGTCATTATTACGAATTGGCTATCTCAGATTTTCAATGTCGCAATCACAGTAAAATTTGTGTGCTTTCTCTCAAACTTGGACTTTTATGCTCCAGGCAGATGACGTAAGCCGAGTGCAGCGCCACTAATTTGCATATTGCAATTTTACTCAGCTACTCTTAGTGGACAACATATGCAAATTTTGCACGGTTTGGCTTACTTTTGAAAGAGTTATCGCTATTTTTGTGATTTTTCCTTAATTTATGATAACCAGTGTATTATCATTCATCTATTTAAAATATGAAATTTAAAAGAAATTTTGTTTTCAGTGTTAAAATTAATATACGTAGTAGTATAATCAAAATCAAACATGTAAATTATTTTTCAGCAGCATTTCATTATAAAAAAATGCTTAGAACATAAAATATTTCATTTATTTATTTGACACTGAATTAAGTACTCAACATACAACACTTAACTAAGCTAAACCATCTACCCACTTTACCCCACCTCAGAAAACAAATCATAATAAATAGAATTTTGAAATTTATTCTTAAATTTCTGGGTAGATCTGCTCTGTAGTTATCCGTCTACCATTTTAAACTGAAATTGATAGTTTTCGACAGCTTTTAATGACATTAGAAGAACATTCATCAACATACTAAACTAGCATACTATATAAGATCATAAACAGATAGTTCCTAAACATAAATTTTTTTTTATCTGTTTCTAACACTGAAATTAAAATGATTTTCCCAATCCTAGAAAATGTTTCTAAAAATTTTAAACATATTATCTAAATTTAAAAGGAGAAAATATATGTTTAATAACATTTACCCACTTTACCCCATGTACCCACTTCACCCTGCCTGACACTATATCTCTTAATTTACCAATTGTTTTCTGTCTTCTTTACAATGATTAGATTTAGATTTGTTTCAGCTACAAAAATGACAGTGTGATCTGTACACAAAGGCTTGGACTCTAAAAAATTGCTTTAAGCAGAATGGGATAAATTAAAGGTAGAAGCCTTGCGGCCCAGTGCTAAAAATTTAAATGAGCATTTGCCACTGTGCATCATCGCAAAAGGCAGTCACTTTATGATCAATAAATTTTTTTTATTAGTAAAAGTCTAATTTATTTATTTTTAATCTAAATTAAATTTTAAATTTCATATTAAAATATAAAAATAAGTCATATTAAAAAATGTTTGTTCATTTTTTTTTTAACACATCCTATAATAGCAAAGTTTACAGCAAAGTCATAAAAATATACTTACAGATGACAAAATCATGCCTCTGAATTTTTTTCCTTCGAGTTCCTTAATGACTGATGTCAATTCATTTAGAAATTCTAGATTTAAACTATTAGCTGGTAATCTTTGCATTGTTACACATGCAGTTTCTGAAACAAAAGTAAGGTTAGGTACTTATATGAAATTTGAGAGGTATTTCTAAAAGAGTACTAAACAATAGACTAAATAATTGCATTGCTAAAATAATCACCAAGGCACCAAAGGAATATTGAATATATATAGAGAGAGATGTTCCCCTGGGGAAGACTTTGAGTTTTACCCTTCAAATTGGTCTTATTCTCTGCTTTTCTTTTTTTGAATTTTTTACATGCTACTATCGAGAATGCATCAAAACTAGAAGATTTATCTGGCTCTGGTAGACGTGGAAAACCTTCCAGAACTTTTTAAATATGTTTAAAGAAAGATATTTGAAACAATTACGATAATTAATTTATCATGCAGAATACTATTTTAACGACTTCATAAATAAAACTTAAGTTGAATAGCAAATAAATTAGATCTATCAACAACAACAACAAAAAAAACTTTTTTTAAAGAGTTCAAACTAAATTTAATTACATAATATTGGTTCAATAATTCCAAAATATTTATTTTATTATTTAACAAGAACAAAACTAAGTTACTAAAATTTCTGATGTGCTAATTATTTAATCTCATTGCAAATAACAGGGATCTTAACTGGTCTATCAAACAATAATAAATTTATATACTCTTTGATTCATTTTCAACTACTTGGATCCACTTTTTTTCTTTACTTGTAGTACTTGAGTTAAACGAAGCATTATAGAGCAAGCTATGTGGTTTAATAAATGATCTCAAATAATTAGTTTTTGAAAGCATTGTAGCAAATCAATTAACGAAATTATTGAACTAATAAGCGATAACACCTTAAAAAAGAAGCGATAACAAGAAAACAAACAATCAAAAGGGGTATCACGATTGGGAAACTTATATAAAGTAAGATTTTGAGCTTGAAGCTTTCATTTGAGCATTTAAAGTTTTCTTATGTTTATGAATTAATGCAATCTGGCAACATGCGAAAGCAGAAATTGAAGAAGTTTCGGTATTTGATCAGAAGATGAAATTTTTACTATCACAGTAACTGAAATATATTGGATTTAAAGTGAAAACAATTTATTAAATTATGTTTCAATATAGTGGATGATGTTTAAAATAAGTAATTTCACCAGGCATTATTTTACCAGAAAAACTCTGATTGATGTTCTTGTGCGAAAAATAAATATCCCCTGTCTGCTCACTGCGCATAAGGTGCTGTTTAAACAACATAGGTTTGAGTTATATTAGTTTATAGATTTATAGAGATAGTTTTAATTTGAATATTTCTTATCTTGTTTGTAAAATCGATAAAAGAAGACAACATTGGCAGTGTTATAATCCAACCGCAATAAATTTACTTGCATAATTGCCAGTGAACTTGATTTTATTTTGAAATTCATCTCTTGTTTTTGTTTATTAAATAGTTGATGTTCTTTTATAAATTTCACTTGAGAATTATTTAGCTTATCTTAAGCGGTAAAAACTTTCTGCACTGTGTATGTATATAAATATATATATTAATTTTATTTTGATTAGTTAAACATTTGGTTTTTGAGGTGCATCATTTTCCATCCTCCTACATAACTTAATAACCCATTAGCTGATACTATTGTAAAATCTTAAACTCTTAGAGAATTTTTCCAAGTAGGTACTTCTTCGGGCCAACTTAAATTGTTTGGTTATTTAATTTGGAATAAATTTATGAAAAATATGTAGTGCCTTGCCCAAGAAGGTTACGAATTGAGAATTGCGAGTGTACCTTAATTTGAAATCTTTTAGCTTATTGCGCCAAAAGTTGCCCAAACTATCATTATTTTAGCGGTTAATTTCAAATATATATTATAGTTATATATATTATTTTACAGTTATATATATTTTTGTTCTAGGTCTTCCAATTTTGAGCTTATGCGAATGGCTTCTTCCTCCGAAACTGGAGGTTCTCAGCCAACAGAGGAAAAGAAGTTTAAAAATAAGTTATGTTTAGAAAAATCACCCTATTTACTGCAACATGCAGCAAATCCAGTTGAATGGTAATATATATATATATATTTTTTTAATAACAGGCTTACAGAGTTTCAAATGTATGTGATTTTATGTATAATTCTTAAGCAGTATCTTGTAGTATTCCAAACCCAGTTATAAAAAAAGTCCTCAGTGGATCATGGGATAGGATTCCTTTGCATTCAGGCTAACCACAATCATGATTTTTCCTCTCCATCTAACGCAAATGCGGGTTAGTTTCATCAAAAAGTCCTCCATGAAAGCTAGTAAGTTTCTCAAGGAGTTCCCTTGTCTTCTGGATGGGGTTCAATCTCGAGATGACAAAATTAATTTGGCTGTGTTACACCAGCTATATATATATAAACGACCACATGTTGTGTATATATATAAATTTTATGTATGGATGGTATGCTTAGCCTTATGAAGATGTATGTATGTCTTAACTTAATGACCCTCAATCATATATTGTTATTGTACTTATACTGCTTATATTTCAAGTGTATTAAGATTTTAGTGAATATCAGGATTTTATTAAGGTTGTAATTTAGTATGAGACTCGACTCAACGAAACTTGGTGTACGATTTGAATATCGATCATAGTAAACCCACAAATGAATTGGCTGTTCAAGGTGGGCTGTAAAATGAATAAAAGGATGTGTTATATAAGTGTATTTTTCCTATGTCTCAGATAGTGTTAGTTAAATTTAATTTAAAATATTGATCTGTTCTATTTAATCAAAAATAAACCTAATCAAATAGCGAAGTACTTTTGTTGTGGTTGATAAGTATTTTTTTAAAAAAATACAAAAAATAGAAGCATAAATTTTGGTGTTTTGTTTAATTTCTGAGATTTATTTTTTCTAAGTAATTTTAAGAAAAATTAATTCAGTAAATTTTAATCTAAATTTCGTTAAGTAGCCATTTCATATGCACCAGATATAATCATTTAGTATAGACCACCTTTAGCGTATATTTTTAGGAACCTTGTTAAAATAAAGACAACAAAAAAAAATTAAATCATTGATGCTCGCAAATTAAGATTTAAACCAGAAAAAAAAACATTTAAAACACTTCAAAAGTTGACAAGCCACTATAGGTGTAGAGGAATGCAAAAAACGTCTAAAATTGTTTTATAGCTGGTAGAGAATTGAAAGCTTTTTTAATTACCATCTTTTATCTTAAAGAAGGAAACAATCCACAACCAATTAGGTTCTGTAGCTTTTGTGCACCCACCTTCCTCATCAGTGATTTGACAGCTTTCAATAGCTTTTTTGGTTTTTTCCTGTTTTTTTTTTTTAATGACAAGTTTTTATTCTGAATACCCTATGTATTTTTAAATTGTATCGTCAAATACTTAAGCATTTATGAGTTTTTTAAAATCATCCAAAGTAAATAATCATTTCCAGTATCATTGTTAACTAAAAAAAGTTTGTTTTTTTTTCCTCCAAAAAAAAGTGTTTTGAGGAGAGAATTTCAAAAAAATTTTCAATAAACATAAGAATGAAGTTATTATAATTGTTTTTTCATTTCAATGAGTTGATATGTTTTCTTGCCTAAGAGAAAAATTTGTAAATGTATGAAATTTGCAGTTAAGAAATTTCTATAACTAAGCATGAACTATTAACTTTTTTATATTATTTGTTTCATTATTTCTTAAGAGGTTAAGATTTTAAAAGCTAAGCATACCAAAATTTATTAATTTGTTTGTTACTAGATCTAATGTTGCAAAAAAATAAAACTTTTTCTGTAAATAATAAATACTTTACTATATATTTTGTGTTTTTAAGTATTTGTATCTATAAATCATTTTCAAACATTTAAATATTGATCTGTTCCATACTAATATTGTTATATTTAGTTGGTTAGATGTAAAAAATGGAAATTATGTATCTAACACAAAATTCTATAAAACACAAAGAAAAAAGTAAGGACTAAAAAAATAGCATACCATGAATTTTTGATGACTTTAACCAGTTTCTGACGCTTGACAAGTATATTTAAAAATTTCAACTTTCATCGACTGACTGTACTAATTTAAGAAACAAATAACTTAATTTTTTTCTAAAATTTTTTCACTGTGTTTAATCTAAAAGATATATTCTCAAGTAGTTATTCTCACATCTATTAGCTTTATTTTTTGTGTATGTTTTCACAGTAATTATGTCCAACTTTTTTGAGTGAAAATTTAAGTTTGTATAAACATTGCTTTTGTTGTAAATATTTAATTAAGCTATAAACTTTGTTAAATATTTATATATATATATAAAAAATGAAAAGTAAAACCTGATCGTCAGTTTTGTTTTTTTCCTAGGTATCCGTGGGGACAAGAAGCTTTTCAAAGAGCCTTAGAGGAAGACAAGATGATATTTCTATCTGGTTTGTTATTTTATTTTTATTATTTTACACAAGTATATTATAAGAAAAATTATTATACGTTCAAATATTTATACAGAATATTATTTTGCATTTATCAGTACAGTTACGTAGTGATGAGAAAGCTTCTTTATTTTATATAAGTGGGAATCTGTTTTTTATTTTTAGACTGCAAGTTCTTTTCTGGCAGACAAATTACATAGCTGATAGAAATATTCATTAATAAAATACATTATTTTAAATAAATGGGATATTCATGAGGGTTTTTATTGTAACTTTCACCGGGGTCAGCCCAAAGGCTAGACGAGTGAGGCAGTCATCTAGCTGAAAAATTAGCACAATTCACACAGATTATATTACAATTGACAGATAAGTTATACAATGTAAACACTAGAATTATTGCCTCAGTATTTAACCAAAAGCAACAACAACAAAAATACTCCATCCATATTAGTATTTTCATCTTTCTCTCATTTACAAGTTAGAGTGAGGTTTCTAAAAAAATAAAATAACTACTAATAAAATAGTTGGAATGTAAATTTGTATGCACTTCTTTTATTTTCACCATTTAACAGTATGTTTGAAATTCATTTTAACATTGGCACTTTTATTAGTGATATGCCCCGTGGCAGAAACACGGCGACACAGCGACATTGTCGCAGAAAGCGACTGAGTTCTTGCAGAAAGATTTTTTTTATTTGGGAAATAAAAATTTTTGGTTTGCTACAAACAAAAGTTCTCAAAATAAATTCTGCAGAAACAGAAGCTGTTTTACCAACAAAAAAAATCATTTTCTTCAGAAACAAAAAAATTCTGCAGAAGCAATAATGGTTCTGCAAACTTTTTTTCTTACAGAATTGTTTTAAATATTTTTTTTTCTAGCGTACCGCGGAAGGAGAAAGCGCTCGTAATTCTCCGTTAATCTCCAACACAAACAGTTACTGGATAAAAAGGGGAGAATTTTTTTCCCCTTTATTAAGCTATTTTTGGAAATTTGCCAACTTCGGTCTCTATCGCTGGCGCAGTAATTTGCTTTGTGTTTTTTTATGAGAACAGAGCATTTTATATTTTTTGCACTTATGTGGAAAATTTCATGCGTAAAAAGATTCTTTTTTTAAAAAAATCATGTCTAGCGAAAAGGTTATTTGTTGCAATTGTGAAGCCACAATAGTTAAAACAAATTTGAAAACTGATTTATCAAGGCGGCATTCCGAAAAAGAAATAAGATGGAAGTCGACAACATCTAAAAATGCCTATATGCTTTGAATTAAATCGTCGATAAAAAAAAAAACGCAATCTAACGATAAATGAAATAAAGCCTGAAAGATATCTCACTATCTACGATTTTTTAGCATGCGAATGAAAACCAGATTGGTGAAAAATATTTACTGGTCACTTTCAAACAGGTTTCCATACGCATGCGAAAAAAATCGCATCCAATGAATATGGCTCTAATACCGATGTTTCAGTACTGATAAAGACTATTTCGTTTCGAGATGTTGAATAGACTTGAGCATATTGAGTCGGAAACTGCTTCTGCATACTTCGTGTGGAATCAGTGCTATATATTTACACAATACAGTGCGAAATCACAAGCGCTGTGTATTTTTTTCGTTCTGAACTTAATCTGATCACGAAAAAAGTTTTATTTACCTCCTTTTTTTTAAAAAAAAAATCTTTCAATAAGTCAGTACAATATTAATCGCATCTAATTAATTAGATAAAATTAATTAGATGTAGAAAAAATTGAAACAAACATTGCTTTAATTTTTTTGCTTTTAGAATTCGGTTATAGTCAATACTATTTTATTATTTTGATTACTCAACTTCAATATTAATTTTTTCACCTGATTTGTTTCTGTACCTGATATAACTACTATAGTGAAACATTAAATCATACTGTTTTAAACTGATACTTCAAATTCAGTTATCTTGTTTTATAAATTTAATCTTTTTGTCCATTCTTAGCTATTTCTATAAGTTCTATCTTATTACAGGTTCTGGGTAATCTTTATTTATGCTCTAGTAAGCATTTTTGTCTGCAGATCTATACATTTATAACTTTTCGTTATTATCGAAGATTATGCAAATTTATACTTAAACAATTTAAACTTATTAAGAAATGTAAACTTATATTATGAAATTAAGAAAAAAACTACACAGTTTTATTCTATGCATGTAGACTTATTTTATAAACACGAATTTCATCTATTATTATAAATTCATTACACATACATTTATAACGATAAAAATATCTTGCAGAAAGATATTGGTTCTAATTAGGTTTGTCGCAGAAAGTCAGAAAAAATTCTGCCACAGGGGTGATATGAAAATTGGGTACTTCACTGGAGAATTTGGAAAGGTAACATAAAAGCCAAACAAAGCTCAAGTTTTAGATATATTTCATTTTGAGTTGCAATAGTTATTGGTATTGCTAGAAGAGTGGCAATTAATTTCCTAGATTTAGAATGCACTAAAGGGGGTAGTTATCACTCTCTCTACACTGACTGATATATTGCTCTGATTGATTTTTTCTTGCATTATTCTTCAATATCAGTAAAAACTAACCATTTTAATAAAAATTATTTGAGGAGTATTCTCGTTCCCAGTGAAATTTTTCTGGAGTGAAACTGGAATCAAACATGTCAAATACATATCTAAATGCATATTGGCGATCTCTGACTACACGATGGGTTACTTTATAAGTTTACACAATTTTTAGATTACCTTCATATATTGGTTAAAAAGTTTTGGTTAGAAGTTTTAGTTTTGTAGATAATTTTAAGCGTTGTTTAATGTTTCAGTGGGTTATTCCACCTGTCACTGGTGTCACGTGATGGAGAGGGAATCTTTCGAGAATGAAGAGATCGCCAAAGTAATGAACGAAAGCTTCGTCAACATAAAAGTGGACAGGGAAGAGAGGCCAGATGTTGACAAAGTGTACATGACATTTGTTCAGGTATTTGATCCAGAATTTTTTCACACTTTTCTTATCTTTTTTTTGTGTTTGTTATTGGCAAAGTGGACGATCTCACATTGTTTAAACCATCGAAAATCGACTGGCAACATGTCAAATGATAAATCATTCATTACATAAACCTTTTATTCATTGAAAAACTATAAAATATTATTATTTCATATTTTTTGTTTGTATGCTTATTAAATAGCACTAGTTGGATATAATTGCATAGTTCAACAAGTTGGTTCATACTTTATTTTTCTTTCTTTTATAGAAAAGGTATAACTTATTCAATACTAATAGATTCACTTAATTAAACAGCTTGTATTATCATTGGTGTAATTTTAATTTCAGTTTCATAAAAAAAGGTTTCAAACAAAATGCCATATTGAATTAAAATTCTTATAAAAAGTGTTTCATATTTATATATGTAATTAAAAGTATTAAAATAAAATTAAGGAAAATCTTATGTGAAAAAGAAAACATTTTTGCTGTATATACTTACTGTTAAATTTGTTAATAAATGTCATGAAATTTGAAAGAATTATTGTGTCTGTGGGAGTTTTAAAATAACTGTTTTGGTTAAATGACATTTTAATTTTATGTTTGTATATTTCATTAGTATGTACTAGAAACTGGAAAATGAATAATGTCATAATTGAAAGTGCAAAGACATTGATCAATGTAAAAAATACTTTTACAGTCAACTACAGGTGGCGGTGGATGGCCCATGAGCGTATGGCTTACACCTGATTTGAAACCTATTTTGGGAGGGACATACTTTCCACCTGATGACCGCTATTATGGGCAGCCAGGTTTTAAGACAATTGTGACACATATTGCTCAACAGGTAAGGTCCTTGATTCAAATATATAGTGCAAAAGAATACATTTTTGATTGAAATTTTTATTGCCTTTATTTGAAATTTTGCTGGGTGTATTACATCTGTTTTGCTTTGTAATTAGTTATACTTTAAGATATTTTATTACCTTTTACAGACTTGTTTTTATAGTCTCTTACATTTTATTTTAATATATAACATTTTATCTCTTACATTTTACATTGTTATTGTTTTTAAATAGTCTATTTTATTATAGTTATCTAAGAAATTTATTTCATCGTGTATACATCGGTAAATGAATTGTAAAAAAAAAATTTTTGAATTTAAAAAAAAATTTTAGTGGCAGGTGAACCGAGTGAAAGTGATGGAACAGGGGAGTAGAATTCTTGAAATTATAACTCAGTCTATGAGTTTGAAGGCGTTCTCTGAGTCTGGAAAAATGCCTCCCAGCATGGATTGCATCAAAAATTGTTTTCTTGAGCTACTTCATACATATGACAAAGAATATGGTGGATTTGGAAGTGCACCCAAGTTCCCTCAACCAGGTAAATAAGACCAATCTGAGAGTGTTTAAAATTGCCTTGCGTTTTTAACGTTATATATAAATATATATACATTATGTTTGAAAAAGAAAAGTTTTTTTTTTTTTTTTTTTGCTTGTACAATTGTTTTTATTTTCATCCTGTCAGTGAATAAAAAATTGCTTTTTTTAAATAGAGCATTGTTTTAGAATATTTTTTTGTGACTTTCTCTAGATTCATGTAATATTTCATGCATAAGTACAAAAATAAAAATTTAAAATTCTATTTGTGGTAAAGAATGAAATTGCACTTAAAATCACTTTTTAGATGAATATTTTTAGTTTTTTTACTATTATTAAGCTTTTTAACCCTCACCATTCAATTTCCCTAAAATGTGTAGTCCAAGCCTGTAACTTTGTTATTTTTGTTCATTGAAGTAGTGAAATTTGTTATTTAAATGCTCTTGAAACTTAAGAAAAAGGAAAGAAAAAGCAAAGCGTTTCATTTCTAAGGCATATGCATGACAAAAATTTAATTTTACAAAACAGCAATAATGATTTCATTCAGGGATGGTTCCAGCATGTTCTGATAATGTAATGGTTCCGTTTTCTTAGATTTAATTTTAAAAAGCAACTGATTTTGTAACCTAAAGGTTTTTAGTTAGTGGCAGTCACTAATCACAAGTGTATTTTTTAATTCTCTCATGCTCTGAAAATCATTTCATTTCCTGCCTAAAAAATTCGTATTTTAAAAAAAATTACTTTCAAAGCAAAAAATTTAAGAATTCTAATATGGGAGGTTCTAACGTTGATCGCTGCTGCTTATTTTGATATTCCAAAATTCCTATTTACAAAGCCAATACTGTAATTTAAGGTGTCGTCCTACATATAAATTCTGATGTTAAAACTTAGATTTTTTTTTAAAATAAGTTATTGTTTATTTATTTTTTATTATTGTTAGTTTAGTTATTGTTAGTTTTAACTATAGTAGTGGTCACAAGTAGTAAAACCACTGTAATCGCTACTTTTTATCGTAGTTTGATATATAGTGTGTTACTTTTTTTTTTTAAAAAAAAAAGTAGTGTAATGGGTAGTGCAATAAAAAAAAATAAAAAAAACAGTTTTGTGATTCCTAGCTACTACTTTTACGTTAGTTTAGTATGTGGACACTACAAGTAGTGAAACTACTGTAGTCGCTACTTTTTTTCATAGTTTGTGGTGTAGTTGATTCTTTTTTAAAAAAGTAGTGCAATGAGCAGTGCATTACAAAAGTTTGTTGCAGTTTCTGGCAACTACTTTTTGTTAGTTTAGCATGAGCGGAGTTCTAACAACTAATTTTTCGAATTTGGTGGGTATAAATCTTCAGGGATCTGTCAGTAGACGCAATTTTAAATGCCTCTCTGACTGTGAGTAACAATTGTGTTCTTAGAGTCACGTATATATATTTTAGCTAGCCATATGAATAATAGATAATTTATCACTTTGGTTACACTTTCACATGCAAATGTACACTTGTGAAACATTGATGTTATTTCAATGGAAGGGAACATATTTCCGTTGTACTTAATTTCTTAAAAGGAAAAAAAGGTCAGTAAATACACGAAATTGCAAATATTTGATAATTTCCTAGCATTTCTTAAATTAATTATTCGCTGTCAATATGGGCATAAAAAATAAAGATTAAATTAGCGAATTCACAAAGAAATATTTTAGAATAACATTCTGGCTCATGTAAACACAAATAAATATTTCTAAATAACACTTCATGTTAAATATAAGCCAACATTTTTTAAAAACCAAACATAATGTGTAAATTAATTTCCCCATCAAAGTTTGGCTCCTTAAATTAGGTCAGCTGTGACTACATTTCAAAAGTTTCTTGTCACTACATTTGAAAAAAAGTAATTGTAGTTAACTACATTTGTAACAAAGTAGCTGTAGTAAACTACAAAAATATTGTAGTTTTTCTAACCACTAAAACTGGTTTAATTTTCGTAATTAAATTATTATTTGTTTTAATTTGATTCATTTGTGAGAAAATATTTTTATTGATTTCTAGGAATAAGAACTATGTATATATTTTTTGACTTTGCTTACAAGTATCATGATTTTGGGCCACAATAAAAAGTATTTTTGATGGGATTCTAATTTAGCTTTTAAAAAATGAATTGAATGATTTAATTCTGAATTAAGTTACAATTTTCTTACTAGCCATTTTAATTCCCGAAGAATTCCCTAATCGTTTTCACTGTCCATAATTTCATCCATTATTTACAAAGGTAGGAGTCATATATATATCAAAGAAATAATTCTTTAATTTCCTTAAAACCATTTTTTTTTTTACTTTTTCCTTTCTATATTACTTATTTGTGTTCTGTAATAATAATAAAAATGTAACCTTTTTTTATGTTTGTGATAGGATGTTATTTTTTAATCAAGCATTTGGCATATTAAAAAACTTATTATTAGTTACCTATAGGTTGGAATTTCTGATTCTTAATTAAAACAAGAAAAATAAAAACTTCATTCAAATGAGGAGATTCTCTTTTATTCACAACTCGAGAAGCATTTTATAGGATTTTTCTGGTCCCACATCTCAAAAAGAAACACACCAAATCAATGTATAATAAAATTAAAGAAATAAATCTAAAAAATTATCAAACAGCAGCATTCGCTATAGCAATTCATACAATGATGACACATCTGCACTGTTTACTCTTGAACAATTAACTTATTTTTAACTGCTATTCGTTTCTTAAATTAATTCTCAACTGAAATAAAAGGTTCATGGCAGTCTAATATTGTATATTTAGATAACTTTTATCTCTAACTGTGAGTTTTTGTGAAAGTTTTAGGTTTTTTCAGAATGAGATGTGAAAAAAAGTATTTAGGACATAATAATAATGAACTTGCATTTTTATATTTCTTAAAAGTTTTTTTTGCAGATAGCTCGTAACAAAATAGCTTTTAAGTATTATTTGTATTTAATAATATTTTTTTATGTTATAATTAAACATCAACTCAAAAATAAAGCCTATCATCTAATTATTTTTACAAAGCACTAAATGTTGAACAATGTCAAAGATCTCTAATTTAGAGGGTATTGAAAAATTTAAAGCCACAATGAAAAGAAAACTGTCTTCTTTATTTAGCTGATTATTGACTGTTTTTCCAGTCATCTTCAACTTTCTCTTTCGGATGTACTCAACGGATCCGGAGTCGAAAGATGGGAAGGAAGCTCTCGAAATGGCATTGCACACATTGAAAACGATGGCTCGTGGAGGAATACATGATCACATAGCCAAGGTTATTTGTTGCTCTAATTGTATTAATGTAAAAAATATATTGTACTAATGTAATATTATAAAAATACAATCTAATGTAGTAATAATGAGTGTGTATAATCTTTAGAGGGAAGTTAAAAAGATTGTATTGTTGCTATTAACAAATTATAATTAAAATTTATGATTATATTCTTTTTTTACTTTACTTTCTTTTTCGTGCATTATAAATTCAAACTTCCAATTCACTGCTTTTAATAATAATGAATTATCTCTTATGTTGTTACATTTTTTTCTTCTCACAAACGTAGTGAGTGAGTACGTAATATCTTTGCTTATAGCATTGTTGTTGGAGTTGTGGGTAATTTGGTAGATCAACCTAACAAATTTATTTAGACATGAAATTTACCTCTGTGATATATTTCAAAGCCCTAAAGCAAGTAGGCAACATCCTTTATAATAGTGTATAGTTTTTAGCATTTTTAGAGTCATTTAAACCGGAAGTTTGTCAGTTAACAAACCAGTATTATTTAAGGAAGTGTTTCTGGTCTTGTTTATACCATGGAACAACTAAAGTTTTATCAAAACTCCATCTGTATTTATAAATTCTTTTTTTTTTGTTTACATCAGAATCTTTATTTATGCTTTAAGAGTTTGAATTTATTTTAGAGATAATCATAATAGTTTATTTTTGTTTTGATTATTTTTGCAACAAATTTATGATAATTGGGAATTAGTATAAATAAACCTATCAATCATGCTTCTATTGCTGCTTTTTATCACTATTGTTTTTTTACGCGTTACTGTGTTCTATCTTGCATCCATCTCCACATTCAGTTTATAAGTTGCCACATATTCTTCATTGTATTGTATTTCTCATTTAAAATATGAAGTATTCGTGAGTATCTTTTAAGTTTCTAAGTTGTATTAATTTCTCGTCAGTCTCAAGTAAATGTACCTTTGCTGTCATGCTCAAAATAAATTTTCTTAAATTTTTTTTTTTTACACTTTTGGAAAAAGCCTGTTCAGCTATCCCTACTATTTATCATAGATGCAATATATTACTTATCAAATAAGCTAACACTTTCTACTATTTTAACTGGGTGCCCTTTGTCTATACAGAAACATAAAAGCTGTGATATCATTTAAAAAGATATTTTGTTTCAATATTCTTCTATTTTTAATTGTTTCCTTTCAGGGTTTTCACCGGTATTCTACTGATCAATTCTGGCACGTTCCCCATTTTGAAAAGATGTTGTATGATCAGGGCCAGTTGGCTGTTGCATATTTAGATGCATATCAAATCACGAAAGACAAATTTTTTTCTGATGTTGCTTCTGACATTCTAGAATATGTTTCCAGAGATCTGAGAGATGTTGTAAGTAGAAACATTATTTATGGAACTCATAAATGCTTTTCAAAATTAGAAATAATTTATTTAAGATTATTGTTGTTTATGTGCTTGTTGCATTGCTCATAAGACTAAGTTTTGACTATCAAAACTATATTGATAGAAAAATAACAATTTTTATAGTATATAGTTGCATTTGTTTTATAGCAAATAGTTTGACCACTTTCGATTCTTATAAAAAAGATGACCATTGTTTTCTAATGAACTTAATTATTGTGTTTTATTTTATAATTTAGAATGGCGGATTCTATAGCGCTGAGGATGCAGATTCATTACCATCCGAGTCTTCCGAAAGAAAGAAGGAGGGGGCATTCTGCGTGTGGATAGAGTCCGAGATTCGAGAACACCTATCCGAAATGGTGCCAAATACTAAAGTGACGCTCGCTGATGTCATTTGTAAATATTTCCATGTACTTCCAGAGGGCAATGTTGATCCTTATCAGGTATAAATCATTTTTTTCTGATTTTGTTTTTGACATTCTGAAATACATTTCCAAAGATCTGAGCGATGTTGTAAGTTGAAACATTATTTATGGAACTCAAAAATGCTGTTCAAACTTATCTTTTCAACTATAAATTGACCTATCTTTTCAACTTCGATCAACTCTGCATCCATTGTGAGGCCTCTTCGCACTTACTGTACAGTTAACTAGATCTCTGATGATTTTAATTCTGCATGGCTACAATATCAAAATGTTTGAATCACAGAACAAAAATCTTAAGTAAGGTAAACATTTTTTAAAGTGGTTGCAGATTTGAATAAAGTTTTATAGTTAAAGAATGAAGTCTTCATTCTTTTCAACTTACATAAAAACGAAAAAAAATAGATATTTTTAAAGTTGATATTAATAAATCATTCATTGTTTCTAAATGATATTCATTGTTTCTTCTGATTTTTTCATAGGAGTTCTAGAAAATGTTTTGCTTACTAAAGTATTGGGGGGAAAGCTCTGTGCATAATTAGACAAAATGAAAAATTTTAAATTATATTCTGACAGTTGTTTAACTTTTCTAGAAAAATCTTCATATTTTATTTTGCAGCTTAAACTTAATTAATAGTTTGAACGTCTTGGTGATATCTTATTAATCGTTTCTCTGCATTTCGCGTCTTGTTCGAAACATTCAAATATAATAAAGATCACCTAATTTTATTTTTTATTAGTTCATAGTACTTTATTAAACAAAAAGGACCTGTACTGAGCTTATGATCTCCACTGTTCCACTAAGTTTTGACTTTGTATCCAAACTTTTGACTTGTATGGACAAACTATCAAAATAGTATGGTGCTAAATGTGAATGAATAAACTTAATACCATCAATTGTTATTTTTATATTTCATTAAATTATGCACGTAAATCTTATGTACCGTCTACATCCAAATAGATCATGGTTTTCTTTACAAATTGAATCAAACGTGGATTATTAGCTTTGAAACTATACACTGTTCCAAATAAAAAATACTCATTATACTATATCTTTTTAACTTACATGTTGCCATAAATCTAAAAAAGTTTGTTTTAAAAATGGATCCCATGTCTTATCAATTTTAACGCCACAGTGGTTGGATACTCTTAGCAGCATTGATACTCTGCCATAAATCCTTTCATTAAAATCTAATAAATTTTATGATGGAATTTATTTCAGATTAGAGAAGTACCTAGTTATTTCAACTTAACAGTATTATAATATGCTGCAACGTTCTCCCTTCCTAAGTTTGAATTAAAAAGAACTGAGTGTGAGTAATAAATATATAATACATGATTCTGGTGCAAAGTTAAACAACTGCTTTAAGACCTTGTTTTGTTTTTTTTAAAATTTGAACTTTTTTCTTATTATTCTGAATGTAAGTCACTAAATCAAAATTTTATCTGGTTATTATCCTTCTAATTAGCAAAACTCATAATTTTCTTTCTGTAGCTTATGCTTGTTGAAATGAATAGGTTAATGAATATGTTCGTGATGGTTTTTGCAGGATCCCCATCATGAACTGAAAGAAAAAAATGTTCTCATTGTGAAAGAGGAGGAGGAAGAGTGTGCAAAGAGCTTAGAACTAGATGTGGATGTTTTCAGGGAGGCCTTGCTGAAGGGAAAAGAAAAACTTTTTGAAATTCGCCAACAAAGACCCAGGCCCCACATGGATGACAAATTTGTAACCTCCTGGAATGGTATGTGCTTACATTGAAGATATTTTGAGATGTTGACTATTGTAATTCTTATTCATTCATATGAAAGGTAAAACGCAAATGCAAAATTTTAAATCTGCAATACGTGATTGGTTGTTTATAATCATTTCATAATGGATCTTTTAAATACACTTCAAATCAAGTTCATAATCATAAAGAATTTGTATTTAAATATTATCATAATAGCAAAAATAATACCTGTCATAGAAGATTTTAATTTTTAAGATTCAAAATTTTTATTAACATTCAGCCTATTTATTTTTTGTTTCGTTTGATTTTTTTATTTTAAAGTATTTATTAGAGAGAATTGAAGGAAATGGATCTGTGCGCTTTTAGTAGCTGAATGTTATCCCTTAAAGAAACAGTATTTAATAAAAGCAATTTTCAATTGTTCTTGTAAAAAAAAAAAGTTTTAATAATACAAATATGGGGTACTGAGAGAGCTCATTTTGACAATTGTCCACTCTCTCAATAGAAAAGGTTTTGTTTTATGGCTTCTGGAGCTGGTACCCCCTGAAGACGTCGGCTTCAGTGGCCATATTTTTATTTCCATTGTTTGTTTTTTTCTTTATTGCTTCAATTAATAATCTTAAATTATTTGAAAAAGTTTGTATATTTATTTAAAATGACATGGATTTTTTTTTAATTATATTCCTTTGTGGGTTTTTTTTCTTCTAAATAATATAATTTATTCAATTAAAAACAAACAATTTATTTTAGCCTTAAAAAAGCTAATTGCAGCACTTTCAAATCATGAAGTGTAGGGTACACTTACAATGCCCCCAATCTACTGCAACTGTTATTTTAGATGTAAGGTAGTGGTTTATGAAAGTATCATGCTGTTTGAAAAATTTTTTCTTTTTTTTTTAATATTGTATTGTTTATCACAGCTGTTTATTTGAAAAACAATCAGCATTATTGTTCTATTTTTGTTTTCTGTAAATAAAAAATTTGTCGATAAAATAAAAGAATCTTATGAGTTTTTCAGGATTAATGATCAGTGGTTTTGCAAGAGCTGCCCAAGTGCTACAAGACCCAAAGTATGCTGAGATTGCAATGAAAGCTGCACAATTTGTACACAAACACCTATACAATGCAGAGTCTAATTGTTTGCTACGAAGTGCTTATAAAGGAAGCAACTCAACTGTTGCTCAAATGTGAGTGTCCTTTTTCCAGATGTCATGTATCTGTATGATTGTGTTGGCTGGACACAGATTCTTCGAAATTCATTGTGAGGTCCTTCCTTAAAAGTCAAAGAATATAATGTTCATAGTTCTTAAGCTGTATATGAAAAATTTATCGACTGCAAAAGCTGTTTTTGAAAACAATAATTTACCATTTGATTCTATAAATATCAATTTTCATAAACATGCAAAATTTGTAACTTCAATTATTTTTATTACTGGTATTTTTGCTGAAAGCTTAGTTGATATTGTTATTTTTTATTTAATTTGTCAAAAGCTTAATTGTGAGAAAAATTTGTAGAACATTACAAATATACATAAAAAAGGTATTCTCTGCATATTTTTTTCCATAAAATAATGAATTAAAAAAATATAATACTTTTTTTTAATGAAATTTCAACCAGATATACAGCTAACCTAAGACAATTGTCCTTGTCTTCTCCAATGCAGTAATTGATTTATCATAAGGCCAGAGAGGCCAAGACCTAAAGCCCTCATATTTTTGTAATTTTCCTTAAGGATTGTCTATTAGAGTTATGAATTAACAAAAATCATAATAGGTATTAAGCCAAACTTACTAATATCATATTTTACTCGTGTTATAAAAATTTTAATGCACTTTATCAATAAGCAACAAATAAATTATATTTAAAGTTACGACCGAGGATCCCCGACAGTTCTGTGCCTACATTTCTAGATCAGGCTCTGGTCTTCCCCATTTTGAGTATGCCTTAGGATTGGATTGTAAAACAAAAGACTCAGCAAACTATGAAACTAAAATTCTTTTAAGGAAAAACAACTTTTTTAATATAAAAATTACTGACACATATCGATAGGAAGACAGCCCCTACTCTCATCAGACTAAGAACAAAACATCATAAAAACATGAAAATTTCTACAGATGGGACTAGAAAATATCAAAACTGTGGCAACTTGTCTTAATGTGGAACTGACACCATATCATGTTTTAACTGCCCTGCAGTCGCTGCAGGCCTTCATCTCTTGAAATACCCCACAGAAGAGGATTTGTATTCATTTAATGCCATAGAAATAACAAAAATTATTCAAGTACACCATGAAATATGATTCAATAGAGGATACGACACCAAACAACCAACTGACTAATATGTGCTTTTAATATGCATGCATAATGTAATTTTATATCTATTATAAATGTGTTTTAAACAAATAAAAATTAAACAGTTGTTTTTTAAGATGATCAATCTGACTTGATTATCTTTCAACATTAAAAAGATTCGAAAAGATATATAACCACAAAAAGTTTTCCGTGTTTCATTTCTTTGATATTTAAACCTGACAATTTCAGAGAAATAATTTGTTCAAATTGTTTTTAGCTTTATTACATGCTAGAGACATATATATTATTACCCTGCTGGTTAAAACATATTTTACCTAATTCAAAAAATATGCATATAAAAATATACTCTTGAAATATTGTTATGATAATAAAAAAATAAGAGAAATGCAAGTGTTGCTCAATTCTTCTAATTTGCTTTTAAGCTTGCGGTATGATTTAGATTCATCTTACTTTCATTTGTATTTCCTATATGTTTGTATATGTAGTTTTGGGATATCTTTTTTAATGTTAAAAAAGAATTCATCTCAATATATAATAACTGAAATTTCTCTTCCATTTGCAAGCCATATTATTGATCATTTAATTTTGCTACTCCTGTTCAGTCAATTTGATATTATAATTTAGTTTGTTTAAATTATACTATGAATGGGTATCGGATTTATTTCTAAAAATATTGTTATTGTGTTTTTAGCCTGAGTCCAATTCCTGGTGTTTTGGAAGATTATACTTTCCTTGTGAGGGGTGTTCTGGACTTGTATGAGGCGACATATGACCCATGGTGCCTGGAGTGGGCATCTAAGCTACAGACGACACAAGACTGCTTATTCTGGGATGCTCTTGATGGTGGATACTACAACAGTGTCTCCACAGATACGTCCATTGTATTGAGGCTAAAAGAAGGTAAATTGACCCACAGTTTGCACATTAGAATTTAAAAGATATTTAATATTAGTTTATTAATATGTGTATATCTAGATCTTAAAGGAGTCATTTAAAAAATATTGAATAGTTACTAATCATAAATCTTCTTAGTTAAAGCATTACCTTACCACCACTTTTAACTCTTCTTTTTTCTTCACTTTTCATAACAATTTTGTTATTAGTTTACCATGTGGGAGGCCATTATTTGTTCTAAATTGTAGTTTGTGACATAGTAGTTGTGTATTTCTTATTCCTCTGTGCAATCAGTTCCTTTTATTTCTGATCATCTTAAAATATCAAATTCAGTTGATTCAATTTGAAACTAACCTTATTTTTGAAAACAAGAGTCCAACATATTAATCACCATAATTCTATTTAAAATTGGACAGCGACCACCGTAACCATATAAATATGCATTATTTTTCCTTTTAATTTACTTAACGTTTTAACATTGTTGTATGGCTCATTGATATAGAAGGTCATCGTTTAAAACCATATATATATATTTTTTTATGGATTCCTTACAATTTTGATAATACTGAGTACCAAAAGAAGAAAGGTATAGGAGACTAACTCATTTTTAAAAAAATAACTGAAATGTATAAATTTAATTATGTAAAGTTTTTTAATCTTATTCTCTTGATCTTTCTACCACTTTGAAATTGATATATATTTGTTTAAATATTTGAATTTTGAAGAGAAAAAATTAATAGTGTGGTTTTGTGAGCATGCCATCTATCAGGAGTGGCATATTAAGAATTTCTGCCATAATTGAACCCATGCTCAAATATTTCGTGATATTAAGTAACAGTGTAATAAAAAGTGTTTAATTTTGAAAAATAATGTTTGTGTAACCTTACTCTTAAAACTAATAATCTGATATATTTCTGGCTTAATAAGTGTAGCCAATTGCAAACCATGTGGAATTTTGAATGGTTTTAGAAAACCAGAAAATGGTATTGATGTTAGTTCGTGAAATTTCTGGAGTATTTTAATCTAATTTATCAGTAACTACAATCAATTATTTTCACACAGTATTCTACTTCATGATTTTTTCTATTCAAAAACATATTAAATAGAAGTATCAGAGAAAGTAATAATCAAAAGATGTATTGTTTTTTCTTCATTTAGATCAAGATGGGGCAGAACCCAATCCCAACTCTGTAGCCGCTACCAATTTACTCCGTCTTTCTAACATATTTGTGGATTTGAGCCTGCAAGATAAAGCCGTCAAAATATTGTCCCTATTCAGCCATCGAATGACCATGCTGCCTATGGCTCTTCCGGAAATGCTCTGTGCTTTGATGTTCTACAACTCCAAACTAAAGCAGGTAATCACTGCCCACAACAATCCATTCAATGAAAAAGACGCAATTATACAAAGTAAAACTTCAATGTAGCTTAATATAGAAGGGTAGGGAAGCCACATGCTTACGTTAGTTCTGATGCAGAATTTTAGCATTCTTTGGTAACCATAGCAGCAAAGGGGGAAAATAAATAAAATGTTACAAATTGATATGTGTTATTAAATTTATATTTTCTAACATTATATTGAATTTTTTCCAAACTTCACAGAGGAAACTGTTAAAGCTATTTCTTATTTGGAAACTGTCAATCTATTCCACCTATAAACAAAGATCAATCCACTTTTTCATGTGATATTTTTGGTGCAAAACCTTAACCAAAATAAAAGGCATGTTGCTTTTTAAATGGTTGAAAGTTGCTACTACTCAACCAAATATTTTTTAATATTAGTTTTAAAAGCTGAAATTAGTTTTGCATTACTGATTTTTTTTTCTCCATCAAATGTAATACCAATATAATTTTTTGAAGTTTTTCGAAAACTAAATTTGAGGAATTTGCTTAAAATCAGAAACTCTAATTTTGAAAAAATCCAGAAGGACATAGTCCAAGGAAATACTTCCCCTTTTCTCAAGCATTAGCAATTTGTAAATGTTGCAAAGCATACAAACAAACATAAAAATCTACAAAATATTAGTTGAAAACTGAATGCCTAAATATAAAAATTAAAAAAGAAGCACATTAAAAGGACAATTGGAAAGAAATATTATTTGTAAATCTTCTAATTAAGAATTTGGAAGGTTCATGCTTTTTTTACCCGTTGTTTAATGGTTACTAGATCTACCATTACTAAAAGAGAGGGGATACATTTTTATTTCCCAGCGTAGCATGCTTTATTTTCTATGTTGGTTTATATACAAGTTTTGAAAGAAGAAGTTTTTTAAAAAGCGTATTCTTTGGCTTCTATACGGATGAACTTATATTCAGAAATATGTGATAAATATAATTAACCATCTCCTAAAACTCTTAAACCTTATTTCTTTTTAAAATCGTTTTTCCCATCAGTGAGCAAATTCATCAACATTTGTCCAGATACTGGAAGATTGTGGCTTCTTCGATTGGTGAAAAACTTCAGTAATGCTTCTTCAACATCCTTGTGATCTGCTTTTCTCAACTTTTTTCTGCCATCTAAATTTCTTTCATGAGCAGAAATTATCAATTGCCTATTTTTCCACCTGTTACACACTGCAGATTTGGATAGTTTATATTCCTTGCAAATATCAGCTTGATTGCAGAATCCATTTTCAATTTTTCTGATTATGCCCATTTTATCATCAATGGAGAACGTTTTACGTTTACTGCTCACCGTAGTTAAATTTGAGACACTTGTTTGGAGCCCTTTTTTAACTAAACTGATAGCAAAAAGGAGTTGAAAGGAGAACCCTATCAACACATATTAGTGTCTAACCCTTTGACCAATAATGAATAATTACTCATTCCCTCTCACAGAAAATGCATACTGATCCCACTGACACCTTACAGGTGCATTATCTGCCTGAGTTGGAAGCATCTTCTTGGTTTGTTTAGGGATGGGAAAGCGAGATAAAAGAAGTAAACAAGAAAAAATGCTTATCGCTACATTCCCCTCTATAGATGGTATTAAAAATCGGTATATGTATTTATTTTGAAGTAGAAATTTCAAAATTATTACGAAAAAAGAAGAAGAAAAAAAATCAGGTGAAAACAGAAAAAAGTTCATTATATCCAACTTTCTCATTTTTTTGGTTCACTATATCCACAAAAAATAACATTAAACGGGACCGCACATTTTGTTCACTATATCCGGGAGTTCACTATAGCGGGATTTGACTGTATTTAAAAATTGTGATACATATGTGTTAGGTTAAGCTTAATCTTTACAAAAATAATCTCTGCCTGACTGTATTAAAAGCAAACAAATTTGTATTTTTGAAGATAACTCTGCAGATTGACTCAGTAAATTCTGCTACTGTAATCATAAGTTATTATGCTATTCAAAACTAATAACATATTAAATTTCAAATCAACATTTTTTGTATGACTGGTATGCTCTTTAAGAAATTTCAGTGTACTGGCTATCAATTTCTAAATTGTTTAAGTATCATAAATGACGTTATTATAGTAATATAAGTTATGTCACATACAACTTATCTGAAATTAAGTATTAAAATTTATTGTTCTAAATGTTTGTTCTTCCTAGATTGTCATAACAGGTACACCAGAGAGTGAGTCAACGCAAGAATTTTTAAGGAAGATCCACTGCCATTACCTGCCATTTAAAGTTCTCCTCCTGGCTAACGAGAACTCTGCCAAGCTTCTGTCAGAGAGACTGAAGTCTCTGGAACATTTGGACCACTCCAAACTAGCTGACAGTGTTGCACTGGTCTGTGAAAGGCAGTCATGCTCTCTGCCTCTCATGACCCCCGAAGACTTAGAAAAATGTTTAGTCTCTCCTCTTTCAAAAGAGGAACCTGCCAGTTAAAAAGAAAAGTCCAGTCCATTGGATGATGCCAAATTGAATATTTCTCACGGAAGGAAGCATTTGTCTCAAAGGGAAGGCTCTCTCTCGATCCCAAGAAGTGCTCTGGGAAGATATTTTAAAATGAAAAGGGAGTATTTTTCTCTACTCGAATCCCTCCTCCCGGTGTAGCTCTCAGATTATACTTGTTTATTCTAAGGTTATTAGATAACTCAGGCTTAGATTAAAGTTCCAGACACACTGTTGTGTCGACATGGTGTTAGTTACCATAATCGTTAGAAGTAATTATATTATGATTGTTATTCTCTGTTTTATATTTTTATCTTGTGAAATGTCTGTTTAAATTTTTTATGGTAGTGTTTCAGGTAGTACGCAAATTCATTTCTTCCTCATCTGTTGTAAGCCCATTAGGCCTAAAAACATTATAATTTATTTAGTATCATTAAATAATATGTTGAAAAATTAAGTCTCCTAAAGAGAAGCTTTTGTTCATAAGAATGAAAAAAGTCTATTTTGCAGATTAGTTTATTTTCTCTAGCTTAGATAACTTTCGAAATGCAATGCTTTTTTGAAATTTGTTTTAAAATGTATATCCCTTTATAATACTGACACATAATTTAGCTTCTAGGGATTCCTAGTTCTATTATGGTAAATTTTAAAAAGGAAAATGTGTTTTATGAAAAATGTTTATTTGCTATTGAATTAAGTATTTTTTTTAAAAAATTTCATTGAAATTGAATTTTATTGAATGGGAAATCATTTTTCTCAGGATGTATTTATTATTTTGAAAATGAATATTCTAATGAATGTATAAGATTTTGAGACACATTCATTACAGTATTAGTACTCAAGGGTGAACTTTAAGGTTTAATTTTTTTTTCATCCTAAAATAAAGCATCCTAATCCAAAATTGAAGGCTAATTTCCAATCATTAAACATACAGAGAGATTCGGAATGTAATGTTTTGTCGTTCTATAAACAATAAGCAAAGGAATGGTTTTTTTTAATTGTTTCATTTGTTTACTGATAGTTTATTGTATTGATGCACTTTATAGATCTATATGTTAAAGAAAAAAGGTTCCAAAGAATGCTCACTTAAAGAATCGTTGGTTTGAACCTCATGAATTGTCACATGAGAGGTTTAATATTGAATCTGTTCAACCTAGTATTTCTCATTCTTACAGAGTATATTTATTGAAGCCAATTTCTGATGAAGGATAATCACTACAGTGATTTATTTGTTCTTTTGACGTTAAGTAGTTTCTATTGCTGATATTTTGACTATTATTAGTTTTTATTAAACAGTTTTAAGTCATTTATTTTTTTACAATCGTTAAATTACAACATTCAAATGACTTATAGGCATGGTTGTTTTGTTTTCATTTTTAGATGTAATTTTTTTTTTTTTAGCATTTGTTTAATTTTGAATATTTGTTGAATACCGAGTGCTTCAAACTTTAATAAAATATTAAATGACATTTTATAGTTACATTGTTTAATGAAAATTATACCAGTTGAAGAATTTCTCAACTGTGGAAGTAAAAACTTCTGAAAATATTATTCTAGCTTTTTAAATTACAGAAGCATTTGCTATTTTAAAGTTGTTGTAGTTAAAGGAAGCTTGAAAAAGGAAATGGAATTTGATGGCACAGTTGTAGTTGAATTCTTATTTGCCTTTAAAAAAATACTTATTATATGCAGTAGGCATTTGCTGTAGTTTTTAATCTGCTTACTTTACTATTTACATCATTTTCCTTAGTTTGAATCAGCTGTTTGTGACAAAAACCTTCAAGTTTCTCTGTTCTTACCAATGAAAATAAACCTGTATACTTTGCAACCAAATGAAGAGGAAGTTGGCAGTTTTAAATAAATTGTAGCTTGATCTTATAATTGAAAGAGTTACACAAATACGTGCTGGAATTATTGTTTTAAATCGATTTGATGTTTTAAACCTAAATTAAATTTTTTTTTAAAAACTCATTTTTGGGTTTACATATTTCTCCATCCCTCCATAATTGAATATATCAATTTTTTTTCATGAACTGTCCAAATTTTTTTACTCAATTTTCTGATAAAGCTTATTTAATATTTCAGTTTCTCTTGAGAAGTTGTATTTTTGTCACCCACACAATTTTTGAATGGTGTGTCAGTTTTTTTTTTTTTTTTTTTTTTTTTTTTTTTTTTTTTTCAAATCAATAATTAGTATTGTGCATAAAAACATTCCTGGTGTATTTGAGGTCTAGTTAATATTGTGATCATGTTAATAAAAGGATTATAAAAATTCAATAATGCTTTGCTAGAACTTTTATTTGAACTCGTCATAAATATTTCAGATATTTGAATACTTTATCTTAAAGTCAATTGGCGTAATGCTCAAGTAAATATCAAGTAAATCCTTCTTTCTTTTTTTTTGTATAATAAATTAAATTTATTGACTTTTCTAAAAGAATTATGTAATTTTAAATTATTAGAGTTTCTGCAAACTTTAAAATATGTATCTTTATTTCTTAGTGGTTTGAATATTTAATTTCTCTTGGTAGTTTTTGCATTTTAAATAAGATGAGGCAATATTGTTGGTTTGTGTGATGTATGTGCTGAAGTATATGTGCGGTGCGGCAACAGTGTGACACTTCCTAAATGCTGCTCCAATAAATATGAGCTATAAATTATGAAATTATCTCATATTCTGTGTAACAACTGTCTTAATAATTTTCATAGTGTCAGAATAAATGAATAAGTACTTCAAAAAAAATCAATATTAATTTCAAGTTTTTTATACTTATAAACTTAAAACATTATTAAACATTTATATTCATTATAGAAACTTAAACATTTTGTTATTATATATTTTTAACCAATCTATGCATTCGTAGGCATTATTTCAAAGCTTTCTTCCACAAAAAGAAGAACTCCGAAAATATTGTGCCATTTGTTGAGCTTTATATCTAGTTTTTGTATCTTGTTGAAACATTGTGGTTTTAATTTTAAATATATCGTACTTCATATTTCACTTATTCATTATATATACAAAAAACATATGTATCATAAAATTTAAACGGCAATGTTGTAAATTCAATTTCAATGTTATATTTATCTGATTATATCTTACGTGTTGAAAGTTTTTATATTTTAAAATATATTATTGCTAGCATGTTAGTTTAACATGATTTTTTTAGCAAAATATTTATAATCAAACTTTTTAATCCTTTTTGTTTGAGAATACTTCCATTTTAAAACACATTTTTAAATATGTATTAAAACTTTTAAATATTTTTGAAATATTTCTTTCTCTATAATATATTAAAGTTATTTCTTACATCACAATTGTTACATTCTCACCATTTTATTAATTAATAAAACAGAGGCGAAAAATAGTAATAAATTTATTCACTTGAGATATTGAACGTCAAATTTATTTTTATTCATTGCACAAATACTGTCGGAAGATAAATTAGGTAATTGATATAAATAGTTAGAAAAAGACTCTTTTAAGAAGCTAAAATAATGCTTGATGTGATGTTTTTTGTCAATAAATGTTGCATTTTACATATGTTTTAACATTTTATGCATAATACTTTTATTGTTTTCTATTAGATGGATGCTAAAAATCCTATTTTTCTCGTGGTAGTAGTAGAAAAAATGCATAAATGATTTTTAAAAACTTGGTTTCATTTGAAGGATAAAGCAGAAGACAAATATTTAATATGCTTTTCATTATCAGAATTTATTCATACTGTAACTTGTGTCTTACAAAATTTGCTTTCCGTAGATTCCAAGAAATTAGAAACTGGTGATAAATGTATATAAAACTCGTGAAAATTTTATTATTTTATCTTTCACTTTAGTTCTATGCAGGGATAAATGTACAGTTTTAATCTCTTTTGAATGAAGGATTTTTTAATTTTAAGCAATTCAATATAATTGTTAAAATTTATATCTCATAACATCTATTCCAGTTCTAAACTTCTTTTATTTCTCTCACTATTTAAAAAAAATTTTTCCTTGTTACTTTTGACCTATACTTAAAGATATCTAGCAAGAGGAAATTGGAAATTTTACATAATGATTGCTAAATAGTCAATATTTAAAGCAGGAAAAAAATGGTAATTAAGTTAGTTGTAGTGCACAATACACTACCTATACAATCAATCATTATTCGAAAGCTACGTAGAAGTGTTTGTTTTTCTTCCTCTCATTCTCTTGTACAAAAATCACTCCTATCTAAAAACCATGTTAAGAAGAACAGGGTTGTCCTCTTTGAACCATTAAAAGAGTTGCTAGATACAACAAGGACTTAAGAAAGAGAGGGTGTATATTGGAACTGGTTTATTCATGAATGGTAGTCAGCTATTTTAAAAAATGTCTGTAATGTGAATTGAAATCATAAAAGTAATGTGAGGTTTCAATGTACTAGTTTATTGTCCATTTATCAGAATGAAAAATGGCAGTGTGCTCAACATTTTAGAGTGTCTTTTGGTTTATATTATAAATCGTAATTATGCAGTTAATGTTTTCGCATAATTATTCACTATTTCAAGTCATTTGGTTTTAGATTTGAGAAAATTATATTTCTTTTATACATATAATTCTCATTGAAAAAAATTTTTCTCCCAAAATCTTTATTTTATGGCTTTGATTAAAATAAAAGTATGCATTAAATCTATAGTATAAAAAAATTTCAAAACATTGGTTTTTTTTTCCAAAAATAAATTTTTTGTATATGCATAGTTTTATTGGTTTAAAATTTAAGAAAAAATTTAAAAAACAATTTTGCATTTTGATATAAATCCTTTGTTATTATAATTATAACAACAAAAAAAATTCTCAAAGATGTTGTTATATGGTAATTCTATTATGAAAATTTTTTTAAAATTATTGAAAAACAATTAGTAAAGAGCTTTTAACAGACTTAAGTGGTTGTCTGCAATGTATGTTAAAACAGTTCCTTAAAAAAACAATCAATTACAGAATTTGTATCATGTTCTTTATTAACTTACCAGGCAATGTTACCGAAAAGTTATGCTCATACTACATGTTATAAAATTTTGTATTGGTAAGGGAAACCAATAAAATTTCATCATCTCTTCGATAGAGAGGATTTTTTTTTAATACATTTTCCCTGAACACAGATACGAGCATTTCTTCATTAGTTTTGAACATAATTCTTCCATCCACTCTTATCAAATATGTCTTGATGGGTACACTGGGGAGGAAATTCTTTGTTGAATTTGTACAAATACTTGATCTTTGGCTAACTCGGATATTTGAATTTCATGTCTGCAATCGGTCTCTCTTTGTCAAGCTAAACATCATCTGCACTAATTAATTAGCATATTTCAAGTCAGCCCCTCAAACTATTAAGAATGAGTCCTATAACATGAAGATCTGATCATTAGATCAAAAGTTATTCAGTGTAGTCCTCTTTTTTTTTTTTTTTTTTTTTTTTTTTTTTTTTTTTTTTTTTTTTACGCACTACACGTGGTTATGGACGTGTCTTTATTATGATCTGTTCAAACACACTCAAAGAAACAGTTCATAATAAGAAAGTGCCCCTAGCTGTGTATGACAACATTTCTAGGCACAGGTTCCGATGCAATTTTAATCCTAATGATATGCTCTAACTGTCTCAGACGTTTTTTGTAACATTTATGAGACCTATTACTTGTAACGTTTCTAACATATAACGTTCAACTTTAAAACATAACATAACGTGTTACATTTATAATTTTAAAACTAGTACATTTTGACAAAAAATAGACTAAAAAATCATCTAAAAATAAAACTGTAGCTTAGAGAGAGAAATTGATTGCAGATTTGAAATCTGTGACATTGAAATATCCAGATCCGTTTAAAAAAATCTCATGCAACAGAAGAAAAAGAAATTTGTATTTAGAATGTATTTGCCATTGCAGTTATTCTGTAAACACTCTTGGATTGTTTTAGTCACATTATTTCTTTTAAATGAATTAAAATGTTAAACATTTCTCTTTTGGCAATCTGTCGTTTCTTTTTGGAAAAGTGTAATAAAAAATTACGATGTTAAATCAAAAACGAAAAAAAGTTCTTAAGAAATATTCAGGGGGTGTTATCGAATACAAAAATATGCAATTGTATGTTATTGTTTTTGAAGGCTTTAGGTGATTTGTATTGTGAAGCATTATTATGATTGTGCTATGATTAAAATAATTTTTCAATTATGAAAAATTTATGAAAGAATGAGAATTACTTTTATTTCATTAGCAATGTCATATCTTAATTAATGCAAACATTTTTGCTTACTTTTTTATTTTATGAACATGGTTTCGTGAGATTCTCTATTTTAAATAATATGTAGAACATGTCTCTTTCATCTTTGAATCTTGCAACTAAAAATTTTATCCTGACCAGTCTGTTATTATACTCAATGTGTTGTGAGTAAAAAATATGTCCATTTATCTATTTTGCTGCTGTTTATTTATTTTAAAATTTTATCATTCATGTTAGATAAATAAAGCTCTACAAATTCTGTTTTGAATATTTTATTTACATTTAAGGAGTAAAATTTTTGTGACAATATGTTTTTTTTAAGCAAAATTTTATAATGATGTAAGTTAGTAATTTGTAGCTTTGGTCATACTACATGGTAATCGACTAGTTATAGACTTGAAGATTTTTTATTTAATAAACACCAAGCGAGAAAGGGAAAAATTGAAAGGTTGCTCTACAAGGAGAGGAAAACAACGAAAAATCTCCCTGGATCCATTGAAAGGTGAGCGCTCAAACCCTTAAGCCAACGCAGCTTGCTAACCTATTATTGACGCTAGGATACTTTACAAATTGTGGTCATAGGAAAATAATATATAGGTAGTAAGGAAGTTATTTTGCGGCCCGTCAAAATGGAATAGTACCGAAATGTATATGAATCACAAGTTTCGCTGGATGTATATATTTCATTTTTTTAGAACTTTTATTTAAAAAAATTTACCACTATTCATACAAAGTTATGCTAAATATGTCAGTATGAAATAAGCGAGTTGGATTGCGAAGCCATTCGAAAGGAACTACAAAAAAAANAAAAAAAAAAAAAAAAAAAAAAAAAAAAAAAAAAAAAAAAAAAAAAAATCTCGTCGTTTGGTGAACGCAACGAGTAGGGTCCAATCTTAATTTTTGTAATTCTCAAAGGACAAAGTGATATTAAGGCTTACAGTACCAGTCAATAGGATTAATATTAGGGGATTAAAGGGCACCAATCCATGTATTTCAGCACTTTTCTTTTGGTGCAATGTAGTTTCTACACAATTTCGAAGAATGTTTTAGATAGTTATCTTGCTGAAAAACAAATCCTTGACCAACGATTCTCTGTCCACAGGGAAAATCGTAACTCTGAAATATTCTGCGATAATATTTTTTATCCTTAATTCCCTCTTTTTCTTACAAGATTTCACCCTTTCTCACTGGCAAAATATCCCCAAACCATGACTTAACGTCCATGTTCACAGTTGGTAGTAAACGTTGATTTGTCTTACGTTCACCCACTAAACGACGATCATACTGCCCGCCTTTGCTTCCAAGCAACTTAAATTTTGACTCGTCAGTAAACAGAACATTTGATCACTGTTCTAAAGACCAGTTAGCATGTTTTCCAGCCCACTGCAGTCGTTTAACTATGTTTTGTTTTTTCAAAAGAGTTTTTCCAGAAGCTACACAACATTTGAAACCATAGTCACGAAGTCAACGTTGTACAACTGACACAGCTTTCTGCCTAGCAGCAATCCATTCCTCACGGATTTCTGTCTGTGCTCGAGTCCGCTGCCGCTTACTTGCAGATAAACTTATCCTCACGTTTGGACGTAATTCCAGATTTTCTACTCATTGTTGGCTATTATTTTGGCCAGTTTCTTTCTTCTTTTGTAAAGTTCTGAGAGCAGTGATATAGGAAAAATTAGTTTTAAAGGCGATTTGACTACTTGCATGACCTTCTCCATGAAGTGCAATAATAACTGCACGTGTTTCGACCCTTATTTATGGTTTTTGACCCATATTTCTATTAAAAATTGTAAAAAAAAAAAAAATTTTACTCTTTCGTTTTTAATATTTACCAGTTATACTGGCAAATTAAGTCCATTACATCAATATTTTAAATGTGTTATGTACATGAACTTAACTAACCCGTATTTGCATTACAGGGAGTGCGTTCGGTGCGAGCCGGGAGCAAAATTCTTATCAACCAACCACCGCTGAGATAACTCATTAGGAGGCGAATGCTCTATCCCAGTGGTCGGCAAAGTGCGGCTCCAGAGCCGCATGTGGCTCTTTGGCTCCTTAAGTGCGGCTCTGGCACAAATATCCAAGGAAGGCGCAATAATATTTTCATTTAAAAAAAAACAAACTGAAATACAATTGCTGAATTTAAAAAGCAAGAAGATATGGGGCTCTAAATTCGAACGTCTTTGTGTTGAATTGGAAATATTGGAGAAGAAAAAACTTGATATTAGTTCACAACACAAGTGGTTTGCTTTGAAAGACCTGGAGAAGGAAGACATTATCATTTTCAAAGCTTGGAATAGTATTCCTGACTCTTGCGATCAGCTGAAGGAACTCGCGTTTGCTGTTCTTTCCCTTTTCGGTTCTACATATATATGATAACAATCTTTTTCAAGCATGAACATTATCAAGAGTAAACTGAGAAGTCGTCTTATTGATGAGAACTTGGAATCATGCCTAAAATTAAGAACAACAACATACAAACCTGACTTACTCAAACTTTCCAAGGAGATGCAAGCACATTGTTCGCATTAATAAATACTTATTAAGTATGAAATTTAGTTTTATTTAGTGTACTACTTATTTAGTGTAATAAAAGCTTACTAAACAAGCAGATTTGGCTCCCAATTTTTTTAAAAATTGTTGTAATGTTCATATTTGGCTAATAAGTTTTCCGACCACTGCTCTATCCCTTGAGCCACTGCGGCTCAACGCTATATTAAAATATTGAGCGTTTCACACGGTGCTAAAAGTGTTTCCTGTATTTGAGAGTCACCTTTGAAGCAACCTCCACCCTCAACTTGGTGCCCAATAAGTGACCGCGGACTTAACCATAGCCAACAGATTTCATTCGTGATTAGCCGATTGATGCATAGAGGCCTATCTGCACTATTCGTTTACTTTCAGCTCGAGCCAAACTAGGGTGTTCGGATGCCACGATGCCCCTTTTCCAAGGCACTGTTCTTCGCACATGTCGAACGCTTGTGCGGTTTTTTTCTCTTTTTCCAAACAAGGTTTGATACAACATAGTGGTGATTTAACATAGTCGAGAAGCCCTCGTCAGTTACTTTTGCAACCACGACGACAGAGAAGAGAAGGGGAGAGGCAAACGGAATGAGGAATTATCACTAGGGCACCCTGGGAACGTGACTCCCAGTCTATACCTGAAAAGGGTAAACCCCTGAGGGGCTTCTCAGGAGCATGCTTTAAATATGAAGGAATATTGGTTGAACCTAATTGTATGGAAACTCGATAACAGTTGCAAAGCGCTTCCAATTTTACATTCTGGGGAATAAGTTTTGAAAATCGGATACTTACTGCGAAACTCTATGAATCCTATGTTCAATAATGAAATGAATCACAACGATATATCTTTGAAAAGTTTTCATTCATTTTCTCTCCTAAATTTGCCAACATCAAGCATTATAACTGACCTTTTTGTGCAAAAACTCTTCAATTGTATAGTCAAAAAGTTCAAAATCAAATTTATATATTCCGTACAATTTAAGAATGTCTTTTTCAGGTATGTTTGAAAAGTACTTTAAAGTTAACGAATGTGGATGCGGGTAGCTCTCCTTCCACCATTCAGCTCCAGCATCGATGCCCACCTGTCGGAAAGCGTAGGGAAAATCATGTTGGGCCGTCTCCAGCTTTCCAATAAAGTCATAGTCCACTAAGCAAGGATCGCACCTGTACCAGTACGGAGCCCAATGTTCGTCATAGTCTCTCACCTTAGTATGGATCAAGTACCAGACAAATTCGGTGAAAGTGATGCGATCTAGAGGTGCACCGTCTGGCCTTAGTTTTTTCATCACGGGGTCCCAAAATCTGTCATAGAAATAAGGGACATCTTTTCGGGATTTCTCTGCTTTGCTACGAAAAGCCGACACGAGGCGATCGAAAGGGTGGCGAACGAATATCATTTTGAAGAACCTGTTGACGGTTGTGGATGGGTAGTACGTAGGACTGATTCGCCTGAGGGCATTATTGGCCACAATGTGGAGAGCGGTATCGTTCTCTTGGGCGAGTTCATTGATGTGTATGTCCGATATGTTGAGAAAGAATCTTTTAATTTCCGTCATGGCTACTTTCGGAATGAAGCAGTAGAAAAGAACCTTCTTTTCGTCGACGATGATGGGGCACATTTTATCATCGCAGAACGTTTCCTTGCCAAATAGCCGGTTTGTCGCCACTCGCCAAATTCTGCGCTTGGCGACGAGTTCATTCTTGTCACAAATTCCACGCACTCTCCGAACCCGAGCGTCGTACTCCGCTTTCCATTGTTGATCCATCTCTTCAGCAAACTACAAAAGAATTTTAAAGATTTACTTTTTGCACCATATAATAAGGAGGATCACTGCACCATATAATAAGGGTCACTACTAGATGGAGAATGTTTTGGTGTAAGAATTACACTATCGCGATGAAAAAGTTTACGTTTTTTTTTTTTTTTTCCAATTTTAAGAACATTTTTGTAAATATCAAAATTGAACTGAATGTAGGGTTCAATTGGCGATCGAATTGGGCTACAGGTGGAGCAGAGCACAACTCTATATTAATGGGGACACTTCGCATGCTTTCACCATTAGCGTGTGGTCAAGTCGGATAAGGGAGAAAGTTAGAATTTCCGCCATGATTTTCAAACTAATGAAAAACTTTTAAGTTAGGAAACTATATAGAACTCAAAACTGCTTGAAATATAGCTCTTAAAGAAAGCATCGTGGAAATTTTAGAAAATATTTTTGACTATTAAATACGAAAAATGTTATGGAAGGGGAAAATATCCAAGATAAAAAAGTACGTGTGGAGCCAAGCAAAAAGTGTTTGTAAAAAACAAATGGAAAGGTCAGATACTTTCTAGAAATTTATCTTACTTAAAAATATGAAATTATTAAAACGGGACATGGCACACAAATGCAATGCAGATGTAAATAAAAAGAGATAAAAGTTAAATATAGAGTAAAATGAAATACGGAGTTAAATGAAACACATGAAATGAAGTTGAAAATGCATTAAAATTACGCAAAATAGGTTAATAATACGTAGGGAATAAGATACAAAATGAATAAATATAGCACGTAGAAATGCAAAGATGTTAGGTAGATGGGCTTCGGCCAAAAAATCTTTGATACATAAAATACAGTTTCTATAAAAACTAAATCGATATTGGTTAAAATATAGGCAAACGATTAAAATATGTTGAATCGTGAGTAAAACATGTCAATTGGGGAGAATATTCTCCAAAGATCAGACAAAGTTGAGTCAATCAAGTGTAACCGATCTGGAGACGATCTCGGGGCAATGGGTCCAAATCAATTTTAACAGAGTGAAATTTGTCATTAACTTGAAGAGTCACTGTTGTTATCATAAAGCCATAATACAGCGGTTATCAAATGGTGTTTCACGGACCTATAGGATTCCGTGAATTACAATTTTTTTATGGAACACATTTGCGTGAAATTGCAATAAGAAAAACTCGCAATATTTTCAAAAAAATTTTTTTTTCGATAACAATATATTTAATAAATTACTAAAAAAAAATTATGGTTTACAAATAATTAAATCAGTATTTCTCATCAAACTGTGACATTCAAAATAAGATCAAAAAATTCAAGAATAAAACGTATTTTTCTCTGATAACCAGTCTTACAGTATATAACAAATCTTTTTCAAAAACCATAATTGTGCTCAATTTATTCAATTTCAACTTATACGGCAAAATCTACTAGACTTAAATTAAACAGTAAAAAAGTAGCAGCTGCAAACTAGCGAATGTAACTGTCAAACATAAATTCTAATTTTAAGGACTGATAAAACAATGAAAAAATTTCATTCACATTAAAAATTTGTAAATTAATTTATCGTTTTTTTTTTCTTTTTATTTACACCTGCTAATGAACGTTTTTAAAAGTCTGAGTTCCTTCAAAAGAAATTCGATTATTTAAGGTTCCGTAGCTAAAAGAAAATGGGAACCACTGCCTTAATATATTCTTAAACATGTATTTTCATGTTTAAGAAGGGTACAGTAAGGGTGTAGTTGCAGATCGAGATGCAGAATCGGGAAATTCTTGCCTGGAATCCCAAAATGAATTGGGAGCAAGGAAAACAAAACATGGACTAACAGATGCTGAATAAAATTTAAAATAGGATGAGCCATTTTCAAAATGTACCAACTGGCACTAAACGTTCACACTGTCAGAGTAAATGCAATATTTCCGAATAAACCGTGATAAAATTAGCCATATATCATACATAATAAAGAGGGGGAGAGAGAGTTATAAGCAAAACAAAGAGACCTGTGGATTTCGAAAAATTTTATAGAGCCACCTTCACGTACATAACCAATAAATACTCTTATTTACCGATTATTTTAGTTTTTTTTAAACTGTTTTCAACAATTGTTAAAAATTCTTCCACATAAATTTCACTAAGCAAAGTTAAACTTATAAAAAACAGTCATTGTCATGCTTGAGAATCGGTATATCCCGGTAAACTGAAGGAAAAAAAAAAGCTCTGGAGAAAGACAAAGCATCAGATAAAAGTGCAGAAAAAAAAATGAATTAATTGAATGCGCACATTTTTTATTATTTTAACACCAACAAATATATTAAATATTATTTTAAAATTAATTAATATACAGTGATTAGTTTGAAATTAGCGGAAAGGAATTTTTCACATTTCATACATTTTAATACTTCCACTTCGCAGTTTTCTTTATGCTTTTTACATATTTTTAATATCAATAATTACACTTATCGTATTGTAATATAATCATCTAAAAATAATCTTTTTAAACAGGAGATTTAAAAAAACAAACTTCTTATTGTAATGAAATATTTTATCATTTTTGTAAATTTCTTTAAATTAATAAGATTAACACTCAAAATAATAGAATTTGAATATCTTAAAATTTTTAAGAATTTTCAAGCAATAAGTAGTTTTCGCACTTCTTTAGAAAAGCTCAAAATGATAAAGGGTTTACCACGTATCATAAGTAAGTTTAAGTATTATTTTGTATCCTAAGACAAAATTCAATAACAAATGATACCTTACAATAATCGGCCGGACACCAAACTGTGATGGTATAAGGAAAGAAAAAATTCTTTTATGGGGATGGTAGCCCACAAAGCCGGTGTCAGTTTAAATAAATCATATTTTTAATAGTACGAAATTAAATTTGTGGAAATCCCCTTATCATTTTGAGCTTTCTTGTATAAAGTTCAGCGACAATTAGAAAATTGCTTGAAGCTCCTTAAATTTTTAAAATTTTCAAATCCGACTTTTTCATTAGTTGTCAAATACGATTTACTACAAAATTATAAGAAATATTTTTTTATTTTTTTTCCCGCGCATGCGTAGTGTATAAGAACTACTTTAAACAATCATATTTTGCGCAATTTTGAATGAAATTTTTGCTAATTTTAAAGCAATAATTTTGTAATTGTTTTTTAATTGTTCCAAAAATTTTGTTTAATGTTATTGAATATTTTTAAAGTTGTAGCAAAAAAGAAACGTAAGACAAAGAAGCTTATTTTTTATAAAAACGATTTATCTCCATAAATAATAAAGCTAAGTTTATGAAATTTTATGCAATTATTGCAAACAACAACCAAGTAATCGGTAAAAGTTACAAGTCTTTTTCTTTATTTTACAGTATAGGGTGCACAAAAATACTTGATTTATTTCGTAGTTTATTATTGGTCCCAGAAACCAGTGAAAATTTTAAACTTTATTACTGCATAAAGAAAATCGCATGAACTACTCACCCCTAAAGTTAAAAAATTATTCTAGAAGTATTTCTTGAGAAATTCAAAAAAATTTCAAAACTGAAAGAGATTTCTTCCATTATTGTAAGGTAGTGTATTTGATACATGTTTAATTACATTAAATTTGGACTACACGATCTGACTCTTCAATAAAATTGGAAGTTAAATTAATATAATTCTTATAAAGATAAACGGATTACAACTTAGTGAGTTAGTTTTGCATTGCGATCGTAAAAGAACTCTCTTATTTTTCTTGACTTTTCAGCACAATGTTAATTTTGTCTTTTCAAAATTATGTTTTACTAAATATTTCTAAATGGCATTCTAATTGAGGTAAATCAGATACACTTTAATTAATTGTTTAAATAAAAAGTTTATAAGTATTTCAGTTGTCTGTAGATTTGGGAGGATGTCCCCAATATATATTTGCGAAAAAAAAAAGAAAAAAAAAACAAATTTGAATTTCCTTAATTGAAATTTAATATTAAATCGAAAACTACGCTTGATTGGAAGACATTAGTTTATTATTTGAAATGTGACGCATATTAAAAGAATTAAGAATCAAAATATTTATAAAAAACGCGTTGTTTATTTTCATATTTTTTTTACTTTTGGGCACAATTATATATAAAAACGCGTTCCTTATTTTCATATTTTTTACTTTTGGATACATTATATATAAAAACGCGTTCCGTATTTTCATATTTTTTACTGTCAAACAATAAAGTCACTTTAATAATGAGGGTCTTTTTTTTCTTTAACCAGCTTCATTTACTGAAGTTGTGTTAATCGTTTTAACTGCAAGCGTTTTAAAATATTTATCTTTTCATGACTAAAATTTCATTTCGCAAAATCAAAAAAATTGTTTTTTTCCGCTGTCATTGGATTTGAAAAGTAATATTTATGGGAAAAGAATAAAAGGGGCTTAAGCTATTACCTAATATTTTACTAACTGATCGTGACACATCTTCTGCGAAGAAAGAAAAGATTCCCTCACCTGGTTATCATTAAAGAGATCATTCCCTCGCATGGGCACTTTTCGCCGCAGAGGATGGGGTGTCCACGGGTGTAAAAAACTGATGAAAGTGAAACAGAACACTACCCCGACAAAGATGGTTCCCAGGCACAAACGGAGACTGGACAATTTCCGACACAAAACGTCCATTGAGAGGTTTACAGATGCGAATGTAAAGTAGAGGAGAAAAAATTAACTAATCGCCTTTTTAGTTTTTTCAAGGTTGGAATGAAGAAGGTGTGTTATATACTCACGACAGTGATCAGTTTGTTGACAGACACGCGTAGTACTCGAGGAGTTTTAACGGGATAAATTCGAAAGAACAAACTGCCCTTCCTACATAGTTTTCAATATCTATTTTCGCATTCAATCGACTCCTCAAATGTAACGATTTGATTGAAGTACATTTGTTACAGGTGCAAGTACAGTGCGTAAAAATATAAACGGAATAACTGTTGATCTAATGATCGGATCTTCACGTTCTAGATCTCAAACTTAATGGTTTGAGGGGATGATTTCAAATATGGTTATTATTTGGTGTCCTGATTAATAAGTGAGTCTGATTTCGTAACTTAAAATATCGTCTGTAGTCATTAATTATCACATAGCCCTAGAAGAAAAAGATCTGGTCAATAGAGCATAGTTTTTCAGGGTGGTCCGTTTTTTGTTTTGCGTACTGCACATGTATTTGAAATCAAGAAAATAAGTTATTAACCAGTCCTACAAGACTGAATACGTGAATCCTTTTAGTTTTGTACCTTTGATCATATTTCATAAAAATAAAGAAGAAAAAAAGAATTAACTCTGGTTCCCTCATCAGCACTTTCTGCAATACTTTTAAATAAAGGTTAGAGCAATATTTTCTTGGTAAACAATACTGTAGTAACTTTTACTTGCAAACGAAAACAAAATTGTATCTCTTTTTTTTTTCTTTCTTTCTTTTTTTTAGAGAAGGAACATCAAAAACACATCGAAAAAATATTTGTAAATAAACAGAAAAAAATAAGTATATTCTTATTTATATACCCTAATGCCTAAGAAATAGTTTTACTAAATTTAATGATGTAACATGAAAAGCCCATTTAAAATTCACATTCCATAGTTTTAAGAATCATATATTTCAGAAATTAAAATGAATAAAAAGTAGGACATAAAGCCTTATAATTTTATATAATTTAATTTTGTAAACAAAGTTTTTTTGACAGCAATTTATATAAAAAAAATTTTAAGTTTCAATAAAAATCATTATTTAGAAACTAAAAAATGTAAAATAAAGAATGCTTACGAAACAAGAAGAAAAAGAAAAGAAAAATTTTTTGACGCAATTTTTTAGTGCTGCGAAAATGCGTCTTTGTGATTTGCCAAAAATAAAACAAGATTCAATTTTATTTTTTCAGGAGTTAAATATTTTACCGAAAATGTAACAATTTCCATGACATGAAACTTTATCTTAGTAAACGTACGTTTTGGAAATGTTATTTCATTTGGAATCTTATTTATTAGAATTCATATGGCTTCAGCATTAGTGAAAGAAAATATAGATTGTTTTGAATCTATTCTAATATCTATATCGCCCCATTTTCCACCGAAATCCGATTGACTACTTTGATTTTAAATAAAATGTTTTATTTTATGATTTGTCGCAAAAATTTTAAAAGTAGATTGGCGGCACTTAAAAACCGCCAAATCTGTAGTTGCAGTGGCGTTAATACGTAAGTACTGAATTTTTATTCCGTACTTTTCTGAATCATATTACTTCAAACATTAGAATATGCAAGAAGTATACATAAACTCATAATGTTACAATATTTAATTTTTCAAAAAAAAGTTTTTTGACAACAGTTTTCATCAAAAAAATTGTAAACTAAAAAACGTAAAATAAAGAACTCTTAGGATAAAAAACGATTTTAAAAATTCTTCCTATTGAAATAAAAACTTTCATATTGTTTCTTTTTATTCTTATAGTTCTGAATCAGACGTAAAAACCCATTCTGATACGATCATCAAAAAAGAAAAACAAATTTTTACAAGCAAATTTTTTGTTATAAAAATCATAACACTCACCTTTTTAAATCCGGAAAATTCCAAATTAAATGTTCTTCGTTTGAAAATTTTATCTTCAAATAATATATACATAGATTATTCCTTCATTACTTTTAGATAACATACCACACATCAAAATTTAATAATTGTATGATCTCGATATGAATTTCAATATGTAGCTTGGAAACAGAATAGCTGAATTCTAGTTGAAATTATTCTTTCAAAACTAAAAAATGCTTACCAAGAAAACGATAAAAATTTATTAATAATCAGCACAAATGATATTATTTCAAGTAATTCGGAGGATTCTTTATTGTTGTTTTCCGAATTATATACATAGAGAAATATATACTATTCTATAAAGTAGAATTTTCTATAACTATTACAGTTCCGTACATTCTGAATTCATATTTATTCATTGGAACGACGAAAGTAATGTTAACTTCACTTTAATTTGAAATGAATTGAAGACAGAAAAAATGATAAAAGCATGATGCGGAAGTTATGTTGTTGGTAATGGAAAAGTAAAAATTATTGAGAAATTGTTCTTCAAATGCTTGGCGTGTTCTGCTTCAATGTTTGGCATGTTCTGGTTAATTTTTTCCAAGTTCTTCTACCTTTACCTTAGGGAAATTTTGCTTCTTATTCGCTGCTAAGAAGATGGCGTCCGTCATTGCTAATGGTTATGATGGAATTAATGCCCGATATTTTCAGGCTCCCGCTAGAGGGCGTACTCAAACGTTTTGATCGCGAATTGTAAACAGCGCATTTTCTCTTTTATTAAGTCTTTTATTAAGTCTTTTATTTAGTCAAGCAAGGAATTTACAATTGTAGCTCTGTTTCAACCAAGGTTTATCTGATTTCGTAAGTTTCCTTTGCTTTTAAACCCTTATTAGAACTAGAACGAAATTAGTCCTAGAAGAGAAGATAGTCCGTCTTAAAAAAAAAATTCCTAGTTTGCTAAATTTTCAAAATCTTTAAATTTTGGATTAAGCCTCGTCTGAGGAAAGGTGTTAAAATGCTCAACAATTGTGTTGATAAAAATTTCTTCATTAAATTGGCAGCAAATTTATTTGTATGGATATATTATGTTTGATTCCAATTCTCTTTCTTTCAGCTTTAAGTGAAAGTCAGGGGCCTCGGGATGGGAGATCGCTGTGACCTCTCTAAGATTTTTACTATTCGGCTAATTTTGCTAGGCCATTCGGTGTTTTTAAAAATTCATTCTCTCTCATTTTATAGAGAAAACACAACTAATGCTTATGCAAAGTCAAGACTTTTCACCCCTTTAAAAATCAAAGCCCACGATCAAATAACTAATCTTGACATCGATAGGAAGACAGCCACTACTCTCATCAGACTAAGAACAAAACATCATAAAAACATGATAATTTCTACAGATAAGACTAGAAAATATCAAAACTGTGGCAACTGTCTTAATGTGGAACTGACACCATATCATGTTTTTAACTGCCCTGCAGTCGCTGCAGGCCTTCACCTCTTAAACAACCCCACAGAAGAGGATTTGTATTCTTTTAATGCCATAGAAATAACAAAAACTATTCAAGCACACCATGAAATATGATTCTATAGAGGATACGACACCAACCAACAACTAAAATTAAATATTGCAATTTTGTTTTTTTGAAGAAGAAAGAAAGCATAAGTATCGCTTCAAGCATTCATTTGGCAATTTTTATATCTTCTTCCAAATCTAATTCTCTCCTTGCCACTAAAAAAACTCATTTGTCACTCACTGATATTTCGTGCTCGCAGTTTTTTTTAAAATTTTAATCCATTATATAAGCCAGTCGGGGCAACATATGCCACCAGCTCGCCGACCCCCATTATTACTTCTCAATCAATTTTGGTTTCTTGATGATAAACAGTTTGTTAGATTTAAAGTATTATGCATTTTTCTAATTGTAATAATATTCTTAATTAAATAAAATTTTTGATAAACTTTTTAAAAAATACTTTTGGTGTCTTTGGATGATATCTATTAAAGAAGTCGGAGTTTACCACTCCTGAAGTAGGTTTTTTTATTTGTTTAAATAAGGATATTTGTACACACATTAAAAAATAGGGAACATAAAGATGATGAAGTAGTACATTTTCACGTACATTGAAACCATAGATTATGACGTCAAACAAAGTTTCTTAATACAAATTACATCTGATTTGAGCAGGAGGGATTATTTAAAACTTCGTTCATCATAATTTACTCAAGGAAACGGACGTTTTTTTCTATTTGTTCATCTTTTTCTTTTGAAGTCATTGCAAGATACTAATCTTTTAATACTCCCTCGAAGGTCGTAAAATCGTACCAAGTTGTAAAATGATCGACAAAGAAAATGTTTATTCAAAATTTTGTGTTTTTGTTTCTTTTGATTTGAATTTTGTGTTTTGATGCAAAAGTTTGCGTGGTATTAAAAAAAAGAAGAAAAAAAGAGCAAAATGTTTTTTAACTTACCTGTCCATTCTTAAGTGTTTGGAATATTATAACGGACAAGTATAATTTGTTTTCCCCTTTTTGCCAAATGGCAGAATGGCACTACAAAAACTTGCCAAACGTATATTACTTGCACATATTTAACTTTTGAAAGAAAATGTAAGAAGAAAATGCGGAAAAATCACTGGGGTACCCCCGTATTTGGGTGATTCTCACGAAACATGACAATTCGGACCAAAACATTTCTTCAAATTTAAAGTCTTCAAAGTAACCTAAAATTTTTTTTGTATACTTCTTTAGTTACACTTATTAAATTCATTTGCAGTGTAGTTTATTGATATTTGTTCGAGAAAAAAAAATAAAATAGAAATTCGCCAAATCTTGAATACCAGGAAAATTACATATTAGCTTAGAAGTTTAAAAAACAGTCATTTTAAGTTAATAGTGAGTAACTCAACTTAAGCCTTTATGTTAGGTGGACCATAAATTGCTTAAGCTAATTCTTTTTGTCCACTGTAGAAAGAATCAAACAATTTTTGTTGCTGATATGTACAGAATAAAATTTTGTAAAATAATCAATCATTAAATAAATAAATAACTTTGATTACATCCAGGCATATTACAATCATACATAAACTTGGTATTAGGTTAATATTTTCTTTACCTCCTATTATATTAACAGTATTAGCAGTTTAAAAAAATTTCTGGTAACACTTCAATGTCCTTGCATTCATAAGCCAGGAAAATGACAGCCAGGATAATGACAAATTTGCCATTTTATAGCATATAAATTTATTTTAATATAATATTTTGACCTAAGACGTTTATATTCTACAGAAAACAACAGGATTTTTTAAAATAACTCAGATAAATCCATGTAGTTTATGTAATTAATGATTTCAAAAGCCAGGAAAATGACAACACAAAAACCTACTCACCTTGAAAAATTTTTTGAAATAGATTTTGACCCAGAAAAATTGGTTCTTTAATCATGTAACAAGACATATTCATATAGGAGGGTATCTAATCAATCTATTAACATAAGATATTTATTGCTGGCTCTATCTATTTTGGTTATAAACCACTAAATAAAAGTAGCCAGGAAAATGACAGATTTTCTTGGGACGAGCAGATTATTGACAGAAAAAAATAATTTTAACGAAGTTTTTGTAAATAATACCCTCTGCGTATATTCTAGAAACGCTTACACCGGTTGAGATAAAAAAAATTAGATATTGAAAAATTTATGGGAAGTTTTGAAGCTAGTTATTAGTGGAAACATTGTTTGGGACATGCCAGGAAAACGACATTTTGTTATTCAATTAAATTTTTTAACTATACAAAACGGTCAATGCTAGTGCAAAGTCATTTTAAAATGCTAACAGCAATGCTATTTATTAATTTTTTTTTAAAAAAAGTTTTTTTTAGTATTATAGTATTAGATCTTGGAGCAAGGGACAGTGAATTGACATGTTTCGTGAGAATCACCCATTTACCAGAAGGTAAACCTCCTGAGAAAAGATTTTATTTAAATGAGGGTATTTGTAAGCACATTTAAGAAGTAGAGATTTTGAAATATAATGAAGTACAGGTCAGATTCAGTATATTAAAGTAATTGAAAAATTTGACTTTAAAAAGCATTTTATTGACTTGTTTCTTACTTATTTAAAATAATTACTACTTTAATGATTCAAGCCTAAATATTTCACAGTATTTTTAAACATAAAAAAATCAATATAAACCATAAATTATTGTATTGGAATATTCTTATTATATTACATATTGCTGCGAGGAAATTTTACGTGGTACGAAATACAGTACAGAACCCGTTATCCGGAAATCAGAAAACCGGAAAACCAAAAAACCGGAACGAAATTCGATACATTTTCCCACTATTTTTTAAAAAAAAAATTTTTTTTTCCTCATAAGATTTTAGGATTTTTCTTTCTTTTTTGAAAGATGTTTACCCTAGCATCATTTTGGAAATAATCATTAGTGTATTACTTCGTTTTTTCAAGATTATTTCCAAATATTTTTTTTTTTAGTTGGGTTTAACAATGAAAAAAAACGACTTTTTGTAGCGATTCAGAAAACCGGAAAAATCAGTTATCCGGAATAGCGATGGTCTCGATCGTTCCGGATAATCGGTTTCCTACTACTATAAAATTTCCTTAAAAAACCCATTCAAATTCAATTATAAATAGAAAAAAAAAGTTAGGTAATATTTTGTAACATCATCTTTAGCTTTGATCACAGCATAGTAATGATCTTGCAGCCTTTCTTGTTCACGTCAGACCAAGTAGACTTAATGCTTTCCTCTAGTTCAGCATTATTTGTTGAAGCAACTACTTGTAGTTTATTCTTTACTATACCCTTTAATTTTTCAAATGAATTAAGATCTGGTAAGTAAGCTGGCCACTATAATTTTATTATTTGGAGCTGTTTCTGCCAGATCATGAAAGTGATGCTAAATCTTATTGGAAAATTAACTCAACCTTTAAAAAGCTTTCAGATGATGGAACCATGCAGTGCTCGAAACTATATTGATATACATCTGAATAAACCTTTTTCTGGAGGATCTATTCCCTCCAAGGTCCATTTGCGCTTACGCAATTCTATACCATCACACTAACTGCAAATTTAATCGAATTTCTTAGGCACTTTCTATTAAATGCTCCTTGCTTTATCCTTCAAACTCAAATACCTTTATTGCCACAAGACATAACTATTAAACTATGTCCGATTTGAGACCGAACGTTTGGTTTAAAGTTTGGTTAAAGTTCTCGGGCAAGAAATAATATAATTAATCAAAATATGCATATAAACTATCAATACAACGTTGCCATTTTAACGATAGCTTATTAATACCGCTGACGAAAAAATCTGGAGAGCAGCTGGTGGTGAAATCCCGAAATGCATTTTCCTCCGCATGTTGGGAATTAAGTATTTTCCTTACATATACAGTAAGGAGTAAAATTTTTGTGACAATATGTTTTTCTGTAAGCAAAATTTTATAATGATGTAAATTAATTATTTGTAGCTTTGGTCATACTACATGGGAATCCACTAGTTATAGACTTGAAGATTTTTAATTTAATAAAGACCAAGCGAGAAAGGGAAAAATTAAAAGGTTGCGTTACATGGAGAGGAAAACAACGAAAAATCTTCCTGGATCCATTGTAAGGTAAGCGTTCAAACCCCTAAGCCAACGCAGATTGCTAACCTATTATTGACGCTAGTTACAAATTGTGGTCATAGGAAAATAATATATAGGTAGTAACGAAGTTTTTTTACGGCCCGTAGAAATGGAATAGTGCTGAAATGTATATGAATCGCAGGTTTCGCTGGATGTATATATTTCATATATTTAAGTCTTTTATTTAAAGAAATATACCACTATTCATACAAAGTTTTGCTAAAATGTGTTAGTATGAAATAAGCGAGTTGGATTGCGAAGCTATTCGAAAGGAACAACAAAAAATTCCTAGCATTTGGTGAACGCAACGAGCAGGGTCCAATCTTAATTTTTGTAATTCTCAAAATAATCTTAATTCGTTTCAAGATTAAGGAAATAATTTTGAATATACTCTTAAACAGAAAGACAAATGCAAGGAATAATTATACTTTTTTTTATTTTTTATAAAAGGACAAAGTGATATTAAGGCTGTACAGTCAAAAAAAAAAATTGAAAAAAGTATTTCGAATTTATTTTTACTATGGATTAATCATATTTATATCATTTCTATCAATTTCATTTTCACACCATTCAATTGATTCGAATCATTTTGACGATTCGTTCACGGAATTCAAGGATGTTATTTTTTTTAAATTTAAAACTGGCGTTGATCAGCCTGACCCCAATTCTGAGTTTACTACTCTCAATGTTCAACGCCGTAGCCTTGTAATTTCGAACCCAACCCGAAAGACAAGGAATCGCCCGGATCAAGTATTGAGACTTACTAGCCATTCGTGGATGACTTTTTGTTGAAACTAACCCATATTTGCATTACAGGGAGTGCATTCAGTGCAAGCCGGGAGCAAAACTCTTATCAACCAACCACCGCTGAGATTCGAATCTGAGACACCTTATTAGGAGGCGAATGCTCTATCCCTTGAGCCACTGCGGCGCAACGCTATATTAAAATAATGAGTGTTTCACACGGTGCTAAAAGTGTTTCCTGTATTTGAGAATCACCTTTGAAGCAACCTCCACCCTCAACTTGGTACCAAGTAAGTGACCACGGACTTGACCATATATTTCATTCGTGACTAGTCGATTGATGCATGGAGGCCTATCTGCACTATTCGTTTACTTTAAGCACGAGCCAAAGTAGGGTGTTCGAATGCCACGATGCCCCTTTTCCAAGGCATTGTTCTTCGCGCATGGTGAACGCTTGTGCGGTTTTATTTTCCAAACAAGATCTAATACAACATAGTGGTAATTAATTTAACATAGTCGAGAAGCCCACGCCAGTAACTTTTGCCACCACGACGACAGAGGAGAGAAAATATCACTAAGGCACCCCGGGGACGAGACTCCCAGTCTTTACCTAAAAAAGGTAAACCCCCTGAGGGGCTTACCAGGAGCATGCTTTGAATATGAAAGAATAATGGTTGAATCAAATTGTAAAAGAATCTCATATCTATAACAGTTGCAAAGTGCTTCCAGTTTTAAATTCCGGGGAATAAGTTTTGAAAATCGGATACTTACTGCGAAACTCTGTTAATCTTATGTTCAATAATGAAATGAGTCACAAACGATGCATCTTCGATAAGTATTTATTAATTTTTCTCTCCTAAATTTGCCAACATCAAGCATTATAACTGACGTTTTTGTGCAAAAACTCTTTAATTGTATAGCCAAAAAGTTCAAAATCAAATTTATATATGCCGTACAATTTAAGAATGTCTTCTTCAGGTATGCTTGAAAAGTACTTTAAAGTTAACGAATGGGAATGCGGGTAACTCTCCCTCCACCATTCCGATCCTGCATCGATGCCCACCTGTCGGAAAGCGTAGGGGAAATCATGTTGGGCCGTCTCCAGCTTTCCAATAAAGTCATAGTCCACTAAACAAGGATCGCACCTGTTCCAGTAGGGAGCCCAATGATCGTCATAGTCTCTCTCCATAGTATGGATCAAGTACCAGACGAATTCGGTGAAAGTTATGCGATCTAGAGGTGCACCGTCTGGCCTTAGTTTTTTCATCACGGGGTCCCAGAATCTGTCATAAAAATAAGGGACATCTTTTCGGGATTTCTCTGCTTTGCTACGAAAAGCCGACACGAGGCGGTCGAAAGGGTGGCGGACGAATATCATTTTGAAGAATCTGTTGACGGTTGTGGACGGGTAGAACATAGGACTGATTCGCCTGAGGGCATTATTGGCCACAGTGTGGAGAGCGGTATCGTTCTCTTGGACGGTTTCATTGATGTGTATGTCCGATATGTTTAGAAAGAATCTTTTAATGGCAGTCGAGGCTACTTTCGGAATGAAGCAGAAGAAAAGAACCTTCTTTTCGTCGACGATGATGGGACACATTTTATTTTTGCAGAACGTTTCCTTGCCAAATCGGCGGTTTGTTGCCACTCGCCAAATTCTGCGCATGGCGACGAGTTCATCCTTGTCACAAATTTCACGCACTCTCTGAACCCGAGCGTCGTACTCCGCTTTCCAGCGTTGGTCCATCTCTTCAGCAACCTACAAAAGAATTTTAAAGATTTTACTTTTTGCACCATATAATAAGGATCACTATTACTAGTTAGCCAAATAGAGAATGTTTAGGTGTAAGGACTACACTATCACTATAAAAAAGTTCACGTTTATTTTTTATTTTTCAATTTTAAGAATATTTTTGTAAATATTAGAATTGAACTGAATGTAGGGTTTAATTGGTCATCGAATTGGGCTACAGATGGCGCAGAGCAGAACTCTTTATCTATGGCAACACTTCGCATGCTCTCACCATTGGCATGTGGTCAGTCGGATAAGGAAGAATGTTAGAATTTCGGCCATGATTTTCAAACAAATTAAAAACTTTTAAGTTAGGAAACTATATAGAACTCAAAACTGCTTTACACGGAGCTCTTAAAGAAAGCATCGCGGAAATGTTAGAAAATATTTTTGACTATTAAATACGAAAAATGTTATGGAAGAGGAAAATATCGTAATGGATGGTGTTTTCATTATAAATGTAAACAATAACAATTTCGAGCTCGATACCTGTTCTAGTTCCGGTTAAAAAGTATGCAACTGCTTACTACATGTTATTCTGTGAGACGATATTTTCAAACAGATAATTTTGTTTTCATCAAAAGAAGTAAATTAGATAATTTCCGAGCTCAAATCTGCAGTATTTCATAAGATATTAATGTCATTGTGTAATTCTGGCGAGTTTAAAGTGAAAATTTGTTTTAGTTATTTATAGATATATCGTTAAAAAAAAGGTGATATGGTTGCTAGATTTTGAATAACTCGCTTTTCGGCAGTCCTGATTTGGCCTCTTTCCATTTGTTTATTACAGTTTGTTCTTGTTGCAAGCTGTGCACCATCTTACGTTAGTATTAACACTTTTAGCATTGTAAACACAAGTATTGTTAGCATTGTAAGCACAAGTAATAAATAATCAAATACTACGTTTGCAAGAATCTCAAAACACAATGATGCCAAATGGCTTTAAAATACAACGGAAACAGTAACCCAGAAATTTAGGCGGTATCGAGCTTGCAGCGTTCTCTAGTGTAGAAAACACCATCCATACATTCCTACACAAAATCAAAGAAAAAAAGTACGTGTGGCGCCAAACAAATAATTTTTCTAAAAAAACAAATGGAAAGGTCAAATACTTGCTGGAAATTTATCTTACTAAAATATATGAAATTATTAAAACGGGACATGGCACACAAATGCAATGCAGAAGTGAATAAAAAGGAGATGAAAGTTAAATATAGAGCAAAATGAAATACGGAGTAAAATGAAACACATGAAATGAAGAGGAAAATGCATTAAAATTACGCAAAATAGGTTAATAATACGTAAGTAATAAGATACAAAGTGAATAAATATAGCACGTAGAAATGCAAAGATGTTAGGTAGATGGGCTTCGTCCAAAAAATCTTTGATACATAAAATACAGTTACTACAAAAGGTAAATCAATATTGGTTAAAATACGGGCAAACGATTAAGATATGTTGAATCGTGAGGAAAAAAAAAACGCAATTGGGGAGAAGATTCTCCAAAGATCAGACGAAGTTGAGTCAATCAAGTGTGACCGATTTCTAGACAATCTCGGGGCAATGGGTCCAAATCAATTTTAACAGAGTGAAATTTGTCATTAACTTGAAGGCCCCATTGTTGTTGTCATAAAGCCATAATACAGCACAGCGGTTTCCAAATGGTGTTCCGCGGACCACTATTCGCGATCGCAACGCTCGAGTACGCCGTCTAGCAGGAGCCTGTAAATATCAGACATTAATTTATCACGCTTTCATTTAGTTCCATCAAAGTCATTGACAGAATCAGACGCCATTTTTTAGCAGCAAATAAGAAACAAAATTTCCCTAGGGAAAAGGCCGAAGAACTTGAAAAAAATCTCCNATAAAAGAAATAAATTAGATAATTTCTGAGCTCAAATCTGCCGTATTTCATAAGATATTAATGTTATTGTGTAATTCTGGTGAGTTTAAAGTGAAAATTTGTTTTAGTTATTTATAGATATATCGTTAAAAAAAAGGTGACATGGTTGCTAGATTTTGAATAACTCGCTTTTTGGCAGTCCTGATTTGGCCTCTTTCCATTTGTCTATTACAGTTTGTTCTTATTGCAAGCTGTGCACCATCTTACGTTAGTATTAACACTTTTAGCATTGTAAACACAAGTATTGTTAGCATTGTAAACACAAGTAATAAGTAATCAAATACCACGCTTGCAGGAATCTCAAAACACAATGATGCCAAATGGCTTTAAAATACAGCGGAAACAGTAACCCGGAAATTTAGGCGGTATCGAGCTTGCAGCGTTCCCTAGTGTAGAAATCACCATCCATACATTCCTACACAAAATCAAAGAAAAAAAGTACGTGTGGTGCCAAACAAATAGCTTTTTAAAAAACAAATGGAAAGTTCAGATACTTTCCAGAAATTTATCTTACTAAGATATATGAAATTATTAAAACGGGACATGGCACACAAATGCAATGCAGAAGTGAATAAAAAGGAGATAAAAGTTAAATATAGAGCAAAATGAAATACAGAGTAAAATGAAACACGCGAAATGAAGTGGAAAATGCATTAAAATTACGCAAATTAGGTTTACTATATAAAATAGATTTTACAATACTTAAGGAATAAGATACAAAGTGAATAAATATAGCACGTAGAAATACAAAGATGTTAGGTAGATGGGCTTCGACCAAAAAATCTTTGATACATAAAATACAGTTTCTATAAAAGGTAAATTGATATTGGTTGAAATATAGGCAAACGATTAAAATATGTTGAATCGTGAGTAAAACATGGCAATTGGGGAGAATATTCTCCAAAGATCAAACGAAGTTGAGTCAATCGAGTGTGAGCGATTTGGAGACGATCTCGGGGCAATGGGTCCAAATCAATTTCAACAGAGTGAAATTTGTCATTAACTTGAAGGCCCCACTGTTGTTGTCATAAAGCCATTATACAGCACAGCGGTTTCCAAATGGTGCTCCGCGGACCTCTATCGTTCCGTGGAAAGGTCACAGGGGTTCTGTGAGTTGGAACTTTTTTTTTAAGATCAGTAATAATATTTGAAACCTATAATAGGTTTATATCCAACAAATAATCCATTATTTAATTAATATTAAGGTGATTTTTATGAAATTATTTGTGTAAAATTGCAATTTAAAAAAAGTCCCAATTTTTTTTAAAAATATTATTTTTTCCAAATATTGAATAAATTTCCAAAAAATAAATAAATTATGATTTACAAATATTTAAATCAGTATTTCTCCCCGAACTTTGAAATTCAAAATAAAATCCACAAATTCAAGAATAAAACTTATTTTTCTCTGATAACCAGTCTTACAGTATATAACAAATCTTTTTCAAAAACCATAAATGTGCTCAATTTATTCAATTTCAACTTATATGGCAAAAACTGCTAGACTTAAATTAAACAGCAAAAAGGTAGCCGCTTGCAAACTATCGAATGTAACTGTCTAACATAAATTCTAATTTTAAGGACTGATTAAACAATGAAAAAATTTCATTCACATTAAAAATTTCTAAATCAATTAATCGCTTTTTTTGAAGCATATTTACACCTGCTAATGAACGTTTTTTAAAACTCTGGGTTCCTTCGAAAGAAGTTCGATCATTTAGGGTTCCGTAGCTAAAAGAAAATGGGAACCCCTGCTATAATATATTCTCGAACATGTATTTTCATGTTTGAGAACGGTACAGGGTGTAGTAGCAGATTGAGCTGCAGAATCGGTAAATTCTTACCTGGAATCCCGAAATAAATTGGGAACGAGGAAAACAAAATATAAAAATCATACTTGGAGATGAACTAATAGAGGCTGGATAAAATTTAATATAAGATGAGTTCATTTTCAAAATGTACCAATTGGCGCAAAACGTTCACACTGTCAGAGTAAATGCAATGTTGACGGAGAAACTGCGATTAAATTAGCCATATATCATACATAATGAAGAGAGAGAGAGAGAGTTAGAAGCAAAACAAAGAGACCTGTGAATTTCGAGAAGTTTTATGGAGCCACCTTCACGTACATAACCAATAAATACTCTTATTTACCGATTATTTTAGTTTTTTCTTTTTTTTTAAACTGTTGTTAAAAATTCTTCGACGTAAATTTCACTAAGATAAATTAAACTTATAAAAAACAGTCTTTGTCATGCTTGAGAATTGGTATATCCCGGTAAACTGAAAAAAAGGCACTGGAGAAAAATAAAGCATCAGTTAAAACTGCAGAAAAAAATGAATTAATTGAATGTACATATTTTTTATTATTTTAGCATCGACAAATATATTAAATATTATTTTAAAATTATATACGATTAGTTTGAAATTTGCGGAAAGGAATTTTTCACATTTCATACATTTTAATTCTTTCACTTCGCAGTTTTTTCTTTTTTTTCTTCTTTTTTTGCGTTTTACATTTTTTAATATCAATAATTACACTTATCGTATTGTAATATAATCAGATAAAAAAAATCTTTTTAAACAGGAGATTAAAAAAAAACTTCTTATTATAATTAAATGTTTCATAATTTTTGCAAATATCTTTAAATTTATAAGATTAACACTCCAAAATAATAGAATTTGAATATCTTAAAAGTGTAAAGAGTTTCAAGTAATTTTCTAAGTAGTTTTTGTACTTCTGCTCAAAATGATAAAGGGTTTTCCACAAGTATCATAAGACAAAATTCAATAACAAATGATACTACCTTATAATAATCGGCCGGACAGCCAACTGTGATGGTATGAGGAAAGAAAACAGGCGAAAGAAAACATTCTTTTAAGGAGATGGTCACCCACAATGCCGGTGTCATTTTAAATAAATCATATTTTTAATAGTACAAAATTAAATTTGTGAAATCCCTTATCATTTTGAGCTTTGTTCAACAACAATTTTTGGACAAATCCCTTATCATTTTGAACTAAGTTCAACAACAATTTGAAAATAGCTTGAAGCTCCTTAAATTTTTAAAATATTCAAATCCGACTTTTTCATTAGTTGTCAAATACGATTTACTACAAAATCATAAAAAAGATTTTTTTTAAATATTTTTTCCGTGCATGCGTAGTGTAAAAGAATTACTTTAAATAATCATATTTTGAGTAATTTTGAATGAAATTTTTGCTAATTTTGAAACAATAATTTTGTAATTGCTTTTTAAATGCTCCAAAAATTTCGTTTAATGTTATTGAATATTTTTAAAGTTGTAGTAAAAAAAAAAAAAAAAAACGCAAGACAAAAAAAATTAGTTTTTTATAAAAACGTCTTATCTTCATAAATATTAAAGCTAATTTATGAAATTGTATGCAATTATTCCACATAACAACCAAAGTAATCGGTAAAAGTTACAAGCTTATTTCTTTATTTTACAGTATAGGGTGCTCAAAAATACTTGATATCTTTGGTAATTTATTATAGGTCTCTGAAACCAGTTTTAAACTTTATTACTACGTATGGAAAATTGCATGAACTAATTACCACTAAAGTTAAAAAAATAATTCTCAAAGTATTTCTTGAGAAATTTAAAAAAATGTCAAAAACTGAAAGGGTTTCTTCCATTATTGTAGGGTATAGTGTATTCGATACATGTTTAATTACATTGGATTGGAATTCTTAAAAAGATAAACGGATTACAACTTAGTGAGTTAGTTTTGCATTGCGATCGTAAAAGAACTCTCCTATTTTTCTTTACTTTTCAGCGCAATGTTAATTTTGTCTTTTCAAAATTATGTTTTGCGAAATATTTCTAAATGGTAATCTAATTGAGGTAGATCCGATTTACCTTAATTATTGTATAAATAAAAAGTTTTTAAGTATTTCTGTTGTCTGTAGATTTGGGAGGATGTCCCCAATATATATTTTCGAAAAACAAAAAAAAAAAAAAAATAAATAAATAATAAATTTGAATTTCCTTAATTGAAATTTAATATTAAATCGAAAACTACGCTTGGTTGGAAGACATTAGTTTATTATTTAAAATGTGATGCACATTAAAAGAATTAAGAATAAAACTATTTATAAAAAAAGGGCTCCTTATTTCATATTTTTAACTTTTGGACACATTGTATTTAAATAACGCAATCCTTATTTTCATATTTTTTACTTTTGGACATATTATATATAAAAACGCGTTCCTTATTTTCATTTTTTTACTGTTGGACCCATTGTATTTAAAAAACGCGCTCCTTATTTTCATATTTTTCTTATTAACAGATTATATAATTTAACAACATCCTCACTTTAAAATGTTATCCCATTCAACTTTAAGAAATACAAAACACTACAAAGAAATTTTCGAACTATAAAATCACTTAATAATGAGGGTGCTTTTTTTCTTTTAATCAGCTTCATTTATTGAAGTTGTGCTAATCGCTTTAACTGCAATCGTTTTTCAATATTTATCTTTTCATAACTAAAACTTCATTTCGCAAAATGAAAAAAATAATTTTTTTCCGATGTCATTTTATTCGAAATACCTAATCGTGAGATATCTTCTGCAGAGAAAGAAAAAGATTCCCTCACCTGACTATCATTAGAGAGGTCATTCCCTCGTATGGGCACTTTTCGCCGCAGAGGATGGGGTGTCCATCGGTCAAGAAAACTGATGAAAGTCAAACAGAACACTACCCCGACGAAGATGGTCCCCAGGCACAAACGGTGCCTGGACAATTTCCGACACAAAACGTCCATTTCACTGACATAATTTTCAGAATATATTTTTTAAAGAATAAAAACAGGAACAACGCAGTTTCATCTGAAAGGAAAGAAAAAAAATGTTCCACTGGAGAGAGGGGTTTACTGATGCGGATGAAAAGTAGATGGGAAAAAAAAACTGGTTTTTTTAGTTTTTTCAAGGTTGGAATGAAGAAGGTGTGTTTCATTCTCACGCCAGCGATCAGTTCGTTGACAGACACGCGTAGTACTCGAGGAGTTTTAACGGGATAAATTCGAAAGAACAAACTGCCCTTCCTACTTAGTTTTCAATATCAATTTTCGCATTCGATCGACTTCTCAAATATAACGATTTGATTGAAGTACATATGTTACAGGTTTAAATACAGTGCGCAAAAATATAAACGGAATAACTTTTGATATAATTCTCATGGTTCTTCTTTCTAGAACTCAATCTTAATGGCAATGGGGATGATTTCAAATATGGCTATTATTAGGTGTCTTGATAAATTAGTGTGTCTGATTTCGTAACTTTAAATATCGTCTGCACTAATGAATTAGCATATAGCCCTAGAACGTCAAGATCTGGTCAATAGAGCATAGTTTTTCAAGGTGGTCCGTTTTTTGTTTTGCGTATTGCACATGTACTTGAAATCAAGAAAATACGATATTAACTAATATTACAAGATTGAATACGTGAATCCTTTTAGTTTAGTATCTTTGAACATATTTCATAAAAATAAAGAAGAAAAAAAGAAGAAACTCTGTTTCCCTCACTCATCAACACTTTCTGCCGTACCTTTAAATAAAGGAAAGAGCAATATTTTCTTGGTAAACAATACTTTAATAACTTTTACTAATTTTATGCTGATGACAGACACAAAAAAAGATATTACCACATTTATCCTTCCATTGAGAAAACGCAAAACAGTCGGTCGTCGGGCTACCGAAGCGGGGGTGCCATCCCCTCCGCAGAGGATCAAAATTGTGATGGCATGTCTTTGGATCATCCTCCGGGATGTTTCCCAGACCGTCGCCAATAGCCCATTGTGCAGCTCTAGTGCGACGTAAAG